TATACGGTCAGCAACAGGCATGGCTGTAGCAAACTTTATAGAAAAATATGTATTTTTAGTCCATGGCGTTTGTAAAACCATCTTTATAGATAACGGTCCACAATATGTTAGCTCCCATTTTAGACAGCTGTTAACTAAATATAATGTACCAAACATATATTACAATCCTAAGTATCATCCCCAAACGAACCAAGCTGAGCGGGCAAATAGAAACATAGTTCATGCGATAGCCTGTTATGTAAAATCCGAGCATAGAAGGTGGGATGAACACTTAATAGAATTGCAATGTGCTTTAAACACGGCTGTGAATGAAGCAACTAAATTTTCACCCTATTTCCTAGTCCATGGTAGAGAGTATATAATAGATGGTAATTTATATTTAAATTCCTTCCCTCCATGTCCATTAGATCAAATTACCTCAGACAGTACATTGGAGTATGGGAAAAAGTTGCTTGAACTTAATAATATCTTCCAAAAGGTGAGGAAATATTTGATTGTTGCCCACCAACGGAACGAAAAACAATATAACCTCAGAAAAAGACACATTGAATTAAGAGTTGGCCAGATAGTGTATAAACGTACTCATTATTTATCCAATAAGGCAAAGAATTTTTCTTCCAAATTAGCACCAAAATTTATTAAATGTGTAGTGACGGCTAAATTATCACCTTTAGTTTATACTTTAACCGATTTAAATGGTAAATGTTTAGGTAATTATCATATTAAAGATATACTAAAATATTCTGAACAACAGAACTAACAAATCTTTGAATTCCACATAGGATGCTTATTTTAGTCACTTTCAGTATTAAACGATTGGTTAAGAAGAGTTATGGTATAGGAAGAGTGCATATGGAAATCTGTGGGCTACGGTTCGAAACCTGCCTGAAAATTAAATTGTTTTTCTCTTTTAACTAAATAAATATTTATTTACAACCTTTTTTAACCTATATGGTCACTTTTAAAAAAAAAAAAAAATGCTTAAATGAAATTTCGAGGAATTTTAATATTTTAACACAAAAAAAAAATTTTTTTGATAAAATTATTTTCGTCAAGTTGTGTTTACTGATATGCATATGAGTATGAGAGTAGTATGAAATGCGTGATGTATGAAAAGTTTTTTTTTTCAAAATAAGCACGTGCAATTTATTTTAATACTTAATAGAAAAATAGGTCTTGATGTAAGAAAGGCATAAGCATAAGGAAGTGGACATATACTTTAGACTTGATAATTAAAGATAGGAAGATTGTTGGAAAATAATCTTAATCTTTTGAGTTTGAAAACATACAAACTTCTTTAATCTTGAGTTGTTTTCTTAACTACCTTAAGTTCATAAGATGAACAGAAAAGTCATGTTATACCACTGGATATTAGATCCAAGAAAGGTATTTACATGAAACTAAAAGAAAAATCATTAAACAGCAAATATTTAATTGTTGCTATTGACTTAGAGTTTAGAACATTACGTGGAGTAAATAAATGGATACTCACGTATATAAGTTTAAATTTTTTATCTTGGCTAATACTTAGTATTGTTGATTTGTCTGTAAGTCAGTTGCAGGTTAATTAATTAAAAAAAAAAATTTTTTTTGGGAAAAATTTTTTTGAGATAAGGGGGATGTTGTGTAGCAATTAAATTTAATAACGTTAAAACATAGCAATATAATTCTTAAATATTAAGTCGTAGAAATATTATTATTTATTCAGCGCCATCTATCATCATGCATATAAATTATTCAATATCGAAGTCCACTTTGAAAAGCAACGGACAAGTACAATATATGTGTGAACCTAGTAGTTGCATTTGGAATGTAAGTTAGAGGGAGCTAGTGTGTAAATTTTTTTAATGAGATGCAAAATTGGATGTGACGTCACATTAATGTTCTGGAAACATTGAGAGGCGGAGTCAGCAAAACCGGTCCGTTTGATTCCTCACACCAAATATGGTGATATGAGAGAAATTTGCAATGACGCTGTCACGTGTTGTAGTAGCCTATAAATAGCAGTGCACAACCAAATTCGGTCTCTTTTGGCTGATAGAACCTTGAAGACCATACTTAGAAAATAGCATTAAGACTAGCAGTGGTAGTCAGTGCATTATATACTTGATATTTCTCCCCGGATTAACGGGTAAGTTCAATACATTTGATTCGTTAGGCTGTAGGTCCAGTTAGTTTTTTTTTATTGAATTATAGAAATATGTGTAATTGGTTCTAGGTCCATTAATTTGGCTAATTAATAACAGTAATAATCACAATTACTTGATCCTGATTGGAATCTCCTTGGAAAAATATATATATATATGAGCCTGTGAAGCTTTCTTGAGCAAAAAGTGACGGGTTCACGTGATGACAGCAAGTCCTGCTTCATCCCTGAGGACATTTGAGTCATCCTGATGCTCCCATGATCTTGCCAAGCTAAGTAAAACTTATAACTTCTTGATATTTAACCAGTGCATACTCCGGAGAACAATTTCTGTTTAACGTGATAAAGGATTTCTATTGGTAAACTGTAAAGCCATTATAAGAACATAACAAATTTTTATTGTTAAATTTTCAAAACTTAATATTTTATAACTTGTTTAATAATTTGTTTATATAAGAAACTTAAATTGAGTATTACTGTATTAGCACATGATCTTGAATGTATGAATATCTTTAAATCAAAAGAAAAATCTTTGAGGAAATATAACTATGTATTTATTAACTTGAATGTGACTAGTATTAAGTTTTAACCATGATGAAATAAGATCTGAATCTTTTTTGACAATATAATATCTTGTTCACTGCGGTTTTAGACATTTTCATTTATCTCCCTCAAATCACAGTATTACGGCGCCCTGATTATAAATTAAATAAGTTTCGAGTCTCATGTAAGCCCTGAAATAGCCGGTGATAACAAAAATTGTTACAAGTTTATTGGCTTCGTTAATATTTTATTATTAAATGGGTGATTCTGTTAAAAAGTTGTTCCAAGATTGTTTACCTTAATAAATGCAATATAGGCGACCATATTTATTTATCAACATAAAAATAGAACTAGTTACATAAGTTAATAAAAATTATAACTAGTATTTATATAATATTTATAAAAAGATTATTTCTGAAATTATGTAAAGATATTTTATACTCCCATCCCATGTAATATCTGTTTATTTTTATGAAAATCATAATGATAACCAGGTACATACCTAATTACCGATAGTAAAATATAGAATCAGGTAAATGGAAAGACTTTGAACATTTCATTTGAAAAGAAATCTATTACTGCAGATAGGTATAGGTATCATAGGCGCCAACTGCCAACACCCATACATCAATATGAATATAAGCATTTATTATTTTTATTATTCATTGCATTTTATGTTCATTTAATGCATATTATTTAAGTGCTTACATAGAGGTAAACACTAAATCTATTCAGAATATATAAAGTGTACATCTTTTACGATTAAGTATAATAATTATAACCTCAAAATCTAAGATTCTAATACATTCTGTAGGCTACGGTTCCTCAAGTTGTCCGTATCTCAACAAATGCCTAATTAGAGTTTATGAATGATTCCTAAGACAACTAGCATTTTCTCATTGCTGGGCGTTCTAGGGCATTCAATGTATGGGGAACGAGCAATGTCCTTTCACGGCAACACTTTTCATTCGTAAAACTATGAAAATATATTTTTCTCAAAAATCACGGTTTATCATGAATGTTACCTTTCGGCATTTGTTATCAAGAAAAGAATAACAATACAGCTCAGTCGTTTGTAGAGAGAGGACAGAAAACGCAGTCGCCGAGCCAAATGACGCGGACGTTTCGCTCGCGCTGCATTGAAGCGTACTGCGGGCTATTCTGTTAAATTTTTTAAACGCGCTGATCCCATATTGATTCGCGTGGATTCGTGCGTGAAAATTTTACAGTATATTCCCGCAGTTCTATCTCGCTCGCTCGATTGAACGTTATATTTCATTTTATTAAGGACAAAAAAAATTGATGCTAGTATGAGTATCTTCCCATTTTGTTTTAATCTAAGTATATAGTACTAGCTTCCGCCCGCGACCCTGTCCGGGTTAACTTAAGTTTTTTGAGAATCCCACAGGAGACAAGACAAGATTTTTCCGGGATAAAAAGTACCCTATGTGTCAATCCAAATCATAAACTATGTGCGTGCCAAATTTCATCCAAATCTGTACGAAAGGTTCTGCGTGTTTGAATTTGAGTAACATTATGAAGATATGGAGTATTATTATGGAGAGAATGCGACCAATAAAAGTTAAGCCTACTAGAGCTAGACTTTAATGATATTCCTCACGTCTCGCACAGTGTCATTGTGCATAATTGTGAGCAGTGCCGTCTTTGACCTATTAAAGGCCCTGGGCGTATTAGGATAATGGGGCCACTATGACTTACGTTTGGTGATTTAAAAGGAACTAGGGACTTTGTATTTGATCTGAGGGGGCCCCCTATCGATCGCGGGGCCCTGACCACTTGCCCAATGTGCCCACTGGGAAAGGACGGGTCTGATTGTCAGGGATTGAGGGACGAGAGGATTGAGAGACCACCTTTAATAATGGCTATGTTCAAATTGCGTCGTAATTTAAATTCTATTACTTTTAATAATTTATTGTAAGACAATTACTAAAACTGATGTAGAAAAAGTAAGATTATTTTTTATTTGATTCAGTAAAATTCACAAATATGTTTATTAATCGTTCTGAGGGACCAAAGTTTAGACGTTGTGTATTTTTTTCTTTTTGATGGATTGTGGATTTTCTGTAATCACATAACTGTGAGGCCCTAGAGACAGTGTTGTCTTGGTTTTTTAAATATTTTATTAGTAATACCCAGACTCTATAATTGTTTTAAGACTACAACTAAATCCTGATAACTTTATCTTGAGAAATTCGATCTGGTCCCTCATTTCACACACCCTTGATATACACCTAACCCTGCTGTCTGCTTAGATGTGCTGGCCATTACAATAGTGTTATAAATTTTTCAGGTGGTATTTATAGACGAAATAGATTCTTTGCTTACCCAGAGAAATGATACTGAGCATGAAGCGACTAGAAGAATTAAGACTGAATTCTTGGTGCAGTTTGATGGAGCGGGTACAGGTAATGCCGATCATTCGATGAATGTCATAATAATGTTAAGTACCTACATAGTTAAATGGTTATCAAAAATATAATTCTACGACCTCCGTGGCCGAGTAGTTAATACGTCGGGTTTCATGGTGTCGCCGACTCGAGAGGTTCCGGGTTCGAATTCTGGTGGGGGCAGATGTTTGTGTGATGAATACGAGCATTTGTACTCCAGTCATGGATGTTTTATATGTATTTTTATATAAATATACTTACATATGTACAATAAATGTATTCTATTCGTTACCCTAGTATCCCATAACACAAGCCGTACAGTGCTTACTTTGGGGCGAGGCTAATTGGTGTGAGTGTTGGAAATATTATTTATTTATATTTGATCTTCAAAAAATACATTTGGTACCGGAAACTATCCTTTATAACTCGTATCATTAAAGAGAGGAATTGAAAATGCCGACGTAAGACATTCTTTCTCTCTCGCACGTTACTTAGCAAGAGTCTGTCCCACTTGAGCCGTCCTTTGCGATTCCTTTCTTTAATGAATTTTTTCTCATAAGTTAATAGTTCTGGTCCAAAAATAAGTGCTTATTCAGTCAATCTCGGACTTTTTCTAAGTATAACCCTATTTTACCCCATCCAAGCCAAGCTTTATTTCCACTGTAGGCTAATAATAATTGGTGTGTGTGTTGGAAATATTTATTTATTTTTACTGTAACGGTGTACGTTAATATCAGGGATGTTGCGAACATTCGCATCTGCATCCGCAAATGCGGAACATCCGCATTGATTTGGACATCTGCATCTGCTTCCGCATCCGCATTAATCAATGCGAATGTTCATGCGGATGCGAATATTATACAAGTAGCGACAAGAAAGAAATTGGGCGGGGCCGGTGATTGACTCGTGCCGGCCGCACGTGAAAATAACCAATGGGAGCGAAGAAATTGGTGACAAGATTCGACACGTTTGTTTGTTCTAGCTAGTGCATCATTTGTTTCTTGCAAGTGAATAAATATTACGTGTTTGTTTGCGCTGTGAAGTGAAAGTGAACTACTTATCGTATCATAAAGATAGATAGGTATTTTTAATGTTGTTGTGATACAGTGTGTAAATAAGAAGAGTTTACAAGAAAACTTTATATTATTTAAGACTAATATCCATAAGATCACAAGGTAAATTCTATTATATTACGCCGGTAATACGTTTTATTGTAGGAAAAATTATCGTTTTATGACGAAATTCGTTATTTTTCCAGTGTGATTACGTTGTCATTGTTTTAATTCTTCATTAATAGACTTTATTTACATAATATCTTATACATCCGCATCCGTATCTGCATCCGCGGATGTGAGCCTGCTAAACTCCGCATCCGCATCCGCATCCGCGGATGTGAAAATATCGGCATCTGCAACATCCCTGGTTAATATATAGGTCCTTATACCAGTAAGTAATAAAATTTATACTACATATTTCTCAATTTTTACCGTAAACTACGTCAAGGGCGAAAATTCTAATTCTATATCTTAGTCTAAACATTAAATACATAAATAGTGAGGAATTCAAATACATTCCAGCTTCGCAACTGCGCGCGTGAAACGAGATGCGAAGTCGCGTTGATAACGGGAGTTAGTTTACGTAATAAGGGGCGGAGCCTAGCGTGAGAAAAAAAATACCGTTGAACGTTCGCTGTCGCGTGGAAGCTATATTAGTCTTACTCACGCAATCAAACTAAAGACAAGGCTGTATGGGCTTTAGTTCCCCTTGCCATCCCTAAAAAGGGAGAATATTTAAAAAAATAAAATCAGGACACCCGCGCCGCCGGGCATGAAACCCGTGCCCGGGAGTCGGGCTCGCCATCTAAAGTTTTGTTGAAAGTTCCCGCTGAGGTGAGTTCAAATACTGTCTAGGTTTCATCCTTCCTTTCCTCATCTGATCTGCTGAACAATTTCTCTGTCTTTCTTCTTCCCTAGGTCCCATTTTGTCTATTCTCTTTGGCAAGTGGGGCACCCCCCTACTTTAAATCTGTCCCCTTCTTTCATCCATCCAGCATGGTATAGCTGACAGACGATTTCGGTGACGGGCTTCCGGACACATATGCCGGTCACCCGGACACCAGTAGCATTTAGAATCATTAGTTAAGAACACGTACAATATGTGAACTATATCGAACCAAAGAAAAACTCAGTTATATATATAAAAAAAATGTCTAGGGTTAATAACAGTTATAATAATGATGTTCTCTTCTCTAAGAGTTTAACTTAATCATTTGTAACTCCAGTCTGTCCTACACCTATTTTAAATTTGGAACTGTTGGCTATTGGGTTCTATGTGCTAAGACTACCTTAACGCACGAAGAGGAGCGACTACTGTTTCCCTGAGGCTGCCAGAGGATCTTTAGCCAGGCTGCCAGAGGATCTTTAGCCAGGCTGCCAGAGGATCTTTTTATCTTTTGAAAACGTAACAGACATTCGTCGGCAGTACCCAACAACATTATTACCGATACCTGAAGTTGGGGAAGAAGCTGGACCTCCTATTTAACTGCGGAAGAATGAGTCCAACTTCTTCCAAAACAGTCACTTTTTTTCTCACCATCCTACCTGCCAATTGGCAGGAACCCACTACCTGCGATCCTTATTTTACACACAGCCTCTTACTAAAACATCCAATTCTGATCCGGTCAATATTATGTATGTTTAATCTCTTTGTATGCATCCCGGCAAACATCGACCAAAGACAAGGTAGCCTGCACAGTAGCAATTTTACATACAAAAACGTTTACTGCACAAGTTTATTTGTCTGTGGTTTCGCTTAAAAAGTTTGCCGCTACCTAATAAACATTGTAGGTGAAGACGACCGCCTTCTAATAGTGGGAGCGACCAATCGCCCTCAAGAGCTGGACGAGGCGGCGCGCCGGCGACTTGTCAAACGGCTCTACATACCCCTGCCTGATTTTGAGGTAACTTTATTAAATACAGTATGAAAACAAATTTTGGCATCTGTATTTAATATGAATAATAGCAGCGATATTACTACTCGAAAGAACAACTCATTAACAACTTTTCTAGAAAAACATTAAATAGAAATTATTTTTTTGCTCAATGGTCACGTGACCGAATACGCCTGTGATTGGCCGAGACTAAAATGACGTCACACGCTAGTATACTTCCGGCCAAAGTGACATTACATTGTATCGTTTGACGTTTTAATGACAGTCGTGTGACGTCACACATTAATGAGACGCCATAATGTCCAGAGAACAGCAACACAAGCAGAAGAACAACAGCTTTCTTGGGAACTTGAAAATTGTTTTTTTTTAGTTTTTTTTTGTAAATCGAATGTCTAGTCTGCCGGACTTCTGGTGTAAATTCCCAAAACTGCCATCACTCGATTTACTCACTACCAACATAACTAGACCATTGCCGCCTACCAAACACCAATACCTACACGGGTCTACTTACCAGAACCCTTATATTATCTAGTTTTATTTACGGAACTGTTTAGCCGAATCAATAGACTCTCGTAAGCAAAAAGATGTTATATATGCAGACATAAGTAAGGCATTTGACTGAGTAACACATAGCAACTTAGTCCATAAACTTACATTATATATCATAGCAGGACCACTTTTGAATTGGCTTAAGTCATACCCAGACGCAAGATCCTTTTATGCAGTTATGAATGGGGCGAGGTCGAGTGAACACGTTATAACATCTGGCGTGCCTCAGGACTATCATATTGGGCCCATCTTATTTAATTTCTTCATAAATGACATTTCAGAAAGCTTCCAGAACTCTTGCCCATTCCTTTGCTGATGATCTAAAAATTGCAAGAACGATTGAATATCACAATGATACTCTGTTGCTCTAAGCTGATATTGATAGACTTTCGGAATGGTGCATCACCAATAACATGAGTCCCAATATCCAGAAATTCTTTTACATGAAATTTTCTCGCAATCGCAAATGTGTTTCTTCCTCTTACACGGGTGTCAGGCGAGTTAAATAATAATAATAATAAATAAATAACTAATATAATATAATATACTAATAATAAGCTCACATTCAGTCTGCACATGGATCACATAATTAAGAGAAGTTCCAAAATGTTGGGTTTCATTATGCGAAATGGATAATTATTTCGCAAAACTAAAACTATAAAACTATTATATTACAACTTTGTTCGAAGTACTTTTGAATATTGCAGTGTAGTCTGGCGTCCACATTGTTCAAAGCGTAATCTAAGGTTGGAAAGACTTCAAAAGAGGTTTCTGTGGCATTAGGCACGCTCTTCGGGAATTGGGTATTTGACAAAATTTTGAAAACGATCTCACGTTATTGACTAATGTTTATGGAGTCCGTTAAAAAGTGGATATTCATCATTTTGTTGTGTATTTCAGTAAAAATAACCAAATCAAAAACTCCATTTTCAAGTTGCCGCGAAAACGTTTTTCTGGCCAATATGGCGTCTTACTAGTGTGTGACGTCACATGACTGTTATCAAAACGTCAAACGATACAATGTAATGTCACTTTAACCGGAAGTTTACTTGCGTAATACGATCAGAAACTATAGTGACAGACTAGTCTATTTCAATATGATGCCATTGAATAAGCGACGTGACTTTTTGGATCTGCAGTTTCTATACAAACTTCTCAGGAATAAAATTGACTGTTGCCAACTGATGGGAAAAATAAAATTCAACGTTCCCCGTAGAAACCCACGGCTAGCCGTTAAACCACTGGTCCCACCCTTGCGTAGAACTGTCCTAGCCGCTAATTCCCCAATACCTCGTTCGTGCAAACTCAAACTCAAAAAATTATAGTCGGAACTTATATGTCAATAACGATTCGCTGGCGAAGTTCAAACAAGGATTTCTGGAGGCTTATGAGACATGACATGCATGTAAATCTTAAACATTATGTGACAGTTGGTAGAAACATAAGACTTAAAATTTATTTAACACAAATTCTAAATTAAAAGAAAGTCATGATCAGTAACTTTACCAATGTCTTTGTTATTAATTATTAGTATATAAGTAATGTTTCTAAGAATTTGTTATTATTATATATATATTTTAATATACACTTACTCAATTTATGTATGTGCATGCAGTGTTGGCCTTTAATTGGTTAGTACACTTAGCATTAAATTCAGTAGATAACATTTAATGTATGTTTCTATGTAGCAACCGTTGGTTGACCTAAATAAATAATAATAATAAAAAAAACACTACATATAATGGACGTCTGCTCAGGTCGAACATTGACTTGCACGACAGCCGCGCTCAATGAGGGTGTTGAGAAAATTTAGTGACGTAAATTGCGGGTAATTGTTATTGGCACATATCGGCCTAATGGGTGCGCTCAATACCCCACCAAATTAAACCTCGAAGCTCGAAAACCCTACAAAATTAAAATAATATAGCGACATACTTGATTTGACGGATGAGTAGACTTTTCGTCTGTGCTGCCCTGGCGCCCGTTATTCCGGAAATTCCATCAGACATTCAAGACCGTCATTGTTTATACTCTTAATGGTTGCAGGCTCGTAAGCAAATAATATCGAACCTGCTGAGCAGTGAGCGTCACGATCTGACCGACGCGCACACAACTGAGATATGCAGCCTCACTGAGGGATACTCGGGCGCCGACATGAAGTCTCTCTGCTCCGAGGCTGCCATGGGGCCGGTGAGAGCCGTGCCCTTCTCGCAAATCATCACCATCGACAGCGACAAGGTGAGGCTCATCGATCACCTCACTGCTGAAACATACGCACAATCACACACACCCACACTCACACATACACATATACCCATGCACACACATAAAATATCCACATTTAAATGATTAGTTAATTTAATAGCTTGTTAAATCAAATCTAAATCATTCTCTTATTTAAATTTACTTAATTATATACAAACTTTAATAATATCATGGGAAGATCATGAAATTAAATTTTTGTTCAGGAAAATTTCCTCTTTTCCGTGCTAATGTTATTATTTCAAAGTATTAATTAACTCGTACCTGCTCATCTAATAATACAGGATTTCCTTACTATAAGTACGTGAAAAACATAATAAAGCTATACTTATAAAAACCATGCACCGTTTCTTTTTTTATTGTAGTTTGTATTTAATTATTAAAAAAAGGCAAATTTCGTCATTTTTGTTTCATTTAAAATGCTTTGTTATTACGGAAAAAATAATCCTTTTAATTAGCCCTTTTGACGGTTATCATAAAATTCATGTTTTTTTTTTGTTTCACATTTCACGAGTATGAATCCCGGCGATAATTTAAAAAGTGTGTAAATGCAGTTCTACTTATTATTAAAAATAAAATTATGTCTTCTTACAGTAAAATATTCTATCGTCAATATTTAATATACTTTCCCTCCGTGTGACAAACCCGAGGGACGCCCTGTATATTGGTGTCGATCCTGGTACGATTCTCTAAACCTACACTTAAATTTAACAACTTGTCCTTGTCATTCTCTATACAGAGTTTTTTAGTTTAGAGAATCACGCCAGAATCGACACCAGTGGTGTAAAATTAACATCAGTCTTTTTTCCCTTTCATTTGTATAGAAAATGACAAAGATGCACTGTTGTCAAATTTAAGTTTAGCTTTAAAGAATCTTGTCAGAATCAACACCACTGTTTGTTTTTTGTATGTTAATGAACTTCAATGTACTCTCAGAGGTGGACGTTATTAGTTGCGACACATTTTTTATAACTAAAGCAATTATTTACGTGCACATTTATTGTATTCACTGTCTTTGTGCCAATAAGAATATATTTCAAATACACTTTGAAAAACTCGCAGGACAATACTCCGGCTCCGGTCACCGGACACTCGTAGGAACGAGATCCCATCGTAGTTGAGTAGTTATGACACCGCGTCTGTCTGGCCACATATAGGTAGAGACAAACTTCTCGAGCAAAATAACAGTGAAATAAACTAGTGCAGTAGACGTTTTTGTATGTAATACATATTGCTATTGCGCAGGCTACCTTGTCTATGGTCGTTGCTCAAGAAGTTTGCCATTGTGTACACCTGTCGGTGATTGTCCGCAAACAGACTTCCCCGGTGAAGATACCCCAGAGTGTAAGGTTCCTCTGGGAAATCTGTGCAATGCGAATCTAACTCCCCGTTGTCCACCCCCCTTCCCCTCTTGACCCCGAAGTCTGTAGTTAGCCCAGGTCAGCAGTGCGCATTGGTGGGTATGGATATTACGAAAAGCGACAAACTTCTCGAGCAAAATCACAGTGAAATAAACTAGTTCAGTAGACGGTTTTGTATGTAATATTGCTAGTGCGCAGACTTCCTTGTCTATGGTCGTTGCTCAAGAAGTTTGCCATTGTGTATACCTGTCGGTGATTGTCCGCAAACGGACTTCCCCGGTGAAGATACCCCAGAGTGTAAGGTTCCTCTGGGAAACCTGTGCAATGCGAATCTGACTCCCCGTTGTCCACCCCCCACCCCCCTTCCCCTTAGCTCAGGTCAGCAGTGCGGATTGGGTGGGTACGGATATTAAGAAAATCACTCAACTTCCACTACTACAGACTAAAGGCACTAACCTGAGTCGGAATAAATAAATCAAAACGATAAAATAGATATACATAAAATGTTATTAAATTTAATATTTATGTTTTCAGATGCGGCCAGTAAACGTAGAAGACTTTAAAAATGCACTCCAAAGAGTAAGACCCAGTGTATCCCAGGACGATTTAGGACAATACATTAAGTGGAATAAAACATATGGTCAGGGTTTTCAATAAAACTTAATTTGAAACTTTTATTAAACATTCTTTTATTTCGGGTACTTATCCGAAGTTCCTAACTCTTTAAAATTTCTAGTTAAATAGGATTCCTTAACTAATTCACTTTCCTTTATCTGAACGATTAAACTTTTACTAATAAACGTTAAAAACTATAGCATTATTACCCCCAATGAATAGAATGGTATGTACGCCAATCCCGGTGGGGCAAATGTTTGTGAGATAATGAGCATTTTTTACCTAAAGCCAGATTTACATTGATACAGTAGCTGGCGCCAGTCCCGCTGGCATGCCAGCATTGTAAACATTTTTTGGCACCAGTCACGCGCTGGCGCGAGCGCTGGCATGGGATAGAACGAAAGCCTACTTTTAGTGCCAGTGCCCACACCATATACCCTGCATCCACTGCACCCCTTGCCATCACTTTCACGCCAGTCGCTGGCGCCGCCGCTAAATGTCACCACGTGTTATTTATTTGCTGAAACTAAACAAAACACTTACAAGAAAATGTCTCCAAAGTGGGTTGATGATAACACATTAAAATTTATTTAGAAATAGAGTGTTTATGGGACATTCTTTCGCAGAATTAAAGAAGTAACAGATGCGAATAACCGCCCTACAAAATATTTGTTCTTCAGTGAATATGGAAAGGTTGACTATTGAAGAAGTGAAAGCGAAAATAAAATCATTGTACGTTCTTAAGAATCTCTTCTTCTATCATTTCGTTTAGCTCCTCGCATCGTTGTTTTGTAAAACTCACTGTATTTTTTTTCCAAAAGTGTAGTCACCACAAATGTAGTTGCATTACTGCTGGAAAAATGTAAATGATACAATCCAGTCCAGTTATTGGCACCGTTTTTAGGCGCTTAAAACTAGCGCGAGCTACTGTATCAATGAAAATCTGGCTTAAGTCAACGAAATCGACGTCGCACGGTCGCCTAACTAGTGCAAACACAGCTTAAGGCTTGTATTATAGAATACTACCTGGGAACGTATACTACCTTTGTCGTTAAATCTTAAAGGTTGCAGGCTCGTAAGCAAATAATGGTGTCGATTCTGGTATGATTCGCTAAACTTTAACATAAATTTAACATCAGTCTCCTTTTCATTTTGTATAGAGAATGATAAGAATACACTATTGTCAAATTTAAGTTTAGATTTAGTGAATCATGTCAGAATTGACACCAATATTGACACTGCTGCGCAGTGAGAGGCACTATCTGGGCGGGGCGTTAACACCACTGAGATATGCAGCCAGCCCCACAAGAGATACTCGGGTGCCGACATGTTAAATTTGTATTTCTAGATAAATATACTTAATAAAGTACAGTTTAAGTCTAAGAGAGATTAAGTCTTTTTTATATACGTTATAGTCCAAGATCCCAAACCCGCCAAAACTTACTTATTTCCTGATGGACAAAATTGTCGTATTCCGTAATTTATATCAGTATACTGACCAGTGCTAATGACGTCATGAATCGAAGCTATTCTGGTGAATTGTTCCGAAATATATTGGCCAGTGCACAAACGTCATAAATCGACCAAATATTAAAAAAAGTGCGAATAAAGAAGATTTTTGATTCACCTCATCATTGAAAGGAATTATTTTTGTTCGGATGCCATAATTGTTCTTTAAATAAAAAAGAAATAAAATTCGAATGCATCTCACGCACATTTGGTCATACGTCATATTCGTAATCTATCCCGGTGGCGCATGGCGTCAGATTCGTGATGTCATTACCACCTATGATTACAACTGCGGCCAGTTTACTGATGTTTATTTCGGAATACATCCCAAATGTCACTGTCTTATATGTCAGCTGATTTTGACACTTATCAATGTCAACATACTGTCATTGTCAATTGTCATGTTTATTTTCATTGGCGTCGTTATTGTTTAAATGTTTTTGTTATGATTAATCCTAACTAAAAACACTAATTATTCGTTACCTTATTAAATAAACATTCCATGTTTACTGTTGACATTGTTTGCGTAAGCCTATTACTGAAATATCTTAAAATATGAACAATGAAAATCGTGTGGTTGTACTTATCGACATGGACTGTTTCTATTGCCAAGTTGAAGAAAAATTGAATCCTGAATTAAAGATGAAACCTATAGCAGTCGTGCAATACAACCCTTGGAAGGGTGGAGGGTATGTATCATGTTCAGTGCAGATTTTTTTATGCTTGCATTATAACCTCAAACTAAGTTCATATATTGTAACCAATGAAAAAATAGCCAAGTGCTAGCTGAACTCGCAGACAATAAGCTTTCTGTGCTATTTCACAAACCCATTCATGAAACTTCTTTGATTGCCAACATTTATCATAAGGATATCTAATAAGATATTTAATATTCATAAGTATGTAATAGAAGCGGTAACAGATATGCATTCTATGTGAAAATGTGAACCATTTATTACAGTTTATCAGATATATTATGTGGAGGTCTTTAATTGGCTTTGAGATATGTTTTTTGTTTATTTAATAAGTGTATGATACCTGTAAACCTTCCTAAATGTCAACCACCTCTGTTACAAATGAATACTGTGAGTGAGCACACAGTATACCCAGTTTGGCAATCGAACTATTACTCAGCGTATAGAACCACAAAAAAGGCTAATCAATGAGACTAAGCCAAAAATTATTTTATTCTTCCTATCTATATCTATCTTATGATCTTACCATAAGTGTTCAGACTAAGTAGTTTGAAACCAAAGGTAAAAACACAGTTTTATTAATCGGTCCGGATTTGTCTGGACTTTTTGCCTTTTGTCCGGATTTTTTAGTTAGATGGAATATGAGTAAAACTACTCATTAAGTTATATCAAAAAAGTCAAATAATCTTTTGTTTATCTGCAATCAGTAATTTACTATAAGCAGATGTCATGAAAGTTGCTGTCGTGTCGAGCGTATCCTCCATTGAGGATATCTTCTCGTAATTAATTATATGCTGGAAAAAAGCTTATGGTAAATTGGAGTCACCTGTCTCAGGGAAGCCAGTCATTCCAAGCTGGTCTAAGTTGGAAACATTACTCCTGTTAAAACTCATTGTCAGTGTTCATGTCTCATTAATTCAAAACAAAATATTAATCATCTTTATAAATCAACCACGAGACCCTCCTCGCGATGCAAGCGTCTGCTTCCACGCGTATAATATCACTGTAAATAAGTGGATGATGTTTGCATTTTGTGACTAAAATGTCCAGCTTTTTGTCAGGACTTTTCAAATAGTAACCCTAATCACATCTGAATTAAAAAAGCAATATTTTAAATTTTATTAACAAGTTATATTTATATTAGGATTATAGCAGTAAATTATGTAGCAAGAGCAATGGGAGTTACACGACACATGAGAGGAGATGAAGCAAAAGAGAAATGTCCTGAAATCATATTACCTTCTGTGCCTTGTCTAAGAGGAAAAGCAGACATTACTAAGTATGTAATGATTTAAATAGTTGTCAATAAAATTGTATGCTTTAAAATGTGACCTTATTGAACACAAGCTCTTGCTTTCAGATATAGAGATGCTGGTAAAGAAGTTGCCAAAGTCCTACAGAAATTCACGCCTCTCTTAGAAAGAGCTTCTATTGATGAAGCATATTTAGATATAACGGATACAGTATGTATATTTCTAAGGTTAAATTAACAAAAAAAAATCTCTTTAGTATATTCCTGATGTTGTGATCTTGATTACAGGTGCAAGAAAGACTGAAGTCCCTGAATATAAACACTGTCGATGTAAACATGGTACCCAATACATTTGCTCTTGGTTATGAGAATATTAATGAATTCATTATGGATGTTCACAATTATGGCTGTGATTCCATTGAATTCGATTATGAACATGCTAAGCAACTACTTGTAGGAGCAGTTATTGTAAGTGAAATCAGAGCTGCAGTTTATGAAGAAACAGGTACTTATTCACTGTCTGCAAAATGAGTTTTTCTATAATCAATTTTAAATCCTTACATATCAGAAGTGACTAGTCTGGTAAAGCCCCAATTCAATACAATAACAGCCTAATAAATAATTGGTATTGAAATTTCAGTATTTATAGTTATTGAAAATTATTATTCACAGGGTACCGGTGTTCAGCTGGCATTGCACATAATAAAATCTTAGCCAAACTTGTGTGCGGTATGAACAAACCTGACAAGCAGACGGTGCTGCCTAAACACTCAATTAATATTCTATACAGGTATTCTATATGATGTTATTGCAATTTATTACAGTAGATTGTTGTAAAAATGTGAAGTTATATAGAAAAATTAACATTTCAGCACATTATCAATAAAGAAGGTGAAGCACTTAGGAGGAAAGTTTGGGGACACAGTATGTGACACACTAAAAATTACTAAAATGAGCCAATTACAAGATTTTTCCCAAAAAGAACTTCAAGCTAGATTTGATGAAAAGAATGGGTAAGTCATAAAAAATAAATTATAAAGTACTTAGGTATATAATCTATTATAAATTTGTATTACAATATTCATAATAATTTTTAGCACTTGGTTATATAACATAGCTCGAGGAATTGACTTAGAACCTGTACAGGCAAGATTTAATCCCAAAAGCATTGGATGTTGTAAACAATTACGAGGAAAGAGTGCAGTAACAGATCTAGATAGTTTAAAAAAATGGCTCTCTGACCTAGGTCAAGAAATAGAGGATAGACTGGAAAAAGATGCAGTAGAAAATAATAGGACACCAAAGCAAATGGTAGTCAGCTTTTCTACAAGTCTGTCAGATGGTAGAGATGTTAGCAGTTCTAGATCTTATAATTTCTCCACTGATGATGAATTATCTGGTAATTTATTTTCAAGTAAAGCTCTAGAGCTGATAATGGAAACTACTGAGGGAACAAAACTACAAGGTAATATTTTACAAGGTTTTACTTAATTGATTGATGATTGTTTTGAGTCTGTTGACATTGAAGTGCTAGCGGCGACGGAGTGGGGCCATTTTTTGACTGTGAAGCAATAAAGACTGTCATTGTGGGTCAAGTTCCAATCTCCCTATTCCATCTTTAGGGAAGGCCCGTGCCCTAGTAGTGGTCACAACATACAACTACTTACATGATTCCCTTTGTCCTATCGATATTGTTCGCTGTGAAAATTTCCGGCCCTCCCCGCTCCGCCGCTTACATTGACACGTAGCACAACGCGTATTCTTACCCGTAGCTTTAATGTAATTTTAACTTATTATTACATATTTATTATTTTCAGGTGATGAAACGAATAGGCAACTTAAGGCTCCTATAAAATTTTTAGGCATCAGTGTTGGAAAGTTTGAGGAGAATACAGAAAGTAAGAAAACTAAAAAGATCTTAGATTATTTTGCTGCTGGAACATCAAAGGAAAGCACATTAAAAATTAATGACGATGAGAAAGTGGACGTTAGAGCTCCAGAAATTGACAAGAATAAGGAAAGAAAAGGTAAAGAATACATATTACAGAAATTTTTCCAACAAACTGACAGAAAACGGAAAGATGAATCTCAGAAAATTCACGTTACAGAAACTAATAACGAAGCTGTTATTGAAGCTAGCCTAGAAAAACAAGAATCTTTCTTCACTAGGTTGCTAAATAATAGAGACACTAAAAGATCATTTGACAATAATCCTCAAATACCTTTGCCTATAACTGCGCCAGATAAACAGCATCCTCCCAAACCAACTTGCGATATAATAAATAATGGAGAAAACAGCAATGATACAACCTATTCAAGTTCCACCATAAATAATGAGATCAACACAAGTATTGCTCTATTTGAAGAAGATCCGACAGATTTAAATAGAATTAGTAATATGAGGCAGTTACTTAATTCCACAATAATTAACGAAGACCAAAATGAAATTTTGTCTGAAGAGTCATGTGAAGACAATAAATCCAATATTGAAATCTCAAATCTAAAAATCAAGGAGTTAGTACAACCTGCCAATAGTAACTCCAGTGAGAAGTATAATATTTCGTCCAAACAGGAAATAGGTCAAAATAATATGGAGACATTTCAGTGTCCAGAATGCAAAAGAAATGTGGATGTAGATGATTTAGACATCCATGCTGATTATCACCTGGCGCTCAAAATTAGAGATGAAGAAAGGTTGCAAGCACGCATAGTCCGAAGTGAGAAGAACACTTCAAAATCCATTAGACAAAATGAAGAAATACGCAAGAAAAAACTTGCACCAGAAGTCATACCTAGCAAAAATGAAGTCTCCATAGCGAGCTTTCTGGTCAAGATTGATAATTCAGTGCCAACAGAAATTTGTACAGAATGTGGCAAAAAAGTATCAAGGGCCAAATATGCAGAACACCTTGACTTCCATGAAGCACAAAAATTAAGTAGGGAACTTAACAACAAATCTATTCCTGCTTTTTCTTCATGTAACACTACAGGGAAGAGAAAACGACTGTGTGTTTCGCCAGTAAAGAAACAAAAAGTACCTTGTAAATCGATAGATTCATTTTTTAGATGAACTGCAGAATAAATGAAATACAAAATGTGATAATTTCTGAACTCGATTGTAATTATTTTAGATTAGATTGATGAACAGCACGTTGTAATAAAATATTTAAAAAAAATTAACTTGTACATGCAATTTCCTTTTCACCAAATTAATTGATACCAAATAAATTTAAAGCTTCGAAATAATATTCCAACAAAATTTACGTATAAGGTATAATTAAATGATATATTAATTGCTATCATAGGGTGCGGCCAGAGTGCACTCAGATTCAGACTCAGATTCAGATTTCGAAAACAAGCGCGAGAAATAAACAGTGTAGTCGAAGGGTACGGCCAGATTGCACTCCTGATTTAGATTCAGATTCAGACTCAGAAAACAAAGCGCGAGAAAAAGCAGGCAACCTGCTTAGACTACACTGTTTATTTCTCGCGCTTGTTTTCAGAATCTGAATCTGACTCTGAATCTGAGTGCACTTTGGCCGCACCCATAGATAAGATATCAAACTAACTGACCATGCGATTGTTGAGTCTAAAAATCGATTGTTTTGCATCTATAGCAACCAACGATATTAAATACTCTAGATACACCACGTGCGCTCAGAATGTGTCCCAAGTCCCAATCAAGAACTGCTTGAACACGGCACTTCTTAGTTCACAGGCACGCGCGGACCGTTGAAAACTCAAGATGCCGCAGAGCTCCGTGAAAAAATGCGAAATAAATACAGATTACGTAGTCCTTTTTTCGACAGGTATCTAATAAATGTTTGTTAATTTAACCCGTTTGTAGCAAATTTTGTTCTAATACCTACTATAAACTGATTTAATAGAAAATATTTGAGATATTGAAATTCATGGTCGGTAAAATAGCGGTCTCTTTTCCGCGCGGTCCGTACCTGCTTAGCGCTAACAGCGCATAGAGTCAAAGTCTTATGTATACTCTTAAGGTCAAAGTCTATATTCTTCCGCATATTTTATGGCAATGAGTCGTAAAATTTTACGAATTCGTATTTTGAACAGTCATCTCTTTGACGCATGCGTTTCAATTATGACCTTATACAGTATGCATTAAAGATGACTTTAAATGTTTCGATAATGCCTATTTTGTTTTCGACTATGCGATCATCAAACAGAGCTCCGTGGATCGTCCAATGTACCTTTTGGGACAGGTTTCCGCCACGATTTTGTTCATGTTGAATCTAGGGTATTTATTATCGTTGATAGCTTCGCATACTATATTTTTATATAGCCAGGTAGGCAAATGACTACGCCACCTGATATCAAGTGATGATAAAATCCAAACGCGAAGACATGGTATAAAAAGAAGTTTCGTTTGACCTAGGCATATATCTTAAGATTAATTCATACAGAAACAGTATCATGTCTAACGAAAATTTTACTAGAAAAAATTCTATGCAGCAGACGGGACTCGAACCCGCACTCTACGCTATACAGGCGGACGCACTGACCAATTATGTTATCGCGGTCTTAATGGCCGTGTCAAATTGCCTCTATCATTTCTTGGGCTGCGAGGCAGGGTCATCTGTTCGCGTTGTAGGTAAACCCACAATGTCAAACAAATACTTTTACAAGTAATAAACATTTGAAAGACGAAATAGCAATTGTAGTTATATTTTTATTTTGTAAGCATTTAACTGCTATATATTTAAATCTACCGAAAGAGACATAGGATACTCTTCATCCCGGAAAAGTGTTTTGTTCCTAAAGTTAATGCAGACCAAGGCGGGCGGCCACTAGTAGTGATAAATAAAAAGCAACATTTAGAAATTTAAGAGTTTATTGTTCAAGTCGTTTTAGATGTTGTGTATTTCGACTTGCACCTTCCTCCAGGCGTCGAGGGGCCCGTGCTCGGGGCGGTACTTAACGTTGCAGCCGTCGTTGGCGAAGCGGCCGTCGTCGCGCAGCTTCTCGTACTCATCGCGGTCGTACTTCGTGAAGCCCCATCTCTTCGACACGTAGATCTGAAAAATATAATAGAAACTGTTTGTATGGTGCGACAAGGATATTTAAGAATTGTGTGTGTATTTTGTATATCGTTTACGTAGACAGCAGCAACCTCCCAGAACTGTCACATTCATGGAGATCCTTGTCGGACTGTAGATTGCGTGAAATAAGCAACAAGGAAGGTGATTATGGATTTTTTTTAGTGGGGATGTTAGTAACTTTAAAGATTAAGGAAGGTGACTGGGGGTTGGAATTATTGAATTGTTTGATGGGGAAGAAGTTACGGGCATATTATGCTAATGGGCTATATAGACTCAAACAGGTAGACTTGAATATCCAATCCCTAAAACATTGTCTAATCAAATTGACTTCAGGTATGTGCCTTCTCTTTCACAAAATTTATTCAATTACAATTTATTCAAATTGGAAGCCTCGAATATTTGTAATTATAGTAATTGTGAGGGTGATGAAGTTTCAAATGCTGGAGCTAAATCTTACCGAAGCCATAAATAATGCGTGGAGTTTTAAAAAATCTAAATTGTTGCATCTTAGATTTAAATAAAAAGGGTAGATACGGCACGCTCGACTGAATGTTTATTTACAGACATGTGCATGTATGAGAGTTGTTTACATAGTTGAGTCAAAGCATATTTTATTAGATGCTAATATGAGCGTACCAATCTTCCTTTTTTGTTTTAATCTAAGGTTGGCATACTATAATAAGGCCGAAACTAAACTTTACTTTTGCTTACAAAAAGGTAAATAGTCAGATATTTTTGGCATAACAGCAAAACAACCCTAAGCTGGTTCCTTAGGGATGGAAAAACAAGAAGAGGGAAGTGATATGAAATTAAACTTGGACAGTTTGCATTAGTGACATCAAAGAAAAGATAATGAGAAAGATTGGACAAGATCTATACCAAACAGTGATAATTATAATAAAACATTAACTGAAGTTTAACCAAGAGAAGCCTGATTGTGTTACCTATTTACTTCTCTATTGAAACATTTATTTCATACATGAAAGATTAACTTATCACACTTCACCTCGTGCATTGGGTTTAACCTCAACACAGTTTGTTGTTTTGATGTTATAACACAAAATACATATAAACAATCATGCCTCAGGTATACAGTAAATTTTTCTCATCAAACAAATGACCTCTAGGAAGTATTGAGCATCTCTGCTGTTGCCACTATGTAAATTTGAATAATAATCAGAAGGAAAAATAAATTAACACAAACCTTCTGGCGACCAGGGAACTTGAACTTGGCACGACGTAGAGCCTCGATGACCTGCGCCTTCCAACGGTCACTGGAGCGCACGGACATGATGGGCTGTCCGATGCGCACGCGTGCTACCGTGCCTTGCGGCTTACCGAAAGCGCCGCGCATTCCAGTCTGGAGCCTGAAACATCAAATGTGCATTATAAACAAAGCTTGACCTGGATACCTATATTGAGGGATTGGCACAACATTACACCATAACTTTTCCAAATATACAAGTAACTATTGTTTATATGGACTGGTTACTACTATCACCTGCTGCTTTAACACTTACAAATAATACATTAATTACAAAATATTGCTTTCTACAAAATTTGATTTCTTATTACTAACTTCCCATAAATGCAAATAAACCAAAAAATCTTTTGCCTTTTGCATTCTTAAAATTTTCGTCCTCTTATGACTGATTGAATGATGAACAGATTTTTGTAAATTGTAATCAAATGAAATTTTCCTACTTTACATTTTAATATCATCCTAAATTAACAGTTTCATATCTGCTATTTCATCTTGTTGGATGATTAATTTCTAGAAAAAAATGTTATTATGTAAAAATACTAGAAAAAATACCGCTAAGATATATTTTTACTTTTAAAGTATTTTACTGCTAGATGCTTATAAAAGTAAAGAAATTTTAATAGAACAAAGTTTGGTCAGTGCATCTGACCTAACAGAGAGAGAATTATATTGAATTATTTGGATATTTATGTTTTTGTTCAAAATTGGCGCCAATCGTCTATGGCATGGTGGCAGTCTAGTTCGAATTGCTGAGTTAATATGAACTCATCCGACTGAAGTGTCATTGTCGCTCTTTTCATAAACAAAACAAGTGAATTTTGAGGTTAGAGTTTGAATAGTGATTAATTAAGACGAGTAAATCAAATTCTAGTGAAATATGGACTTATTTCACACTTTGCAATGCTGAACGAGCTAAATGCAAGCTGTGTAACAATGAATATTCAAGGAAAGGAAGAACTACACCTTCTTCAAATTGTTTTTTTTTATATTCATATTCGCAAAACATTCACAGAGATATGTGTCATTCATAGAAAATATGTGAATATTCGCAAATGCGAATGTAATGGTTACATCACTACTCTAGACCATTTAGATAGAAAACAAAGTTCCACACAAATCCTGATTATGATTATAAATGAAATTAAAAGCAAACAACTGATTTTGTTAGTAATAAGCACACTTTTTCTTCTTTTTTTTCTTCAAAATTAGTTTAGTTTACACTTCTTAATGCATACTTTTTCACAAAATCAAGACCAATCAGTTTTTTTTTATATACAGTAGATAATGTATTGTGTAAAAATTTGTACAATATTCAAACAAATTATTTTAAATAAAATTCATAATTTTATTTAACTAACATTCTAGTTTGTACTGTCTTACTTTAACAATAGGGAATCTTATGTTATGCTTCTCTTCAATATGGGTGATGACAGAGCAGTAAACAAAATTGATTTAGTACATCAGTAACATTAAAAAAATAAAGATTTTTTTTTTCTTTTGAAAGATAAAGCTTGTGAAGCCACTGCTAAGTAAAAACTGTACTAAGAGGTGATGTCATGCAACATTTCAAATTAATATATCTGTAATGTTGTGATTATGTGTAAAGAGAAATAAAATATGTGTCCAATTCATGTAGGTACCTTATAGACAAAGAAAAAATGACATCATCCCTATTACACAATAATTACAAAACAAAGGCAAGAATACTAAATGGTTACAGATATTAAAATAATTATTAATATCTATGCATTTCAGCATTTTGTTCTATACTATGTTACTCTATTTATTTTTGTAAATGTGTACCACCAGTAGTGCAAAATCTTACTGGTACTTATGAATTACAATATTTATAGAGCAAACATACCTAGGGTTATTCATTGCAGTGGGAAATTCGAAATCAAAATTCTATTTAAATTACTCACCTATCAGCCCCAGCACACGATAACATTTTGTTGATGCGGATAACATGGAATGGATGCAATCTCATGCGAATATGGAACTGATCCTTGCCACAGTTCTTGACGAGGTATTTGTTGCAGCAAATACGGCCGGCTTCAAGAGCTTCCGAACTCAGCTGTTCGTACTCATCAGAGACCAAATGCACACACAGTGGAAAGTCGTCCACAGCAGCCCTCTTTTTACCCAAGTCGAAAATACGGATCTTGGGGTCCGGTACACCACGGCAAAACCGCGATTTTGGGTACGGTTTATTTTTACAATAGCGATAACTGAAAAAGAACAATATTTTTATTAGTTATGATTAAAACTTTGCTGCTTCACTACTGCAATTTGAGGTTGTGAAGTTATGTACCATCTCGCTGGCCGGCGCCCCATTGTGATCTGAAATAAATATGAAAACGAACTTATTAACTTGCACGCACAATGATAGCACAATTAAACACACAAATGTGAAGAACTCTTAGCAGATTAAAATAGATTTCTGTGGAAAATAAATTGTAAGCACCTTCACAAAGTGACACCTTGACGTTGAAGAAGGATAGACAATCTAAACGAAGTGTCAAAGTGAAATTGACGTATACCTGACTGGTTTTTTTTTGGCGGGATTTCATCGAGTGCGGTTGGCGTCTTATTTTAATTATTCTTAAATTCGTTCATAGTGGATATTGTGAAATAAAATTGGTGTGGTTTTGTGTAACAACTGTCTGCGTAACTGAAGAATTAGTGGAATCATTAAAATATACGCTATTCTGGTCAAGTGGACGTGAGAATTTTATTGTAGTGTTGACTACCTCACAGAAGCTTATCGAAAAAGCCAACTCGATACATTTCGTGCCAAACACTCCAAGAAACATTGGAATGCGTCACACCGACATTCTAATGTAAAAACAAAAAGAAGATAAATTTAATTAAAGATTAGGCTGTATGGGCATTGTTCCCTTTGCCTTCCCTAAAACGGGAGAACTTCAACAAAAAAAAAAGTATACCTGACTTTTTAAAATTTTATAACGGCCTTGACTTTCAGGATTTTAGCACAACATTGGGCTCCATAGTCGTGTCGATTCTGGCATGATTCTTGAAACCTAAACTTAGACAACAGTGCATCCTTGTCATTATTTATACAGAATGAAAAGAACAGACTAATGTTAAAATTAGTTTTAAGTTTAGAGAACCCTGCCAGAATCGACACCACTTTGTACAAATTTAGGCCGTATACAGAAAAGCAGATCAAGCAAAATGTCGGACTCATCGGACGATGATCTGGTTATGTTAGAAAATGTGTATTTAAAAATGCGAAAAAAACTATACATCCTATAAATAGAGAAAGGAAACGTTTCGGAGAATACTATCATTTATTTGTAAAAAAATTGAAATTTGATGAACAAAGATTTTATACATATACAAGAATGATTCAAGTAACATTTTATTACATTTTGGATTTAGCGAAAAACAGTTTGATGAAAAATTGGTGCAATTGGCATAAACAACCAATCCTTCCAGAAGAAAGACTTGTTGTCACCATTCGGTAAGTACGAAACCAATAATTTTAGCGCTTAGTTAATAAAAGATAAAGTTATTAGATTTATAAAAAGATTATAACTTAGATTGATTTAATCTAAGGATAATAATTCAAATACAAATTATTTATTATTCGGACCAGCGCATGTCGGCGCTTATCGGCGCCGATAAGCGCCGATCGGCTTTCGGCTTTCTTTCTGTATACGGCCTTAAATGGTTGTAAGAATAATTTTATGTAAAACGAGGCCGGGCTATGCTCTTTGCCTTCCCAACAGGGAAAATTTAACAATATACATAAAAAATATAGAGGTTTTTGGCGGGATTTCATCGAGTGTGGTTGGCGTCTTATTTTAATTATTCTTAAATTCGTTCATAGTGGATATTGTGAAATAAAATTCGTGTGATTTTGTGTCACAACTGTCTGCGTAACTGAAGAATTAGTAGAATCGTCAAAATATACGCTTTTACGGTCAAGTGGACGTGAGAATTTTATTGTAGTATTGACTACCTCACAGAAGCTTATCGAAAAATCCAGCTCGATACATTTCGTGCCAAAACTTCAAGAAACATTAGAATGCGTCACACCGACATTCTAATGTAAAAAGAAAAATAGAATAATTTAACTTAAGATTAGGCTGTATGGGCATTGTTTCCCTTGCCTTCCCAGAAAAGGGAGAATTTAACAAAAAAAATATATTGTCAATGTCATTGTCAAATTGTAAGAAAAGTTTAATTTGTGTTTCAATAAAATTCCAATTTCCCAATAAAGTAAACGAATTTTGTATTATTTTACTGGTTTATAAAGTTTATCAAACCTTAATGTGAATAAATTCAACCAGTAATGGGTGCCTTGACAAGCAGGCAAAATGCTGGAGTGGAAGAAGCAGATGTTGTTTCTAATCATGCTTACAAATACCCACCTAGATCAGGTAAGTTTCCTAATATTGTAATTAATTTATATGCTCTTTCTCAGTCTCAATATATTAATGCGGTAAAATATATAATAAAACGTCATCAATAAGTTGTGGTGTTTGGACATTTTTTCTAGCTACTTTAGAAAACGAACCAGGTCATCATCTTTATGTTTTCGTTTTGACACAAACATTTGATTAAAATCATTTTTCACTGATACTTAAATATATTTTTATTGTGCAATTGTAATCATATGTAGGAAACTATTTTGGAACCCACTTCATAATGGGAGGAGAAAGGTTTGACACTCCTCAACCAGAAGCCTATTTATTTGGAGAAAATGCTGATTTGAATTTCCTTGGCAGTAGGCCAACACCTGTGAGTAACTATTTTGATACAAGTTTTGTATTGATATTTTTTTTAAATTTGGTTTTACTATGAAAATTATTCCTTAAAAGTTATTATATGCCCATTTTAATATAAAAGTATATTTGAATACAATAAAACTCCTAAGTATACATTACAGCAAATTAACTAGATAATTTAAATAGATTCCAATTTGTAAAAACATGTAAGTATAAGAGAATAAAATGTTCACAGTTCCCATATCCTCCGCCCCAATCAAATGAGCCAACAAAGACATTGAAAAGCCTTGTGAATATTCGAAAGGAATCACTGAGGTTTGTGCGGTGTCCTGAGCCAGTGGGTAAGATTGTAGACTCAAACAAAATAGGAGATGGTGTCAACAAATCTGGTGATAATAATGGCAAGGGCACATATTACAACATTGAATTCACATTTGACTGCGATGCTCGATGTGCCATCACTGTATTCTACTTTTGTACAGAGGAAGTCACACCTGCTGGGGTAGTGTAAGTACATTTAATATTTTGTAACATAACAATTTCTTTGTTTGCTTTACTAAATGTAACAAAGACTATTTTCTTTGTTGCATTTAGTAAAGCAAAGCTAATGCAAATGTAAAGCAAATGTGATTGATATATATATATTTGTTATCCTATCTTCAGATATTACCCTCGAGATCCATCTATGACCTCCCAAACTTATCATTATAAAAAAGGAGCCAACCAGCAGTTCTGCCAGATATCTCATGTGTTTGATCCTTCGAAGCATCCGGAGGAAGATTTGGTTTATAATGCCGATAGAGAAATCATACCAATAGCTATTTATTGTGTAGTAGATGAAGGGCAAGAAGGTAAAAGTTTAAGGTTTTACTTAAATTCTACTGTAAGGATAGCACAAGACAAATGATTTATTCAAAGAATAACATACCTTATGTATTTTGACTCACAGCTTTTTCTCGAATACAATAAGGGGTAATATATTTGTAAGATTCTTATTATTTAATTAACATTGCCAACTTTAGTAGGTCTTGTTTTGCTTTGAAAATTTCTTCAAAGCTATAAAGTTCCTTCTGTTGTAAGTATAATAATTAATTTGTAAAAATCATAATTAAACTTTCTTTTTCAAGAAATAAGACAGTCTCACACAACCATTGCAATAGTGGAAAAACACTCTGATGGAACATATGTATTGAAAGCCCTTAAGCAAAAGCTTTTTGTGGATGGTCTGTGTTACCTTTTGCAAGAGATATATGGCATCGAAAACAAGAACCTTGATACAAAGGTATTACACACACATACACACATTTTCTTATGTCAATTCATATAACTCCCTGATTACGCCAAATGAGATACTCTATAATACTTAGTGCATTTTATATTCCTTAACATTTGGAGCATTCCATTTGCATACCTATACTATTACCTTATATTTTGACATTAACTGCATCTTTTTTCTCCAAAAATTTTTCAAATGTTTCAATTTCTTATGACTTTTTCCAAAGTGTTTGTACATGCTTTTCTAATTCGGGAGTATCATCCGATTATCCATTAAAGACTCACCTGGAGTCAACTTAAAGTTAAAAATACAAGTACCATTAGTTTTTAATCCTTACATAAAAAGCTCTTGTGCCTCTCTAACATCAGACTCAGAGATTTGTAGTGCAAGTATTTGGGTGGTATGCATAACCTAGTTCTGACTACATTCTTCAGGCTTAGTCTTTTTTATACACAGACTAGTTCTGATGAGGAAACCGAGTACGGCGTCTCGGAATATGATGCGTGTGCTTTTGTCTGGAGGTCTTTTTTATCAGCCACTGCTCCAGTTCTGCGTTGGACTTAATGTTGCGTTATAAAAGCGTTTGGATTTTAACTTTCGTAGTAAAAACACTTGTAATATTAAAAAAAAGAAACAAAAAGTAGATTCAAAACATAGCCTTTGGGTGGTTTTCCCAGCCTAGTTCTGATGAGGAGACCGAGGACGGGGGTTCCGAATGCGTGATTTGCATGTGTGACGTGCGTGACACTCTGATCCTGCCGTGCCGCCACCTGTGTCTGTGCAACTCGTGCGCGGACTCGTTGCGCTACCAGGCCAACAACTGCCCCATATGTCGCGCCCCCTTCAGGGCACTACTGCAGATACGGGCGCTGCAGCGCATCGCAGCCTCGCCGGCGCCGATAACCGCGGCCGCTAGCCCTAACGACGTGAGTCAAAATATTTTTTTCTACAAATTTAGCTCAATTGAATCGTATGAACGACGGCCTAATAATTTTGACACGTAAATATTAAGTCGGGTCTGTTTGTGTAACAGCAGGGCAGCATGGAGAACATTCCTGCGGGGTACGAGCCGGTGTCGCTGCTGGAGGCGCTCAACGGGCCCCACCCCGCGCGAGCCCCGCCCGCGCCCCGCCCCGCCCCCACCATCGCCTCCCCCGACACCGACACTGCATCACAGGTGAGTAGTGTACAACGGGCCCCGCCCCGCCCCCACCATCGCCTCCCCCGACACCGACACCGCATCACAGGTGAGTAGTGTACAACGGGCCCCGCCCCGCCCCCACCATCGCCTCCCCCGACACCGACACCGCATCACAGGCGAGTAGCGTACAACAGGCCCCGCCCCGCCCCCACCATCGCCTCCCCTGACACCGACACCGCGTCACAGGTGAGTAGTGTACAACGGGCCCCGCCCCGCCCCCACCATCGCCTCCCCCGACACCGACACCGCATCACAGGCGAGTAGCGTACAACGCGCCCCGCCCCGCCCCCACCATCGCCTCCCCCGACACCGACACCGCATCACGGGCGAGTAGCGTACAACGGGCCCCGCCCCGCCCCCACCATCGCCTCCCCCGACACCGACACCGCATCACAGGCGAGTAGCGTACAACGCGCCCCGCCCCGCCCCCACCATCGCCTCCCCCGACACCGACACCGCATCACGGGCGAGTAGCGTACAACGGGCCCCGCCCCGCCCCCACCATCGCCTCCCCCGACACCGACACCGCATCACAGGCGAGTAGCGTACAACGCGCCCCGCCCCGCCCCCACCATCGCCTCCCCCGACACCGACACCGCATCACGGGCGAGTAGCGTACAACGGGCCCCGCCCCGCCCCCACCATCGCCTCCCCCGACACCGACACCGCATCACAGGCGAGTAGCGTACAACGCGCCCCGCCCCGCCCCCACCATCGCCTCCCCCGACACCGACACCGCATCACGGGCGAGTAGCGTACAACGGGCCCCGCCCCGCCCCCACCATCGCCTCCCCCGACACCGACACCGCATCACAGGCGAGTAGCGTACAACGCGCCCCGCCTGGCCCCCACCATCGCCTCCCCCGACACCGACACCGCATCACAGGCGAGTAGCGTACAACGCGCCCCGCCCCGCCCCCACCATCGCCTCCCCCGACACCGACACCGCATCACGGGCGAGTAGCGTACAACGGACCCCGCCCCGCCCCCACCATCGCCTCCCCCGACACCGACACCGCATCACAGGCGAGTAGCGTACAACGCGCCCCGCCCCGCCCCACCATCGCCTCCCCCGACACCGACACCATGTCACAGGTGAGTAAGTGTAAGTGAGATGAAATTGAGTTGAATGATTTAAGATCGAAATTGGCTCGAGTTGAGATCGAGGATGATTTAAGCTGCGTGAGATGAGAGTGAATTCTGATTCAAGAAGTAAGTGAGAAGGGATTGGTAATGGATCAACTCGAGTGAGATGAGATCACGTTAGAAATGGGGAAGAAAGTGTATCCAGATCGAGTTCATTAAAATAAGATGGAGTTTAGATCCAAAGTCAAAGTGAGACGAGATCGAGAATGGATTGAGTTGAGTGAGATGTGATTGTTTGGACATCAACATTAACGGCGAGTAGACCTTCTTTTCGCCGATGATGTGGTGCTTATAGCTGTGACCTTGGAAGATCAAAACACAATTCTCGAAAATCTTAGTAGTGATCCCAAAATGTAATTTTGTCCTACGCCTATGTGGTACCCGCTTCAGTTAAAATTGGTAACATGACACTTGGAAGTTTTTGACCACTAATATCCCATTCACAAGTTTTACAATGGTTACTTTGGGGCTAGACTGATTGGTGTGAGTATTCGAAATATTTATTTATTTTCTGATATTAAAATAGTGGCATTATTTTACTACCGCGCAGGCGGCGGAGATCCTGAACCGCTGCAACCTGGAGCGGAGTTCTTCCACGAGTCTAGGCAGCGGCGGCAGCAGAAAGGGCAAGGTCAACCGCGATGACGTCAAACCACGTGACAACGCTCACACCATCACACCGGAGGTACACTCTATACTTATTAATAATTAATATTATAAAGTGGAATAGTTAGTTTGGTTGAACGCGTTTATCACAAGAATCTGGTTTGAATTAATGAAAATTTACGTCGTCGGCGCCACTGTGACATGAAATGAAATGAAAGTTTATTTGCATGAAACATAGTTTGTTACAGCTGGTAAATAATATAAAAAGTTCCATTCCATACAAAATACTAATAAATTATTTAAAAATTCAAATTTAAATTGAGTAATAGTTGCATTCCAATAATTATATAATACATGTCAAATTATCTAATTCAATAGCCATTTCTTCATTATGTCAACACAATTACAATAATTAATAAATATAATAACATTATATTTCACATAATAATTATACAATAGGTCTTTTGTTTGAAATATACGAACTATAATTTGCTTGCTAAATCATTCTCAAGTTCGTGTTTTGCATCGCTTTATGCTTAAAGAATATTTAATAAGCTATTTGACAGTATGAAAAATAATGTAACAATTGTTGGAATCTGTATTAAATATGAATATTAGCAGCAATTTTACTATTCTGAAAGAACAGATAATTAATGACTTTTCTATAAAATCATTAAATAGAAATGATTATATTGCTCCATGGTCACGTGGCCGATAACGCCTGGAATTGGCCAAAACTAAAATGGCTTCACACGCTAGTATACTTCCGGCCAAAGTGATATCACATTGTATTGTTTGGCATTTTAATGACAGTCGTGTGACATCACACACTAGTAGTTCCAGAGAAACGTTTCCGCAGAAACATGTTTTTTTTTTTAAATTTAGTCTTTGTTACTGAATTACACATCAGAATTAAAAATATCCACTTTGTATGGATCCCATAAACATTAGAAAATAACGTGAGATCGTTTTCTAAAACTTGTTTTGCCATTTTTTGAGCTTCCTTTCCTGGACTATTAGCTACGATTTTTTTTACGATATAAATAATAATAAATAAATAAATATTTCCAACACTCACACCAATTAGCCTAGCCCCAAAGTAAGCACTGTAAGGCTTGTGTTATGGGATGCTAGGGTAACGGATAGGATACATATACTGTACATATATAAGTATATTTATATAGAAATACATATTAAACATCCATGACTGGAGTACAAATGCTCGTATTCATCACACAAAGATCTGCCCCCACCGGGATTCGAACCCGGGACCTCTCGAGTCGGCGACACCATGAAACCCGGCGTACAAACCACTCGGCCACGGAGGTCGTCATATATCGTATATAATATCGTTGATCGTTGTGTATTCCAGTTCCGTATGTCAGTTTTGTTGGCGCGCGAGGAAGCCGCGCACAGCCCGCTGCTCAGCAACCCCGTCCCGCCTGAACGGACTCTGTCTAAGGTGAATATACTCCATACATACACTCTCGAATATAACATCGACACCATTATTGCTATTTATTTTAGATGTCGTACTTCGAAAACATTCCGAAACCCCATATCACGAAGAAGAAAATAGATACAGGAGACGAGTTCATATGAATGACTGAATGAATGAATGAATGATCACTTTATTGTACACCATGATATTTTAAATTACAATCAATTAAAACTATTACATAATAGTACAAACGGCGGCCTTATCGCTAAGAAGCAATTTCTTCCAGGCAACCGTATGTTAACTGGACTGTTACATAAAGAGTGGGAAGTAGATGGTGTCATTTAAAGTGCAATTACCATTAATAACACTTATAAATAATTATGTACAACAAAAAAATAAAATAAAATACAAATACATAAACATAATACATCTATTTATAAAGACACTAACACTTTAATCATACTTTGGATGATGTGACGACCTGCTAAAATGCCAAGTAATGTTCTTTTAACATTCTTTTAAAACAAGCTAATGTTTTAGCACCTCTGATTGCTTCTGGCATATTTGCAATACTATAACATTATGGTATAACATTATAACTATACTTGTTTTCATGATTATTTAAAAGATTACATTCTGCTTGCATGACATTATTAAATGTACTATTTACTTATGGGAAGTTGCTGGTACCTGCCATACAGTTTATACTAGTGCAGATACCAACGCTCCAATTAAAATGTAATTGTTGTTTAATTAAGTAAAAATAAAAATTTGAATATATATATATATACAGGGTGAAATTGAATGTTTCTATGAAACTTCGTGAGATTGTTGGGTTACATGTATAGAATATACCTGATTTTTTTCGGATTATTTAAAATTATTTTTTTCGTTTTTTATTTTTTTTTATTTTGCATTTTTATGTCCTTTCCTCCTTTTGAGTGATAATTATTTTTAAACACGTATTCATAGTAAGTGAAATATAACAAATAAATAAGCACTACTAAAATAAACGAAAAATAGTTGATATGGCCAGGCGAGGCCGACGCCGGGGGCAACGACCGCGCGCGCACAGCTGACGCGGCGCGTACTTATCTACAGTACAGTGAGACTACGACCTTGAGATACTGTGTTCATACTAAACAGCATCTCAAGATCGCTCTCAGAGTTGAGATCGTTCTATTCATACGGGCCTTAGATGTCATATTACAATGACAAAATTTAAATAAAGAACAAGTGTTATCTTCTCATTAGCAGAGAAAAATACCTAAAAAGTTAATAATAATTTTGTTACAAAAACAAATACTTATTGCAGTTTAATACTTGTGTCAGAAAGAAATTTATAACTAGGTATTAGACAGTACTTACGAGACCGGCGATGTAGGTGTACATTACAATAAAATAGTCTTAGATGCTATATTATAATTATTTATTCACTGATACACAATACCTTTGAATATTGTTTCATAAAGCACAGGTAATTAATCAATAAAATAAATCTTCTGTTAGAGCAATTAAGAATCCTATAAAGTTAATATGACTGTCACGATTTTAAATCGGTAAAGCCTGTCTGTTAGTGTAAGAACTTCTTTTTTATTGTTAATGTTAGTTGCCTCGTTTAATTAAAACTTAAGCACAAACGGCTTATTAAATTGGGAAAAATCATACAGAGCAAATCGGTATAACTTACGAGCTTAGTGAAGGAAGGAACTCTTCGTGTCTGATTTGCCCACGTCATGAAATTCCCAACACATTTAATCACAGCCACAGTCACACATACACACACACACACACATAATAATATGTTGTTTTGCGGCAAGCACGGGCGCGCGGCGCGCGGCGCGCCGCTCGCTGGCAACTAGCGCCGGTTGCGGCGTCTTTGATGATGTGAATTCCGCCCACCTCCCCTCTTCCCCGCGCGCGGTGGTTTGCTTTGATTGCATGCAAAACGCAGTCGCAAGTATATCAATCGCGCGTGCGCGTGCGCATCTTTTGACTTAGTGACATACACTGTGATAATTTCATTATGCCTCGGTATACGAACCAAAAATACCTATTTAGAGATGGTGTACTGCTATCGCGAGTGTGACGAAGTAGGTTTGGTTTACGAATGAGTCCCCAAACCATAGAAGTTGCATTTTTTGCAGTGAGTAGTGATAGGGACACTTTAAAAAAGGTGAAAAGACACGTCCGCAAACATGCCTACCTTTGTTTGCAGCAAAATGGTGGTTTAAAGCAACAATTTTGCAGATAATAATTTAAGTCTCTTTTTATTGCTAGTGTAAATACTTTTTGATTAGAAACAACTAATTGTGTACTACCAGTGTGATTGATTTGATAAAAAGTTCTAGTGAAAAAAATGAATATGTTCTTCGTTCCTCGTTGTACCTACTTACATCGTCGGTCTCGTAAGTACTTTTGAATACCTGGTTATAAATTTCATTCTGACCCAAGTATTGAACTGCAATAAGTATTTCTTTTTGTTTAACATTTGCCTATTTCCAATCGTGACAAAATTATTATTAACTTTTAAAGTTTTTCTCTGCTTAAGAGAAGATGACATTTGTGCTTATTATTTCAATTTCAATAAAGGCATCTAAGCCGATTTTATTGTATTGTGTTTAATCAAACGAGTCAGCTGAGCTCTGTGTAGAGCTATGTACCTATTCACTCAACGGCTGGCGGGCGCGGTCGGTCGTTGACCCGCGGTGGAATTTTAATGTTTTTCCGTTTTCTAGAAGTGCTTATTTATTAGTTGTTTTTCACTGGATATGTAAGTTTGTTTGTTTAAAATGAATAACTACTCAAAAGGAGGAAAGGACATAAAAATACACAAATTATAAATAAATACATAAAAAAAATATACTTCAAAAAAATCCGAAAAAAAACAGGCATACTCTATACACATAACCCAACAATCTCACGAAGTTTCATAGAAACATTCAATTTCACCCTATATATACTAGCAAACCAGTGAACCAAATGTTCACCAAAAAAAAATGTATTTAATTAATTGAGAACTTCGGAGATTTTGTGTGGTTTCGTTTGAAATAGAAAACCGGAAGTGCTATGTTACTCACATCTGGTTTGTAGTCTTATCAGACTATTCTTAATTTATAACTTAAACATTCTCTATATCTATCTCTTACGGTTTGGCCGCTGAAACAGCACCACGGACGGACGGACGGACTTGTCTAATAGATAAGAGATATATATACTTATATGTAATGTACAACAACATGAAATGAAATGAATAAATTATTATTATTATCCCTCCAGTCGGCTCTAAGCCTACGGCTGAGGTCAGAAGCAGTGGCGTCCGTCCTGGGGGCCATTCGCCTAACGGAAATGCTTTGGAAAACGCTAACGCTTTCGATTTCATTTTGTTATTTCTGACCGCCGAAGGTTTTCAAATACCTCACGCTCATTTTCTTTAATATTGTTATTACCAACGCATAAGAAAAAAAAAGGGCGCGAGGCATTTGAAAACCTCAGGCGGCTAGAAATAACAAAATGAAATCGTAAGCGTTAGCGTTTTCTATAGCATTTCCGTTAGGCGAATGGCCCCCTGGGTTCGGGGGATGAGCTCTTAAACTTCATTACACAATCGTTTGTACATATCCCAAAGTATGGAGAGCTACATCGCGCAAGATTAATTCGGAGGACACTTGATATAAACAATGCCCGATCATCATTAGTCGAACCACGGCCCCGAGCTACCAGCTTGGAAAAAGATTGGCTTTCCGACAATTGGTACCAATCTTTCCTCAGTTGATTTGACCGCGTTACCTCCAACCTAGCAGTCAAATCTTAACGCATTATCTCAGTTACCCGTGATCTAGCCAAATTGATAATGGTACTTGCAACAGGGTCGAAATATCAGGGACCCACAAAATACAAGGTTCATGATAGCAGTTCGAGAGACTATATTGTAACCCCTCGTTTACACCAAGGAATAAGTCATGTTACAAAAAAAAAAAGTAAAGTACAAAAAGTTTTTTTTTCTAGTAAACTTTTCATTAGATTTAAACATCTAGCAGTTAAATGCTTAAAAAAAATCATAGTACAAAAAAGTTTTCCGCATTACTTTCATAATTTTTATGTCAGTCAAAAACAATCTACAAACTTTCTGTCTACCTTTAAACGTTATTATTGTAGTCTTTAATTTTCTATTACAAAATTAAATTATACTTGTACCTGTATTTTATAAATATAAAAAAAATAAGATTCTTTGTAGATACTAAAAATGCAGGTGTCTTAAACCTCACCATGTATCACCAAGGGTTAGGGGGGGTTAAAAATGACAAAAAATACATCACGTGATTAATGGACGTCTTTTATCCCTCCAGTCGACTCTGAGCCTGGAGTACGGGCGCGGGGACAGGTCAGGCTCCGTAGCGTCCGCGTCGGGCTCCGAGGACGAGGAGCCCGTTGGCCCCGAAGTGGCCATTAGCCCCGTCGCCGTTCCCACTGGCCCCGCCACGCTGGCCACCGCCACCGCCCCACCGGAGCCCGACGCGGAGCCCGACAGCGAGACTGAGAGACTGTCGCCGTTGTTGACGCACCTCCCACCTAATGGCGTAAGTATTTACTTAGACTATTTGATTTAGTTTTTGATGGTCGTACGGACTCGTTGTCATAATTATTATGTGCCAATTTAATTGTAACTTGTCCATATTTACAATGCACACATCATGTTCTTTAAAGCCATAAATGTTATTTTCCAAATTTTACAGTGAAGCGGCTTTTATTTTTTTAGAATATAATTAGATTTGTTGTGATATCTGATTGCACTATTTTTTTTAAATAATAAAAGACCTTTGTACCTCATTACTCTATTTTCAATGAAATATTTTATTACACTGTCTATGTGTGTAACCAAAATAAATAAAAAAAAATGTCTTCCCTTCTCTCAAATGACGGTAATGAATTATAGATATAAATTAATTTCTTATATTTCACCATAAAATCCACTTTGCTTAACACATATGTACCGATTAAATTGTTATAACTCGCGACATTCTTTCCCCCTCGCACATGCTGCCCCAAGCAACGTGCGAGAGAGACAGAATGTCTTGCGTCGGCATTTTCGATTGGTTTCTTTAATTGCACGAGTTATATAAACTGTAATATCCATTCGAATAAACTTAGTTCTATGATACAGACAAATCATGCTATACAGGGTGTAAAAAATCCTTTAACGAAGTCGAAGGCCACGTATTTTCCACATCATGACGATAATTTTTTTCTTCTGGATCATACCTGGGAAATTTTGGTAATGAAGATATTGAAGGTCAAAATCACATTTTTTTTTCAAGATATATAAATTAATATTTTCAAAACGTTATTTAGAAACTTTTTTATCGACGCACTTTTACACACAGGCACATTATTTGCGTAGCGCCACAGTAGCGCGCCGCGCCATACATTGCGTACTGGAAAAAAAATCAATTTTTTTACTTAAAAATACAAATGATTCCCGCGTATTATATATTGTAATATTACTTGTTTAGGTGTACAGAATGTTTAGTTTTAGTCTTTGCCATAGTTTTTTTTACACCCTGTATGTCAGCCCATTTAACTGTTAATGAGGTACACGTGTATTACAACAGACCGTGACAGGCATGATGGCGCACATCGATGACACTGACACCGACGAGCCGGAGAGAAACGCGCACTGTAAGTATAACATGAAATAGTACTCTTCTTAACACCAAATATCACAGACCTAGATCAAAGTAGGCGCCGTGTGTATTTCTAATTGTATTGAAACAGAGCATGTCAGATTTTGAGAACGAATAAGTGGTGATAAAGCATGGGCCCCGGTCACCTATTTCAGTAGGGTATTTTACAGTATTAAAAATTAAGTGCCAAGTGGCATGAATTTTTACTAATTTTACAGAAATAATATTCAAGAAGATAATAGTTTTCTTATCTATCGTCACGTGATTATTTTTACTGAAATAGACAAGAGAATGATTAATATCCACTTTTTATGGACTCCATATTTATTAGTAAGTAACGTGAGATCGTTTTCCAAAACTTGTCAAATACCCAATTATGTAAAGAAAAATGTTGCCAAGTAAATTACACAAACTCCCTTAATAAATAAACGAGATGGATGAGTTACTCCATGTTTTCGCTCTGTTCATTGAATTACAAATGGCATTTGAGTGATATGAACAGAACACAGCGTAACTAGCCTAAGCTTATTCCTCGTTTGTTAATAACGGGGTAAATGTGTAGACAACATAAATAGTGAGGATATTGAAAATTTAATAGGTAATACCTTTGCGATATCATTCGGACGTCCTAAAAGTCACAAGTCCTAAATTCATGGACACATATAAAAATGTCTCGGAGATATGAAATGACGAAGTAGAACTAGGATGAGTAAGACCGGCTCCGCACGTAAGCACCAACGTTGGCCAATGGAAAACGAGTGTTAGCTCATGAAGAATTCTATATGGGACCGCGGCGGGAAAAAAAGTAAAGCTAATTTATCGATTCGCGCGTGAGACGAGGTGTATACCATAGTGTCAACATTGGTGGCAGCCTGGAGACCGGGCCACGATAATGTTATCTTACAGTATTGTGACTCGGCCTGTTCATACAATAGCTGAACCAAAAATAAGCGCAAATAGTCTATATTTGTCATCTCAAGTTACTATCATACCGCTCGTTCGTTACTATGGCACATTCGCGACTGTTATGTACTGAGCTCCGAGGCGCGTTAGTATAAGTCACGTTCCGACCGTTTGTATGAAGACAGAATAGTCTACGTGACTGTTGTGTACTGTAATCCGAGGCGCGTATGTATGATTCGCGTTCTGACTGTTTGTATAAAGATAGGATAGTGTACGCGACTGTTGTGTACTGTAATCCGAGGCGCGTTAGTATGAGTCGCGTTCTGACTGTTTGTATGAAGACAGGATAGTGTACGCGAACGTTGTGTACTGTAATCCGAGTCGCGTTCAGACCGTTTGTATGAAGACAAGATAGTGTACGTGATTGTTGTGTACTGAACTCCGAGACGCGTTAGTATGAGTCGCGTCCGACTGTTTGTATAAAGACAGGATAGTGTACACGACTGTTGTGTACTGTAATCCGAGGCGCGTTAGTATGAGTCGCGTTCTGACTGTTTGTATGAAGACAGGATAGTGTACGCGAACGTTGTGTACTGTAATCCGAGTCGCGTTCAGACCGTTTGTATGAAGACAAGATAGTGTACGTGATTGTTGTGTACTGAACTCCGAGGCGCGTTAGTATGAGTCGCGTCCGACTGTTTGTATAAAGACAGGATAGTGTACACGACTGTTGTGTACTGTAATCCGAGGCGCGTTAGTATGAGTCGCGTTCTGACCGTTTGTATGAAGATACAATAGTGTAAGATAACTTTTTACCGTGACCGGGTACAGGTCGCGGCACGTAACTCTAGCGCTGAACAAAACGCGGAGGGGATAGCTGCGTATGGGTACGACTAAAGAGTAAATCGGCGCAACGCACGCTTGCCCGCGCACCTGTGTTTCCCCCCAAGACCTCATAATTTTTACTTCTGCGCAATAACGGTCAGCGCTAGAGTTTCGTGCCGCGACTTATAACAACAGCACCGTCCTGGCCCGCAGCGGGCGCTCGCGATTGCGTGGCGGAGTCGCCGCCGGACGGGCGCGCCGACGACTCGGACTATTTCACGCCCGAGGACACCGCCACCACCATACTGACCGTGCCCAAGCCGCACAAGCACGCAGTAAGTCAGCATCAGACCGTGTGAAGTAGCTACCTACGTCATTACATCGACAGCGGCCATCTTATGCTATTGTTGTGTTTTGTGTGCGTTGTGCTGTTTTTAATGTTGTGCTCGTTTGCGATGCTATTCGTTTTGTTCCCATTAGAAGTCGGCGTGAAAACTCTTTGGACTTGGATTCGTGTTGTGGTATTATAGTTGCTAATGTTTTGTTCGTTCGGTTAAATCACTGTAGGGCGACCTCCACGCGCGAGAAAATCGCGGCGATGTTATTATCGTGCAATGTATTTTTTATACACTCACGTAGACTGTGGTCTCCCCAGTTGAAAATATTGCGGTGATGCGACCAGTAACTTGAGTGTATGAAAATCGTCTGCGTATTGTCGTGTATAGTTTAATTCAAACTCATGGTTGCTATGAAGTTATCGCGACGCAGTAAAAGAAATATAGAATAATCTAGACACGCACGGACTGCAAATATCATAACCGCCGTAAAGTTTGAATCATACTCAATAGGGTATTTGACAGTATTAAAAATAAAGTGCCAATTGTTAGCATCTGTATTTAGAATGAATATTGGCAGGGGATTTTTCTATTTTTACAATAGAAAATATTCATAGTTTTACTAAAAACCCTCGAAAAAGATAATAGTTTTCTTATCTATTGTCACGTGACATAAAACGCTTGGGATTGGCGGAGCCTAAAATGACGTCACACGCAAGTAAACTTCCGGTTAAAGTGTTTTAATAACAATCGTGTGACGTCACACACTAGTAAGACGCCATATTGTCCAGAGAAACGTTTTCGCGGCAACTTGAAAATGGAGTTTTTGATTGGGTTATTTTTACTGAACTACACAACAGAATGATGAATTTCCATTTTTTACGGACTCCATAAACATTAGCCAATAACGTGAGATCGTCATCTTGTCAAATACCCTATTCTGCGGCGCGCTGTCAAATGTCAGGCGCTGCAATCCTAATGAGGCGCGTAGATACACAGACGGAATAATCTTCATCTTGTAGAAATGACACGACTCGTCGCCATATTCTCGCTCGTGAAGCTAGCGGCTAATGGCATGATTACACTTGGTCGTTAGCTCGAATACGAGTGCCTATGGAATTGGGACAAACGATTAAGTGTAAATGAACGGAGTCGAGTACCCCCTTATTCGTTTCGTTCCAACTAGAATGCGGGTGCAGAGTTGTTTGCCCGTGTTCCAGTACCAGAAAACAATGTAATTATTGCTTCGGGTACCCGAATACAAGCAATTTCCGTGCCCCTGAAAACGGCTAACGACCAAATGTAATTGGGCCATAACTCGGTGATACATAATATAATGTATATAACCAACGATATTAAATACCCTAGATACACGACGAGCGCTTAAAATGTGTCCCAATCAAGAAGTGCTTGAACTCCACTCAAACACTTCTTGGTTCACAGTCACGCGCGGCCCGTTACAAAGTCAAGATGCCACAGAGCTTCACGAAAAAATGCTTAGAGTACGAAAAGTGTCGTTTTTTCGACAGGTATCTAGTCAATGTTTGTAATTTAACGCATTTGAAGTAAATTTTGATGTAATACTTACTATAAATTGATTTAATATAAAATATTTGTGATATTCAAATGCATGGTCGGTTACACGTCGGCATATAGCCGTCTCTTTTCCTCGCGGTCCGTGCCTGCTATATTGCTAACAGCGCGTTCAGAATTGGGCGTAGAGTTAAAGAACTAAGGTCTAAATTCTTTCGCATATAGCAATAAGTCGTAAAATTTTACGAGCTTGCATTTCGAACTGTCAGAAGTCCTTGACCCATGCGTTTTATTTAAGACTTTATACAGTATGTATTAAAGGCTACTTTCAATATTTAAAGAACGCCTTATATTGATTTTCACTACGCGATCATCTTACGGAGCTCTGTGGATCGTTCAATGTACCTTTTGGACAGGTTTCAGGCACAATTTTGTTCGTGTTGGTGTATCTAGGGTATTTAATATCGTTGTATATAACATTAATATATAATTTCAACATTGAACCGCACTATACTGACATTTATACCTATTAGGGACCCAAAAATGTTGAGACCGGGAATAACAAAATCCAAGTTAAAAGTGTTTTGCTTTTGTTGTGATTTGTTTCGCTCAATGTGTTCATTTAATAATAGCATACATCAATCATTTGTGTTGTGTCTTACCACCAGGGGTCTGCGTTTGTTCAGACAATTATTCTTTAAACTATAAAGGTGACTTTGATATGTTCTGTTTCAGGAGACAGCTAACAATATAGCAGGGGAGTGCACACCCCAGCGGTGGGCACTGCCTCATCACGTCACTTCACTTCCGGGTAAGATGACAGTATTAAAAATAAAGTGCCAATTCTTAGCATCTGTGTTTAGAATGAATATTGGCAGGAGATTTTACTATTTTTTCAAAAAAAATATTCATAATTTTACTAAAAACCCACGAAAAAGATAATAGTTTTCTTATCTATTGTCACATGACTCAAAACGCTAACGGAATTGGCGGAGTCTAAAATGACGTCACACGCAAGTAAACTTCTGGTTAAAGTGACATTACATTGCATCGTTTGACGTTTTAATAACAGTCGTGTGACGTCACACACTAGTAAGACGCCATATTGTCCAAAGAAACGATTTCGCGGCAACTTGAAAATGCAGTTTTTGATATGATTATTTTTAACGAAATACTCGACAGAATGATTAATATCCACTTTTTACGGACTACATAAACATTAGTCAATAACGTGAGATCGTTTTCTAAAACTTGTAAAATACCCTATTGCCGTTTTGACAAGAGATGTTTACATAGAGCAGCTCACCCTTTCATAATCGCTTGGAGGGTCCAACTATCACAATTATCTGCTCAATTTAATTCACTATGTACAGGGAACGTTCAGTCCATTCTCTAAGACTAGTTGGAACACCTGCAAGATTGCTGTTCCGTCAGAGCTATGCGGGGTAGCTATGCATGAAGCGAATGAGATTAAAGTTCACCAATAGGGTTACGTAGATTACCCTAAAGTGACACAGCTCAGCATTGCTAATTAGTGGATTTTCCCATCACTTGCTGCTTGATTATCTCCTAGAGATAACCCAGCCTGAGCGTTTTGTGAATAAATACCTCATGATGATTGTTAAAACCTTCTATAAAATAATATTATCGTTCTCTTAAAGAGCTCTGTTTAGGAGGTCGATGGCGCAGGTGATTAGCGCAATCGGTCTGCGATTTTGTAAGTTACGTAACTTTCGCAATGGTCGGTCATTGGATGGGTGACCAAGAACTCATTATCTCGAGCTCCGTGCTTCGTGAGGCACGTTAAGCCGTTGGCCCCGGCTGCATCTGTGGTCGTTAGCACCCATCAATCCGCTCAACCCGCGTGGTGGGTCACGGCCCCGTTACTATTCGAACCATAGGGGAGGCCTGTACCCCTGCAGTGGGGACATTAATAAGCCGATGATGATGATGTTGGTTCTTTCATCAGGTACTCCGCTCAGCCAGTCTTCAGTGCGTTCGTCAGGAGACTCTTACAGCTCCACCTCTTCAACGCGGCAGCTACTGGCACCCGTCCCAGGAGCCCCACTCGCTACTGACACCGCTTGCTAGCGTCGCGCCCCCCGTATACCGCGCATCAATATCGCCGCTCCTAGCCCGTGATCAGGTTACAGCTCCAGCTCATATCTAGGTTATACCGCCCGTCAATATCGCCGCTTCTAGCCCTTGATCAGGTTGCAGCCCCAGCTCTTATCTAGGTTATACCGCCCGTCAATATCGCCGCTTCTAGCCCTTGATCAGGTTACAGCCCCAGCTCATATCTAGGTTATATAGCGTGTCAATATCGCCGCTCCTAGCCCTTGATCAGGTTAAAGCTCCACTTTATATCTAGGTTGTACCGCGCGTCAGTATCGCCGCTCCGAGCCCTTGATCAGGTTACAGCCCTAGCTCATATATAGGTTATACCGCGCGTCAATATCGCCGCTACTAGCCCTTGATCAGGTTACAGCTCCACCTCATATCTAGGTTATACCGCGCGTCAATATCGCCGCTCCTAGCCCTTGGTCAGGTTACAGCCCCAGCTCATATCTAGGTTATACGCGCGTCAATATCGCCGCTCCTAGTCCTTGATCAGGTTAAAGCTCCACCTTATATCTAGGTTAGACCGCGCGTCAATATCGCCGCTACTAGCCCTTGATCAGGTTACAGCTCCACCTCATATCTAGGTTATACCGCGCGTCAATATCGCCGCTACTAGCCCTTGATCAGGTTACAGCTCCACCTTATATCTAGGTTATACCGCGCGTCAATATCGCCGCTACTAGCCCTTGATCAGGTTACAGCTCCACCTCATATCTAGGTTATACCGCGCGTCAATATTGCCCACACAGAAGAAATTATTATTAGTTAGTAATTAATCTACGGTTGGTCGGGCCGTTCGGTAATAGCAATGTGCTCAGATTAATCTGTGATCACGTGGCCAAAATGGTGGATCCGTCGCCTCTGCGATGCAAATACCGAACTCAGCTTACATGTGACGCAAGGGTGTATAATGCGATTCAAATAAGAATAGGAAAGCCAATGACCTTCAACTTTATGTTTTTTCTTACAGTCTTTATAAATAAATATTATTAAAAATTACTTGTTTCTTCTCAATCTTAGTAAATATTTTAATAAAAAAATCTTATGTTTTTCTCACTTAATATTACTTAGAAGTTATATTAAATAAAATCTTTTTTTTCCTCACTACCTATTTGGTTTGAATTGACAGCTATGACGTCAAAATATGGCGCCCAGTCGGTCCTATTCTTAGTTGAATCGCATTATAGATAAAATATTTTATGCAGTTGTGGATTCTATACTACTATATAGTTTATAATTTTAAGAAACAGTATTAGAGGACTAGCTAAATAACAAATTATATACCTATACCTTATTCTTAGATAAAAAAGTTGTATTAGCTATTAAATATTTATCTGATGTTATTTTTCTCTTTATATATTTTAAGAACCATTGTCTGGCCTCCTGTGTGTATGTATACAAACTGAATTTATGTTAATAACATTTTAGTGTAAATATTATAATGAATTAACCTATATTGTATGTTTAAATAATAATTTTAGAGTGCCTGCTAGGACTTTCAGTCATTAAAACTGTATTTTGTGAAGCACAAGCTCAAAAATACTTTTTTGTAAATACTATTGTTATTTTTTGTAAATAAGTTCAGCGGTGAAGGGTTGATATTTAGAATATAGGTGTATAAGACTACTATGGAAACATTCCTGACTCATTTTCTGAATCTCCAATATTTAATAATAAATTTATTTAAAAGAATGTGTATTTTCTTCTGAACCCAGGAAGTACAGTTTTACCAACAATAGGGTATTTGACAGTATTAAAAATAAAGTGCCAATTGTTAGCATCTGTGTTTAGAATGAATATTGGCAGGGGTTTTTACTATTTTTACAAAAAAAAAATATTCATAATTTTGCTAAAAACCCACGAAAAAATAATAGTTTTCTTATCTATTGTCACGTGACCCAAAACGCTTGGGATTGGCGGAGCCTAAAATGACGTCACACGCAAGTAAACTTCCGGTTAAAGTGACATTACATTGTATCGTTTGACGTTTTGATAACAGTCGTATGAGGTCACACACTAGTAAGACGCCATATTGTCCAGAAAAACGTTTACGCGGAAACTTGAAAATGGAATTTTTGATATGGTTATTTTTACTGAAATACACAACAGAATGACGAATATCTACTTTTTAAGAACTCCATAAACATTAGTCAATAACGTGAGATCGTTTTCTAAAACTTGTCAAATACCCTATTATATTTCATATAATAATAAAGTTTATTGACCAAAAAATCAGTACTATAAGATTTCGATACAAAGTTAGCACTAGTTATACAGAAAATATAATTTATTAGCCTCTGCTGCTGAACTAGGCAAGGCCTGTATTTCAGCATTCAGCACCATAAACCCCACAGATATGAGAATACTAAACTAGACTAAATACATATCTCATAATTGAAAAGGTCAATCAGTAGCAATTCATTTAAAAAGCAAGGCATCTATGAACGAAATATATGACGACCTCCGTGGCCGAGTGGTTTGTACGCCGGGTTTCATTTGTACTCCAGTCATGGATATTTTTAATATGTATTTATATAAATATACTTATATATGTTATGTACAGTATATGTATTCTATCCGTTACCCTAACATTCCATAACACATAGTAAGCACTATAAGGCTATAGTGCTTACTTTGGGGCTAGGCTAATTGGTGTGACTACCTATTTATATAAATGAATATTTAATGTATTAAAATGATGTATGTGTGTGTATATGTGTTAAAGTGCGGATGTATTTAGGTATTAGTATTTGTAGCATATGTGTATGTATCAATTAGAATTAATCAAGAAATATAGTATAAAAACTTTGGTTTCTTCATAAGACATTGCTTGAAGCTACTTATAGACAACTCCTTTACATAGTAGTGTGGGTAATGGTTAAATATTCAACCCTTTATTATATAGGGACCTAAAAAGTTAAAAAGCCTGTGACAGAATTTCATACGTGTCCTTTGTGTATGACATAGGTACTGCATATTTTCATAGATTTAGTTAGCAGATATTTAAATCTAATGAATCCTACTATAGGGCAACATTAAATACAGAGCTTTGTAAGTATACTAATAATAGGGGAGCCCAAGAGGGGATTTGGGGATTTACTCGAGCGCGGCAGATTAATATATGGAAAGATATCTTGCATCTAGTTGAGTACCTCTACCAAATCTGAGTTCTCTATGTAGTGCCGCGCGCGTAGACCAGCCGATCAGAATAGTAAAAAAAAATCGATAGGCGGAAATACTCGAGCGCGTCAGATTAAGGTATGGTGGTTTAATTACATGCTGAAAAGTGTGTATTTCAATAATCTGACGATTTGACCGTGAAGTAAGGGAGGGTTGAAAAGTTGCAAAAAAAAAACTATTTCCGGACATTCTCAAGCGCGGTTGCGGTTGTTTTTTTTTTTAATTTAAAAGTAATAATTTAAGGATCATGGAAAACATATAATCTGCCGATTTGGACAAGCCGAAGTAACAAAAAACATTAATAAAGTGTTGCGCGTGCAGCTGCAGCAAAGCATGTATTTCATACTACGCGCCTCTCTATTTCGCTCTATCTCTATCTTCCACTCTCTCGCACCGTCCCCACATCACTTTCTGTCTACCATTACGCTTTTACAGCTGATTACAGTGCTCGTGAACCTGGTTTTATATGTACAACGCTCTGGTTTGTTTGTTTTATTTGAAATTTTGTAAGTTTGATATTTACTATCACGAAGATGAGTGACAATATAAAGTGTGTTATGTGGACAAAATGTCAAAACATGTCAAAAGATTGTAAAATTTACATCGACAACAATAAGAAAATGCAAGACGGTTTTGGAGTATCGTCGGAGTAAACCTACTCTCTAGGCATGCGTCCGATATATCAAAACGAATCCAAAATCCGATTTGAATCACAAATCGATACCGAACGATTTCTCAACAAGAAAATCCGATTTCAGAAATCTAACCGAACCAAAACGCTAGCGATCTAATACCACCATAGTATCCAAATTTAAATCGGATTCGAAATCCGTGCTTTCGTTTTCGGAAGTCCGTTTTCGGTTTGCTGTTTACGGAAATCTATTGCACTTCTCTAAGACGGGATTATTTATCACTGAAAAGAGATGCCGTCTAAGAACATCAAAAGTCGAGCAACTTACATTTTACAACGCTAACCTGAAGTAATAAGGTTTAATTTTGTAAATGGTTTGCAAAATAATAAAAACAAACAAAAAAAAATACTAAAAAAATATGTAAAAAGAAATCATTGTATATAAGCCGATTTTTAAATGCGCCGCAAAAGTTTTACTCTTAACCGTAAACATAACTTTTCTGCTAGTCCTAAGCCTAGATTTAAAGCGTAAAGGAAATCTACGAGTATCCTTGCTTCCTACAATAATTGTTTGTGATTGTCGTTAGCTAATAAAACCAAATCATAACACAAACTAGTGAATTGGCTTAGTTCGGCACATCTGAAATCGGATATCTAAAAACGGATTTTAAAATCGATTTTGAAATCTGAAATCCGATAAATATCCGTTTGCATTCAAAACCAAAAACGCCCATGTCTACTACTCTCAGAAGTACAATGTACGATAATCTTGAACTTCCGGATGAAATATGACTTTTTACAATGAGTGTATCTTGGCCTAATTTAACCCTGATTAGATTTTCAGCTTATTTTTATTTGCATTAGCATGCATTGAATGTGATAAAATATTCATAAATAATAGCTTATTTATGAATATTTTATCACATTCAATGATTTGAAAAAAATCACGGTGAAAATTTTCTTTAAACCGTCAGATTAAGAAAATCCCTCCGAATATTCGTCAGTTTATGGATCAGCATGGTCAGGGCATCAAGCTGAACCGCCTGTATGAAAATCTGACGCGCTCGAGTATTTCCAGATGGCGTTTTCTTTTTTGCATTTTCAAAAAGCCGTCATGAGCTTGCGTCGCCTCCGAATCATCAGAATTTTGGAACTGAGTTTTTTTAGGTAAGGTTAGGTTTCTCACTTAACATCCCCTCTGAATCTGACGCGCTTGAGTAGGTTTTTTTTTCCCCATTATCAATCCATCCGTACAGCTAGACCCACCATGCAAACCGCAGATTAACATTATTCCATCATCAGAGACGCAAGGGGCATATACAATATCAATATCTGACGTGCTCAAGTATTTCCATGTAACTATTTTTTTTTACATTTTTGAAAGCTTCTAGACGCCTGTTCCACTGGTGAAAGCGTATTCATAATTTAACCTTTTCTTATTTCTACCATCTTATCTTTAAATTTCAATAGGTCTCCACAATGCTCGAGTTAATCCCCATTTAGCATTGTGGACTCCCCTACTATAACCAAGTTTCATGGTAATTATTCCCATAGATAAAAAAAAATAGACGCAATGAAAACCCGCTTTCCTACATTCAAAACCATTCAAATGGCATCTCCTTGATATTTATTCATAAGCCTAGCCATTCTAAAATGAAAATCATCAAATATTGACGTATTGCGAGCTAGTTACCCAGTGTTTTAAAACAGTCTTTATAATTTGGGATTACTAATGTAACCCACAAAGGTAAAGTTCCTAGTACATATTGTTGAGTTCTTTTAATTCAATTATCAGTAAAATTATAAAAATGAGGTCAGAGATATTGAAAAATATCTGTAGTAATAATTCTCATAAAAAAGTTAATATCTTTAAAACTTCTAATTTTTGCCTGTCCTGGGTTGACTAACTAATAATATACTGATAATAAAACATCAACTTAATTTGTTAAAACTATTATTAATTTTGACTCCTTAAAGTACACAAAATCTAAATAATATGAATATCTTAAAATTTAAAATAAATCTTTATGATTATTTAATCTTATGTTATTCACGAATGACAAATAAATACAAAACTTTATTATTGCATAAAACTGCACAATCTTAACATAAACATTAGTAGGTACCTAACCAATATTTTAGCTTTGGTTATATGTTTCATTAGAAATTTCCTCCGAGCCATGGACTTGTCTCTTTTTTTGTACTACATTTTTTCTTTTAGCTGCATAAATTGACATTCTAGCTAAACGAGCTTGCCTCTGTTCGGGTGTCTCCTGCGCCAATCTTTTTGCAGCATATGCTGACATTCTAGCAAGACGTTTGGCTCTTTGTTCATGAGTTTCTTGAGACAGTCTCCTCGCCGCATAATCAGACATTCGTTTGAGTCTCGCAGCGCGCTGTTCTGGAGTTTCATTGGCAAGTCTCTGGGCAGCATAAGCTGACATTTTTGCCAGCCGAGCTTTTCTCTCTTCTGGCTTTTCGTTTTTAAAGCTAGAACTTTTGCTCCGTCTTTTGGGCTCCGTAACAACTAACAAAGGATCCACTTCCTGTAATAAAGTCTCAGTTTCTCCACTTTGGTAGTCAAAGTAAACCTCTGCGTCTTCTCTTTTATAATCAGTTGGTCCACCTTCAACTACTACTGATGTCTTTAGAGTGTTCTGAACAGGCTCTCCTTTTATTGTAGATATCCATTCGTTGTTTGCTTTTGCTATCACCAATTTTTTCCAGGAACAATCTGATGAGTTTTGATCACCCATATTGATTGTTCAGGGATTGAAATATCCATAGAACCATAATATGATTAAAGTTCGCGTGTAATATTTAATTACAATATCTATGATTACTATTAATAGTTTTCTTACAAAAATAATGAAAAATAAACTTCCATATTGAATGAACGAATGAAATGAACCACAGACCCACAGACTACTTAGATACCTATTAGGTAACCTGTAAAAAATGTAATTTTAAACTGAGTTTTTGGCGGGATTTCATCGAGTGTGGTTGGCGTCTTATTTTAATTAATCTTTAATTCGTTTATAGTGGATATCGTGAAATAAAATTGTCTGCACAACTAAAGAATTAGTGGAATCTTAAAATTATATGCTATTCCGGTCAATTGGACGTGAGAACTTTGTTGTAAGCTACCTCACAGCAGCTTATCGAGAAAACTGACGACACACACAAACTTCATGCCAAATACTCCAAGAAACATTAGAATCCGTCACACCCACAATTACCCACACGTAAAAAAATTAACAAAGAAAACTGTTCATTGTTTTTTATGCCTTCCCTAAAAAGAGAGAACATTATAAAATGTAAAACTCGAAGGAATGAATCAGTGTTACCATGCTCCAATTCTAAATCTTTTCGATTATAGCCTGCCCGGATCATTGAAATGTAAATCTGCAGATACGAATGCGGGATATTGAAATCTAGTTCCGAACTTTTCGACTGAATAAAAAGGTAAGTAGTACGCATGATCTCGAAACTACAGTTATTTTTTGAAGTTATACTTCTTTAGGCGCGTTATGAAAAACAGATGAGAGTGAAATTTTAAGATGCGCGCACATCACTGTAACACAAAATTTTAACAGCATGAAGTTGGTCGCTTTAGCGACCAACTTCATGCGTTACTTTTGTGTTTACCGCACATTAAGAAAATCTACCAACAAAATAGAAATATAATCTCTATTTAGTGGGTGCTAACGACTGCATTGTGAAGGCCTATCAAAAGTATTTATTAATCTGGAACAACAACGGAACCAAAGCGCGATTCAGGAGACTACAGCGCCATCTCTTGACCATTGGTGTAGTAGAACCAAAAACCACATCTTTATTTTTTGTAATAAAGTAACAGTTATAGGTATTCATATTTATAATATCAAAAGTATTTATTAATCTGGAACAACGGAACCAAAGCGTGATTCATGAGACTACAGCGCCATCTCTTGACCATTGGTGTAGTAGAACCAAAAACCACATCCTTATTTTTTGTAATAAAGTAACAGTTATAGGTATTCATATTTATAATATTTATCCACATGTTTCTAGTTTGTATATTCGGAATACGTGTTTGAGTTTCATACAAGTGCAAATCACATATGTTCTAATAAATTATATTCAGTAGCGATTTTAATTGAATATTTTGATTATTTATTTATTTTTTCAAATTAAAACTGAACTTTATTGACTGTGTCCTTTTCCAGACTTTTTATTAATTTATTGTAATTAATTATTTGCATGCAATTAAAAACTAATTTTAAACGATGCCAAAGAAGGATAACTTCTCACGCGCCTACATAAGTACACGCACCCATTTTTTTTAGAATTCTTTATTTTATTGCTTTTTTCCATCATTACATACAACCGTTGATAAATAATACCACTTAACGACATAGCATAGGCAGATTGAGGTAAAAGCAGATTGCATAAAGATAATAGAAATATTGAGGGAGAATCAAAAATACTTCTCTATGAATTTACATGAAATTACTTATGGTGATAATATAAATAAAAAAATTGTAACAGTAGCAAATTGATTTTGTTTCAAAATGATATTTTTAACTTTTCGGATACTCAGGTACTAGATTTTGGTAAAGATGGATTAATAGCTAGTTTTATTTAACTAAAGATAATTTCAACGTTATTCTTTTTTTAAGTGGGAGGCTAATTGTGCTGAATATTTTGCATTTACCGTAATTATGGCGCACATGGCAGCACTGAATGAATGGTGAAAAAAAAATACTGTGCGGAAGTCATCGTTTCAAGCTAGGCTGTTGCATAGTATCTTCGTATGCTTAACTTTAACTTTGCCTTTTTTTTACTTCATTCTTTACACGATTATAATATATTTTTATAATTATAAAAATATAAGTTATAATTGTTTAAAGAAATCTAAAGAAAATATAACTAGAATATACTCTAATAATTGGTACTGACCAATTAGATTATATAGATAGATATAGATATCTATCTATATAATCTAATGGGTCATATGACCGCACCTTTCGCTATCCATTTCGCTTATTCATTCGCCTAGATAGCGATAGCGAAGGGCGCGGGTTCGAGTCTCGTCTGCTGCCTGGTCTTCGTGGATTTTTTTCTAGTTATATTTCTTTTAGATTTAAACATCAAGCAGTCATCATCATGAACAGTCAATATTAGTCCACTGCTGGACATAGGCCTCTCAAATTACTCGCCACTGAGGTCGATCTTGGGCTACTCGCATCCAGCTCCTGCCAGCCACCTTGCGCAAATCGTCACTCCACTGTGCCTGAGGACGTCCTTCACTACGTTTGCCTAGACGCGGTCTCCACTCCAGAACTCGTATACCCCAACGGTTATCGGTTCTGCGGCAAATATGGCCAGCTCACTGCCACTTTAACTTACTAATTCGATGGGCTATGTCGATAATTCTGGTTCTCTGTCGGATCACCTCATTTCTGATGCGATCTTTCAGAGAAACGCCGAGCATAGCCCTTTCCATAGCGCGCTGAGCGACTTTGAACTTGTGGACCAGCCGTACCGTTAGTGTCTTCGTTTCGTGTTTCATCACAGGTAGCACGCACTGATTGAAGACTTTTGTCTTTAGGCCCTGTGGGATCGATGATGTCAAGACCAGAAGTAACTTCCCAAACGCTGCCCAGCCCAGCTGAATCATTCTATTCACCTCATCCTCAAAGTTGTTTCTACCTAACTGCAATGTCTGCCCGAGGTACACATATTTTTCGACAACTTCAAGAACGGCACCGTGTATTTAGGGTTATTATTTAAAAATTTGAAAAGTCCTGACAAAAAGCCGGACATTTCGATAAAAATTCGGACATTTAAGTCACAAAATTCAAACATCGCCCATTAAGTTACAGTGTTATTATACGCGTAAGTAAGTAGCAAACGCTCGCATCGCGAGGGGGGTCTAGTTGTTGATTTTTAAAAATAATTTATATTTGGTTTTTAATTTATGAGAACTTGATAAAGATTATTTGACTTATTTGATATAACATAATAAGTAGTTTTTTAAATTAAAAAGACATAATTCAGACAAAAGGCACAAGGTCCGGACATGTCCGGACAAATCCGGACGGATGGTACCCCTACGTGTATTGCAATCGGTTCCGGTAGAAAATTTTCATTGAACGTGACCTTGGTTTTATCCAAGTTCATCCGTAGGCTGATGCGTATAGAAGAGTCAGCCAGGTCATTCAGCATCTGTTGTAGGTCCTGCAGGGTTTCTGCCATGATAACGATGTCGTCTGCAAATCGCAAGTGAGAGATGCGTTCGCTTCCTTCCAGTCCGTTCTTTCCAGTTCAGCGTTTTGAATATATCCTCCATTGCATTAGTGAACAATTTCGGGGAAATAACGTCCCCTTGTCTCACTCGATGATGCAACGGTATGGGACTGATTCTGTACTTGTACCGACATGGTGGCAGCTTTGTAGACATGTAATCACTTGGATGTATCGCCAGTCGATTTGGCTACGCTGCCGGGACTCCAGGACAGACCAGATTTCAATCGAGTCAAAGGCATTCTCATAGTCCACAAATGCTAGCCACAGGGGCTGATTGTACCCTTCAGTCTTCTGAATAATCTGCCGCACTGTGTGGATGTGGTCTATGATGCAGTATCCGCTCCGAAACCCAGCCTGTTCCAGTGGTTGGAATTCATCAAGTCCTCGCGCAAGACGGTTCGCGCTCACTCTTGAGAACAGCTTATAGACGTGGCTTAGAAGGGATATGGGTCGATAGTTATTAAGTAGGGTCTCCCTTTTATAAGAACAAGACTACCACACTGCTACTCCATGCCTCCGGAGTTCTCCTTTCGAACAGGACAGTGTTAAAAAGCTTTTGGAGCTCCCTCAGTACGGGTTTACCTCCAGCCTTTAAGAGTTCTGTTGTAACACTATCCTTGAAGTCGGGGATTTTCCATATCTAGCTGTCCAAGAACAATATCCATTTCGCCAATAATGACTTCTGGCAGGTCTTCGGTGAAGTGGCGTGTTAATATGGGTCTAGAATCCTCATTTCCGGGATCGGGTTGAGATGCATGTGATATAACCGGCCGTAGAAGTCTTCCACTTCCGAAAGGACTGCCGGCTTTGAAGAAATAACTTCCCCACTTACTGTGGTCAACTTCGTTAGATGGCTCCTTCCAAGAGATTGTACGAACCCTCGATTCTGCTCGATCACCCTCACGAGAGGGGCTCGTTCGAGGAAGTTGACGAGTATTTTCCCCCTATGATTTCTACTTCCAAATCCATGGCATCTTACTACCGATTCCTTGCAATTCTGTACTCACACTTTAGCGTTGAAGTCCCCCATAACAACGTTGTAGTGGGTCTTAGTAGTGGAGTAGTGGGCCTTCGATACATCATCGAACATATCCTCCACTTCGTCGTCCTAGTGTGTCGAAGTCGGTGCGTACACTTGCACCACCTTGAGGCTACACTTCCCGGTGAGCTTTATATTAAGATACACTACACTGTTCGACACGCTGGACATTACTTCAACGTTACCAGCAAAGGACTTATTTACCAAAAACCCAACGCCACCTTGGGGCTATTGGTCTCCCTCACGGAAGTACATTAGGTGACCCGATTCGAGGGCTATGGTGCCCTTCCTCTCTCTTCGGACTTCACTTAACCCCAGAATGTGCCACCTAATCTTCCTAAGTTCCACCTCGAGTTGCGCCAGATGCGAGTCAAGCCGTAGCGTGCGTCCGTTGTACGTCGCCAGGGACAGTCTATCGTGGTGGCCTCTCGTAGCCCGGAGATTCTTGGCAGCCCCCGCTCCGCCATTATCGTGGTCGCCACCGTGACCAGGAATAGCGGAGCTGCCGGGAACTGGGGGCTGTGGAAGTCAAGCAGTTGCATGCTTAAAAAATAAAAATTATAACTATAATTGTTTTATCAAAATGTTAATACTTTCTTATTTAAAAACAAAAAAGGGTTCTTCAAATAATTGTTTTTTTTTTCTAATTCTGAGCTGCTGGAATCTGGTTTGTTAAATATATATTAATTTACAGTATAGGCTGTTTGATCTGCAGAGACTTTGTCATTGTTCAAATAATAAATTATAACAAAAAAGAAAACAAAACAGGCTGAGTTGTCAAAAATGTTGGCAAATTGATTCCATCTGTTTTATTTTGTAAATTAAGAAACTTACTATAATCTCAGTGTTATTCTAATTCCTTAGCAGTTAGCAATAAATTAGGTTGTTGATATTATTATTTATTCAGTTATAATTATTCATTTACGTCTTTTAACTCAAATTACTGCTATTTGTGCTGTATAGAAATACAGTAGATTTATTTTATTTTTATTTAATTCTGGTTCTCCTTTAACTAAATTCTCATCGAATTGTTCTAATTACTCATTAATTTATTGGCTGATTTTTTTGCAGATTTATGTGATAATCCTTGGGCATACAAACAGTGATATGATGACATAATGTGCAATAACAATTAATCATTTGCAAAGAAACTAAAAAGTATCAGTATTTGAAAATGGATTCCGAAATAGACTCGCCTGCTGTGGCTAACCCCATAAATGAAGCAGAAGGTTATGTCCAAAGTGAAACAGATTATTCCAGCATAAGGGGGAAAGTATGTATCAAATGAAGTATTGCTTTTTTATATCTTATAGACATAATCCTAATTAAATTGCTTTTGACTTATTTGTATGTATTTTAACTGTTGAAATATATAATTTTGTACACAGAAATGTTCATATAAAATGTCATAACATACATGATATTATACAAATAAATGCATTTCACATGTATTGTACATTGCAATGTATATGAAACCCATTTATTTGTGTAAATTACAAAAAGAAAGTAAAATCGAGCTCAAAAGTCGATATAAACAATCTAAATCATTTCTCTCTGTTTAACTTTTTCACTATTGATATAATGTTGCATCATTTGGATGATTCATATTAAAAAAATAAGCAATCTTGTATTAATGATTGATTAACACACCAATTCAAAATCCTAAATGTTGAATTATTTCAAATTGAAAGTAGATAATTTTTTTCCAACTGTTGCAAAAAATATATATTTATTTTATATTTTAACCAAAAATAGTGGTAAATGATACTTGGAATTGCTATTCTTAAAACCATGAAAACCTAATGCAAACAGATTGGATCAAAATATTCTTCAATACTGATTGTATTTTTCTGATTTCTCCTGCAGTGGGTAATATTCTGAACCAGATGCGTCCCAAGGGACTCAAGATTTTTTGGAAATTTATGTTTTGATGTTTACTGTTAAGTTTAGTTCTCTTAGCAGTTGTTTAAGAAAGGTTTATATTATGTTCCAGCTGTTAATAGTTTTTAATTTATGAATAAATACTTTCAATCAATATACTTAAGCAAAAACCTTAAATTTAACTTTTGAAGTAAAAGTTATTTAATAATTAATGAAATAATATAAAATGTCTTAATCAAATTATTATTTTAAAGATGATCATGGTGAGTCCAACAGCTGATGAATATGAACTTCTACACAAACAACTCATGGAAAGACTTGAAGCTGGAAATGGAGAAATCATATATGACATAGGACAAGGGGAAGGTGAGTTTTGCATGATTTATAAATAAATAAATAAAAATATCAAACAATAAATCTTTTGTATCTTTAATCAAGGTATAACCATAATTGTATAATTTAAATGTCAGCTGTTCTGTCTAAATAAAAATATTTGTAATGATATTGCAAATAATAAATTATTATTTATAAAGTTATTTTTAATACACCTCAGTTTATAAACCACTGTAGCACATGAAATAACATCAGAAATTAAGCATTTTCAGACTTCTGTATTAATACAAAATAATGAACAGTCTAGTGACCTTCTAGTTTTGAATAGACAAATATCACTTAACAATAAGACACAAAACAACTGTTCAGCGGTTGACATTGAAATAATTAGGATTTCAAGTATATAATTATAGTAGTTGAGCGCTTAGTACTTAAAAATATATGTGAATATAAATACATATCACATACAAAAATTTCAAGATTACTTGGTACCTCGAGGATGATGATAAATATCAAATTATTTGTCCTGTGTAAGTCAATGTAACTTTATTAATGGAAATTATTAGAAATAGTCTTAGATAACAACATTAATCAATCACTTTAGTACATGTTTTATTCTGCATTCATTATCTAAAATTGTGTAATGTAATAATGATTATTATCTATATTATCTATACTTATCTGTTTTGGTTTGTGGTTTTCTAATTTAAATTTTATGATACAATCAACTCAATTTTGTTTAATATTATTAACTTAGTCTTTGTTGTGTCAATCAAATTACATCAAAAAAAAATTATAACTAGCTTTTAAATTTTAATGCAATATATTATACTATCATTAGATGACATCTCTAATGATAACATAATAAAATTGATAGACAAATACTTAATGATTAGTTTCAAAGTATTGTAATTTATGTTTCTATTGAGAAAAACTGCTTAATTCTCAGATTACAGAACAAAAGGCAGAAGGAGCACATGTTATACAGATTGCATTCCACCAAAGCAAATATCATTTTACCCATTATTATTTAAGCCTTACAGAAAAAATCTTGTGTCAGCACTATAGATAGCATTCTATTTTAATGTATAATATGGCTGGAGTGTTAACAATAGATTACTTTAATTTTTTCAAAACATGGTGCGAACACAAGCCTGCAGATGTATTAAGCTTAATGATGACTTCATAGCCAGATTTAAGGCAGGGCAGGAGGGGCTGTGGCCCAGGGGCCCCCACAACTATGTGCAAATCGTAATCGTAAGCGGTGGATCTATATTTAGAGGCCCCGACTCCTTCGTTGCGCCAGGGCCGCAAGGCCGGATTTAGAGGTGTGGGGACCTCTAAATCAGGCCTTGGTTGACCTAAATAGGACAGTATCCATTAAGCTTACTTATGCTACGGAGCTTGTATAGTGTGATTGAACTTAAGGGCGGTTAAATCTAAAGAAAATTTAACTAGAAAAAAATCCACGCGGACCAGGCAGCAGACGGGACTCGATCCCGCACCCTTCCTTTGGGTTACCTATAATACGTAGAGATGGCGCTGCCTTGCAGCTTAAGAATGGCTAGAAGAATTTCGACGCGGTCCGTGAGGGCCCTGGTAACATAATTGGTCAGTGTATTCGCCCGGATTGCGAAGGGTGCGGGTTCGAGTCCCGTCTGCTGCCTGGTCCGCGTGGAATTTTTTCTAGTTATATTTTCTTTAGATTTAAGCATCAAGCAGTTACATGCTTTAAAAAACTAATAATTTAAGTGCGGTTGTGAAGTTAGCGCAAGTCGCGTCGCAATAAAAAGAATATAGGCTAAAAACTCGGCACGATTTCCGCCCGCGCCCGTCGCGGCACCGTTACTCTCGCAGTATTTAAAATTGTAAGTAAAACGTAAAAGCAACACTCAGGGCGCGATTTACGCCCGCAGAGCGATGCGGACACTGCTGGTCTGGCCCTTCCTGCTAACTTCACAACCACCATAAACTTTGAATTGCACTTTATCGCAAGTACTTGATTGATAAATGTATGATAGACGGTCGTGGGCTGACGGAGGACGAGTACAATGCGTCTGTGGCGACGCTGCAATCGTTAGTGAGTGGCGGACGCGTGTCCTGCGTAGAACTGCGGCGCTGGGAGTGCGGCTCCGGGCTGACCGGCCAGTATCTGCTGCGGACCGAGCTAGACCACACCGACTTCATGGAGATCAGGTCATTGTTCATGTACCACTCATTAAAAAAAATGTAAGCATAAGAGGGACTAAGTAATTGGGTGCTGGCATTCTTCCTACATTTGATTTGGCTCTATTTTCTCTCTTTCTATAGATTTTCAATTTTATGCGTGTTGATCTGTCAAAAATCTTATGGTAAGCCACCATAGCCTATAGTACTAACGTCAGCATACTGACAGCGTTGCCATTATTTTTCAAGACAAAACGAGCACAAATCGTGACAATAATATGTATACAGGTTGGTCCAATTAGTGACGTCAACAAATTTTTTTAGATTCCTCGTACCTAGGGGTATCCGAAAGTACCCGATGTATTTTAGTAGTTTTAGATTTAAGTTTTTTTTTTGTGTATTTTTAATGATTTCTGCCAATGAGGTTTCAAAAATTCATATCTTGTCAATTGTGGTATTCAGGTTGGAGGAAGGAGTTTTGAAAATTTACTGTAATAAATAGTAATTTTTCAGTAATTTGTGCTTTTTATGTGTTATCAAAAAACAGGTAATTTCCCAACTAGCCATTTTGATTTTTATTCTTGCTGACATTTTAAATCTTAGTGGTGAAACCGAAATTATTGTATAATTACACATGCAAAAAAGAATTACATTTTTAAGTTTAATTTACCATAACAATGATAAAAAGTAGATAAAATTATTTTTAATGCTTCAATCGTGTTGCAATGACTTTTAGCCTATCCGCCTTCGAAGGCCAATTACTACAAAAATAGGCTGATTGATTACTATATTTTTAAGATTTTTGGTAGTTTAGAAGCATGCGGAGCTTTTAAACTTAGTCAGAAGCTATGGAAACTCCTTTTTGTATTTTTAAATTGAAGTTGTATGTTTGAGTAATCCTACTTAAAACTAAAGTTCCAACTTTTAAACCTGTTTTGAGTAACTTTAAGTAATTTCAGGAAGCTGAGTTATCTTTTTTTATTAAAACAGCATTAAAGACAATGTTGACATTAAAAAAAGACTGTACAATACCTACTACAAAAATAGATATAATTTTTTGAAACCTTGCTGGCAGAAATCATGAAAAATACACAAAAAAAAATATAACTCGAAAACTAAGTAAAATCGCGGAACATACATCGGGCATTTTCCGATACCCCCAGGATTTAAAAAAAAATGTTGACGTACTAATTGGACCATCCTGTATATTGATACAACAGGGTAGCGGTAGTGGGCAACGTGGACGCGGGCAAGTCGACTCTTCTGGGGGTATTAACGCACGGAGAACTTGACAACGGACGCGGATACGCGCGACAACGACTGTTCCGGCACAAACACGAGGCTGAAAGCGGCCGCACCAGCTCCGTGGGCAACGACATCCTTGGCTTCGACAGCATGGGTGAGGAAACTATCTGTACAGGGGGCGGTGGTGTCCAGTGGACTGTTCCGCCACAAGCACGAGGCAAAGAGTGGCTGTACCAGCTCCGTGGGCAACGACATCCTCGGCTTCGACAGCATGGGTGAGGAAACTATCTGTTCAGGGGGCGGTGTCCAGTGGACTGTTCCGCCACAAGCACGAGACAAAGAGTGGCTGCACCAGCTCCGTGGGCAACGACATACTCGGCTTCGACAGCATGGGTGAGGAAACTATCTGTACAGGGGGCGGTGGTGTCCAGTGGACTGTTCCGCCACAAGCACGAGGCAAAGAGTGGCTGCACCAGGTCCGTGGGCAACGACATACTCGGCTTCGACAGCATGGGTGAGGAAACTATCTGTACAGGGGGCGGTGGTGTCCAGTGGACTGTTCCGCCACAAGCACGAGGCAAAGAGTGGCTGCACCAGCTCCGTGGGCAACGACATACTCGGCTTCGACAGCATGGGTGAGGAAACTATCTGTACAGGGGGCGGTGGTGTCCAGTGGACTGTTCCGCCACAAGCACGAGGCAAAGAGTGGCTGCACCAGCTCCGTGAGCAACGACATACTCGGCTTCGACAGCATGGGTGAGGAAACTATCTGTACAGGAGGCGGTGGTATCCAGGGGACTGTTCCGACAGAAACACGAGGCAGAGAGCGGCCGCACCAGCTCCGTGGGCAACAACATTCTCGGCTTCGACAGCATGGATGAAGAAACTATCGGTAGAGGAGGCGGTGGTATCCAGGGGACTGTTCCGACAGAAACACGAGGCAGAGAGCGGCCGCACCAGCTCCGTGGGCAACAACATCCTCGGCTTCGACAGCATGGCTGAAGAAACTATCGGTACAGGAGGCGGTGGTATCCAGGGGACTGTTCCGACAGAAACACGAGGCAGAGAGCGGACGCACCAGCTCTGTGGGCAACAACATACTTAGCTTCGGCAGCATGGGTGAGGAAACTATTGGTATAGGGGGCGGTGGTATACAGGGGACTGTTCCGACAGAAACACGAGGCAGAGAGCGGCCGCACCAGCTCTGTGGGCAACAACATACTGAGCTTCGGCAGCATGGGTTAGGAAACTATTGGTACAGGGGGCGGTGGTATCCAGGGGACTGTTCCGACAGAAACACGAGGCAGAGAGCGGACGCACCAGCTCTGTGGGCAACAACATACTTAGCTTCGGCAGCATGGGTGAGGAAACTATTGGTATAGGGGGCGGTGGTATCCAGGGGACTGTTCCGACAGAAACACGAGGCAGAGAGCGGACGCACCAGCTCTGTGGGCAACAACATACTTAGCTTCGGCAGCATGGGTGAGGAAACTATTGGTATAGGGGGCGGTGGTATCCAGGGGACTGTTCCGACAGAAACACGAGGCAGAGAGCGGCCGCACCAGCTTTGTGGGCAACAACATACTTTGCTTCGGCAACATGGGTGAGGAAACTATCGGTATAGGGCGCGGTGGTGTCCAGAGGACTGTTCCGCCACTAGTACGAGGCAGAGAGCGGCCGCATCAGCTCGCTCAACATAATGGACTCTATATGTTGGTATGTGGTAAATAGTAGCGGACCCTACAGATGTTGTCTTGCCCGGTAATAATTAAAAATAAAAACTATAAACAGTCTACAGCGCCATCACAGGTGTAATCTTAACTTTCCAGGATTCCACTCGAATGAATTTATAATCATAGGAATAGCTTTCCTTACGTCAGCAAACTTCATAAACTCCTATTTGTTTCTTAGGTTTTCACGCACATCACTCATTAAATAAAACTAGTTTTAACGGGTTAATGCATTCATAATTCTAATCATTATTCTGACAATACAGACCTGAAAAGGCTGCGAAACGTAAATAAAAAATGTTCGTGCATTAACCCGTTAAAACTAGTTTTATTTTATAAAATCCTTAAAATGCATTCTAAGTTTTGGTTCCTAGTCTATTGCATTTGTTAGCCACATACTTCTTCCACCTTATTAATGAACGAGGAATAAGGGTAGACTAGTAACGCCGTGTTTTGTTCATATCACATGCCATTTGTCATACACTGAACAGAGTCAAAACATGGAGTAAGCAATCCAAGCTTATTCTTCGTTTATTAATAAAAGGGTTTATGTTTAGAAATGACTGAGAAGTGAAGTTACCAGCGAGCCTTGCCGTGACTTGCGCTAACTTCACATGTACCGCCAAGTTGACACTAACTTAACGTCCCTATATATATGATAGGTAACGTTGTGAATAAGCCGGACCACGGCACTCTGGACTGGGTTAAGATCTGCGAGAAGTCATCTAAAGTGATCACGTTCATCGACCTGGCGGGCCACGAGCGGTACCTCAAGACCACGGTGTTCGGTATGACGGGCCACGCGCCGGACTTCGGCATGTTAATGGTAAGAACATCATAATATAAATAAACTACCTGTCCCAGTGAACTTGGTATCGCCAAAAAAATAGGGGTTTTTGTATGATGTATCATATAAAAATATAAAAACAAAAAATTTTGTCCCAAAAAAAATAATAAAAAAAAATGGTGGACCACCCTTGACATTTAGGGGGATGAAAAATAGATGTTGTCCGATTCTCAGACCTACTGAATATGCATATAAAATTTCACGAAAATCGGTCGAGCCCTTTCGTAGTAGTTCAATTACGCACATTGTAACACGAGAATTTTATATGTTAGACTAACTTCGTACCGCCATAAAAAAATAGGGGTTGGTGGTAGAAGAGTCAAATTTTAGGGTTGTATGTATTTTTGTATGATGTATCATAAAAAAAAATACTAAAATTGCAAAAAAAAATTAGGTGTGGATTACCCTTAACATTTAGGGGGATGAAAAATAGATGTTGTCCGATTCTCAGACCTACCCAATATACACACAAATTTTCATGAGAATCGGGAAAGCCGTTTCGGGGGAGTTTAACCACAAACACCGCGACACGAGAATTTTATATATAAGATATAAATATTTTCTAACACACTCACCAATTAGCCTAGCCCCAAAGTAAGCACTGTAAGGCTTGTGTTATGGGATACTAGGGTAACGGATGGAATACATAATACCTACTGATACATGTATAAGTATGTTTTTATTTAGAAATACATTGAATCATCCATGACTTAGGAACATATGCTTGTATTCATCACACAAACATTTGCCTTACCGGATTCGAACCCGAGACCTCTGAGTAAGCGACACCTTGAAGACCTGCGTACATACCACTCGACCCACGGAGGCCAAGACAAGACCCTTCACTTGCCGTACAAAATTTTTCGCCACTTTTAGTAGGGGACGAGGTACACACGTATAGCACACTAACGAAAATATGTAATACTCACACAAACACGAGCGCGTTGTTGCTATAAATGCACACTTCAAAAATCTCGCCACACAAACCTAAAAACGCACACATGCTAACAATTTTTATGTAACTATGCAATTCTTCGAGCGTACACAAACACAGAAGCTAGGGACGGGACATTAAAAAAATGAACGATATTTGAATGAACAGTTTTTGATGAATGAAAATAATGTTTATAATTTTCATTATTTTAAAGCATGTAACTGCTTGATGTTTAAATCTAAAGAAAATATAACTAGAAAAAATTCCACGCGGACCAGGAATAATTTCTAGTTATATTTTCTTTTGATTTAAACATGAAGTAGTTACATGCTTTAAAATAATAAAAATTATAACTATAATTGCTATTTCTTCTTTCAAATGTTTAATACTTGTAAAAGTATTCATTGGACATTGTGGGTTACCTATAATGCGAAGAGATGGCGCTGCCATGCAGCTTAAGAATGGCTAGAAGAATTTCGACGTGGTCCGTGATGGCCGCGGTAGCATAATTGGTCAGTGCATCCGCCCGGATTGCGAAGGGTGCGGGTTCGAGTCCCGTCTGCTGCCTGGTCCGCGTGGAATTTTTTCTAGTTATATTTTCTTTAGATTTAAAAATAATGTTTGTTTATAATAAAATCAAAAAGTTACGTATATAAATATCGATCTGTAAGCTTATTTACATATTTAGTACTTATGATTTTTATACACAAAATTCAATGTTTTAATTTTTGCAAATTATATTGCTGTGCAAAAATCTTTATAACTGCATTAACTTCCTTTTATCGGACACCCTGCCTTCATTAAAATCCTTTTATCACCCTCAATAATAGCAAACGCAGTATTTTGTCAAAGAACATTACGTAACTGACTCAAGCAAATCTATTCTTTGTTTAATATAAGGGGGATAGCGAATTCCTAGAAATTAGGAAATTGAAGTTATTAGTTTTCCTGATACATGATGTTTTCCTCGATGAATTAAGAAGTTAACAATTTTATTATGTGTGATAAATAGGAAAATACACAGTGATTAAAGCTTTTGGCAAAGGTCAATCCTATTCTTTCAACGAGTGCTTCGCTAGCGCACGCTTAATCCAAAATAAAAAAAAAAGATATATCAGAAATACGTATTGAAGCAGTATTAATATTTGACTGAAAGGCCTAAAAGCTATGTATTTTTAAATTGTTTTTTACTAGTTTTCACTAGAGATCAGCCATAGTAGGATGAGCACTACGCTATATCAAGTTTTTATAACTTGTAACTGCCAACCTACATAGTAATTTGACAATTCAGGGTAATCAAAAAGTTTTTATTGTAATATCTCAGTACACGATACACGAGTATTTCATAAGGATGCGGCATGTACTACTATGCCATAGATCATGTCTAGGACAATTAATATTCCATAGAAAACCTGTAATTAGCCTTGCTATTTATTAGAAAGTATTGGAAAAAAAACTACTTTTGTTACGCTGTTAGTTTCCTGAATAAATTAAATAAATAAAAAATGCGCAAGCTAGGGGGTGGAAGTTGCGCAAAAGATCGCGGGAGAATTCTTTGATGCGGTCACTAATATTAAATGACCCTTGAGTCCTCAGAACTCTTAGTACGAGTTTTGATAATTTTCAAAAACTATGATCGTCTCGTTTTGTTTCCATACATTTCACACCAGCGCCTCTAGCGGAAACTGTAATGAACTTTAATCGGCAGTATAAGTTAATTTCGTTAATAGTTACACATCCATATTAGACAGAACTATGTCCTTTTTTCTCTCTAAGTGTGCAAGAGAGATGAAAATATGCACCGTGAAGTTCGTACTATCGAGTTAACGATGGACGATATCGTTTTAACGATGCTCGAAAAAATTAACATGTACTACCATTGATGAGGTAAAGTGACAGTTTTAGCGAGCTCACGAAAACTATCATAGTTTTCGTAATTGTAAAACTCGTACTAAGGCTACTGTTCCTCAAAGCATTCTTTTCTACACAGATAGGGGCGAACGCAGGAATAGTGGGTATGACGAAAGAGCACTTAGGCTTAGCGCTGGCGCTATCCGTGCCTGTTTTCGTGGTAGTTACGAAAATCGACATGTGCCCGCCCAACGTGCTGCAAGACAACCTCAAGCTGCTCGTGCGCATATTGAAGTCGTCGGGGTGCAGGAAGGTGCCAGTCATGGTGAAGAATAAAGATGACGTTATAGTCAGCGCGACCAATTTCGTCTCGCAAAGGTCAGTGATAAGCTTTATTATGAAGTGTCTTTAATTTCAAATAAATAACGTTTTCAACACATTTGCTCAATAAATTTGCATTTACGGAGATTGTATACATTGTTCGAAAGTGCAAAATTACGGGCCATACAACGGAACGTGCAGTAAAACTTTTTACCGCACGCTCCCATTAAATCAGAAATCATTTATGCAGTCTAGGTTTTTGCGAGCACTTGTGAAAGTCGAGAAGCTACGTCATCGGATCCCAAAACTACGGCGAGAGATCTTGTATTGAGAAGAACCGGCAAGAAACACAGCAAGGGCTGCTTTTTTATCCCTGTATTATTACATACAGAGTTGTCAAGCTGAAAAATGGCTTCAAAGATAATTCTGAAGTCACTTTCCATTACATAGTTAGAATATAGCTATACGCTTATGGAACAATAATTTGAATAGTGAGCTTTACATTTTTAGTAGGCATATAGGAAGCGGCTTCAAGATACCACATAATTGTTATGAAAAATGTCTAATACCATTACATTACAAGAAACGCTATGTCCACGCATTACGGCCATTAAGATAATTAATCATTAATTTTATAATAGCCCTTACTCATAAGAGTATTCTTGATCTGAGATTCAAACTTGGTCAGAGGAAGCTCAATCAGATCTTGGGGAACTTTATTAAACAATGCAATACTACAACCCAGAAATTAACCTCTTGATTTTTGAAGTCTAAAACATGAAATGGCAAGCTTTTTCTTAAATCTCGTGATAAAGTTAGGGGTTTGACTTATTTTTGCAAAAGCGTCATAGTTTTTTCTTACTTATATAATATTTTCATACACGTATTGCGATGACAGTGTTAAAATATTATTTAAAAAAAAAATCTCTTGCCTGCATGTTGTATATGGCGCAAACAGCTTTCTTTTAATACATGACGCCGTGCGAATCTTTTTTTTATTTCGGTTGAACCTCCTTGGATATGCTTTTAAAATATACCTTTGTTCACTTTAATACTAAAAAGAAAAACAGACGACGTAAACGTAATTTTCACCACTCGCACGTGACGTCATTTTCATATTAGTAAAAGTATGCTTCATTACTTAAATTAGGTATACTGTTGTTATCGTAAATGTGTTGAAAAAACGTTGTATGATATTATTATGACTATAGTAACCCCTCGATTTCGTCTCGGGCTTAGATTCGTCTACTCGTTTGTAAAATAACCAACTTATCGCACTAATATCATAAATAACTATTACTTGTAGTAATGATGCTTAGACTAGTAATGTTAATGAGGGTGTTTGTGCAAATTTACGCCACCCGATGGCGCCACTGTGACGTGAGGTCTTTTGTATGAACATTTAAATTGATCCATAGATTTGACGGATGAACTGAGTAGACCTTTCGTCTCAGTGCTGCCACCTGGTGCCCGTTACTCCAGAAAACTCTCATTAGTAATGTATCAATATCTTTAAAAAATTTACAAGGAAATTACAAGTTACACATTAAAATAAAAATTTACATTTAAATATTAAACGCCGCTAGCATCATGGGAAGTTTTGCCGACGGGGAAGACTTAGGGCAGTTATTTTTAATATTTGTCAAGTTTTAGCTTCATTTGATTTTTTATCAGTGAATATAATTACACCTTGTACTTTTATTGCAAACCTACAATTATATTGTTGTATTTCGATGCACAATGCCCCTGATACTGGCATAATTCTCTAAATTCAAAACTTATTTTACAAGTCTCTAGTTGTTATTCTTTATAAGAGCCCGATAAGTTTTTTTTTTAGTTTTAGGTTCAGAGATTTATTCCAGAATCAGGCCCAAAATTCCAATTAATCAGCTATTTCATTGTGGGGTTTATAGGAAACGTGATTCGTAGCGCAGTAAACGGAATGAATGCGCGTGCGTCACTGAATGAGGGTGTTTAAGAACATTTGCGTCAGAGGCCCAAGCACGAATTTTGACAGCCCCGTAATCGTATCGTCATCGTAAAATGTTGTATGGAACAAGTTAGTTCTTACGTCGTCCGTTAGGGGCGCTCCTTAGTTTTCATAGTAACTTTGACGATGTAATACGATTACGGAGCTGTCAAAAATCGTGCTTAGACCTCAGTCGGCGCCACTGCAACATGAGGTCTTATGTATGATTTTATGATTTTTTGGCGCGAATTGATATAACGAGCATTAAGATCGATCTGTATACTAGAACGACTACGTCATTTGACGGATGAGTAGACCTTTCCGCTCAGTGCTGACACCTGGCGCCCGTCATTTTAGAAAACCCATTGAAACCCACGCATATAGTGCGAGCGACAAGGATATGTAAGAATGTGGCGAAAATTGGAACTAACGCCGTCGTCTTTGTAAACATCACATTTCGTATGTCATTAACGGTGATTTACGTAGACAGTGGCGCGCTCCCTGAACTGTCACCCGCATTGATAAAGATCCTTGTCGCACTGTAGTTGCGCTCGCTGCTAACTTCACAGCCGCCATAAAGTTTGCTTCGTACCGGACACCTCATCTATATGAACGAATTTCTCCAACTATCAGACTGTGCCCGATCTTCCAAGTGTCCAACGTGACGGGCGAGAACTTGCAGCTGCTGACGATGTTCCTCAACCTGCTGAAGACTCGCATGCCCTCGCACGACGACAAGCCGGCCGAGTTCCAGATAGACGACACGTATTCTGTGCCCGTACGTATTGTTACTGACCATTTTAAATACAATATCTTTATATATATAAAACTTAAAGGTGACTGACTGATATTGTGATCTATCAACGCACAGCCCAAACCACTGGACGGATCGGACTGAAATTTGGCATGCAGGTAGATGTGATGACGTATGCATCTGCTAAGAAAGGATTTTGATCAATTGGGTAGAATTGATACACATATATATATAGATAGATTTACCAAGGGGATAAAATAGGGAATGAAAGTTTGTATGAAATATTGTCAATTTTAAACCGATCGGGCTGAGACTGCATGCTGGTATAAAAAGAATCTTAGATGAATATCTAAAAACTGTAGTCTACACTTCAGCTCTACACCGAAGCGAAGCGAGGGCGGGCCGCTAGTTAAATAAATAAATGCCAATTGTTAGCGTCTGTATTTAGAATGAATATTGGCAGGTGTTTTTACAAATTTTACAGAAAAATGAAAGTTCGTAATTTTTTTAAAAACCTACGACAAAGATATTTTTTTTCTATTGTCATGTGGCCGAAAAGGCCTGGGTTGGGCGGAGCCTAAAATGACTATTAATGACAAAATGACACATAGGTAAAGCTTGACCGCAATAAAGCCGAATTTTCTGGCTACATATTTGTATGGCGAAAATCCGTTCTTCTGGATACTTTTAATTTTGTGACCAAACTTTAAAAATTATCCAATTTAATAACGTAGTAGTTAATTCAAAAGTAAAAGAAATATTGCCTTATAGTGGCTAGTTTACTTGTAGTATATGGTAATATTTAGGACAGTTTTCGGCCACGAAACGACACGACGTTGTCAACATATTATACCTATTAACGGGATTGTTACTATGTACCTGTTTTTTATGATATCGAACGCAGTAAAAGATGTCAGAGGGTAAACCAATTACTTCAGTTACTCCGTGATCATGGCGCTTGCAACAGTGCCGAAATATCGGAGACACATAAAAACCAAGGTACATGGTAACAATCCCGTTAATAGCTTTAATGTTAGTGGCCATGAGAGTTTCAAACAATATATTGTCAACATAGTTTAAATCGGTATTTAACTATTGTTTTGTTATGTGGGCACACAGGGTGTGGGCACAGTGGTGTCGGGAACCACACTGGCGGGCGTGATCCGCCTCAACGACACGCTGCTACTGGGGCCCGACCCACTCGGCCGGTTCATACCCATCGCTGTTAAAAGCATCCATCGCAAGAGGATGCCTGTACCGGAAGTACGCGGCGGACAGACAGCCAGCTTCGCGCTCAAGAAGGTAACTAACAGTGTGGACTGACTGATGAATGATGTAGTTACTGACTGATAAATGTTGTAGCGACCACTTTAGGTCACGTTCCATACATCGCGCTCAAGAAGGTAACTAGGAGTGTGGGCTGACTGACGAATGTTGTAGCGACCACTATAGGACACGTTCCATACATCGCGCTCGAGAAGTAACCAAGACTGTGGAGTGACTGACGAATGTTGTAGCGGTCATTATAGGACACATTCCAAACATCGTGATCAAGAAGTAACTAGGAGTGTGGATTGACTGACGAATGTTGTAGCGACCACTATAGGACACGTTCCATACATCGCGCTCAAGAAGTAACCAGGACTGTGGACTGACTGATGAATGTTGTAGCGGTCACTATAGGACACATTCCAAACATCGTGATCAAGAAGTAACTAGGAGTGTGGATTGACTGACGAATGTTGTAGCGACCACTATAGGACACGTTCCATACATCGCGCTCAAGAAGTAACCAGGACTGTGGACTGACTGATGAATGTTGTAGCGGTCACTATAGGACACATTCCAAACATCGTGATCAAGAAGTAACTAGGAGTGTGGATTGACTGACGAATGTTGTAGCGACCACTATAGGACACGTTCCATACATCGCGCTCAAGAAGTAACCAGGACTGTGGACTGACTGATGAATGTTGTAGCGGTCACTATAGGACACATTCCAAACATCGTGATCAAGAAGTAACCAGGACTGTGGACTGACTGACGAATGTTGTAGCGACCACTATAGGACACGTTCCATACATCGCGCTCAAGAAGGTAACTAGGAGTGTGGGCTGACTGACGAATGTTGTAGCGACCACTATAGAACACGTTCCATACATCTAGCACAAGCAGTAATTTTAATAAATTTAATTTAATGTTATGTTTAGATAAAGCGGTCGCAGATCCGCAAGGGCATGGTGATGGTATCGCCGGCCCTGAACCCGCAGGCGTGCTGGCAGTTTGAGGGGGAAATATTGGTTCTACATCACCCAACCACCATCTCCTCGCGTTACCAGGCCATGGGTGCGTAATGTTATATCTGATATATGTTATGTATATTGCTGCCCCTGCTAACCATTGTCTGGTCAGCACTTTGGGACTCAAGATCTAGTCTACTCAGTTAGTATCCGACAGTCCGTGTCCATCCTCCATTCAGTGCGGTTGCCTACAGATCGTTTAACTCATAAATCTTTATATTTCTACTAGCTGACCCAGCGAACTTCGTATCGCCATAAAAATATGGGTGGTAGAAGGGTGAAAATTTAGAGCTGCATGTATTTTTAATGCCACATTATAAAAAAATAAACCAAAATCTAAAAAATAAATAGGGTTGGACAACCCTTATCACTTAGTGGTATGAAAAATAGATAGTAGCCGATTCTCAGACCTAGTGAATATGCATATAAAGTTTCATAAAAATCGGTCGAGCCGTTTCGGAGGAGTATGGTAACTAACATTGTGACACGAGAATTTTATATATAAGACTAGCTGTCCCAGCGAACTTCGTACCGCCATAAAAAATAGGGGTTGGTGGTAGAAAGGTGAAAATTTAGGGTTGTATGTATTTTTTATGATGTATCATAAAAAAAATAAAAATATCTAAAATTTAAAAAAAAATTAGGGTTGGATTACCTTTAACATTTAGGGGGATGAAAAATAGATGATGTCCGATTCTCAGACCTACCCAATATGCACACAAAATTTCATGAGAATCGGGAAAGCCGTTTCGGAGGAGTTTAACCACAAACACCGCGACACGAGAATTTTATATATTAGATGTTAAAGAAATAAAGTCGTGAGTGTTATTAAAATATTCTTTTTTAAAAACTTATCCGCGTAACAGTACTGTACTGTCACGAAAATATTGATTGAAAAATCAATATTTAGTTGTCATTTACGTAAGAAAACAAGTCGATTCTCAATCGCCTCACAAAACTGCATCAATAAACGTCCGAGCGGCGTTCTACATATACTTACAAGGGTAACATTAACGCATTTGTTCAAATTGATACGTTATGTCGTGGTAGTAAGGTTCAATGTCAATTGTGTACGAGCGAGAATTTTCTAATACGACCGTTTGAAAGAAGGATGCCCATTTGTGACCTGTCAAATCTATAAAAAAAATTTGCATGTATAATTATGTGACATACCTCAAAAAAAAGGTAATTATTCGCTTATTACGAAATCAAAATATCAACAAAAACTACAATCCAGTTTTTTTCAAAAATAATTTTTGAATATAACCATTATGTAGGTAAATTTTTTGCTATCACACGAACGCATCCATTAGGGAAGAGTATTGTATCAAAGTAAAATGACATAATTATGAACGCAGCTTAAATGTATGCTCTCCTTTCCAATGTTGCCAGTCATGTGGTAAATACCGTATTTAAATGGTAATGTAATACTTAGAAGGCATGGCTTTAATTTAAAGTTTCTTTCCGTTCTTAACAAAGACTGGCCATTTTCTTAGTGAAACATGACCGAAATAGTTAGGACTCCATCATCTCTTCGGCTGACTACATGAGAAGGAAATTCGTTCCGAAAAAATGCCAGCAATAATGACAGCTGCTCATAGTACCAATCATCTCAATTAATGGAAGGTATTGTAATTTTATTTTAGATTATTACCTACTTATATACTTGTCTACCAGAGATTTAAATAATACATAGTTAAATGTCTTAGATGTCTATAGATATAATTATGTAAAGGTCAAGATTATCATTTATTCATTCGCTTGTAGAAACTAAGACATTAAGTACCTACTATTTCAATAAAATAATTGAAACTGAATTATTGATTAAATATAAAAAAAAACTTGTTTAATTCCAAAGACAATATTATAAGGATGACACCTCAGCATGATACATGTTATGATATTAATCCTTTTTTCTTCAATCCTCAGATCAAGCTTCAATCAAACAAAACAAGCGAATTGAAATAAATACCTAGCTGGGCTAAGACACCACAGCTGTGACAGCACACAAATGAATAATCTTATGCTGGCACTTCACTTGGCTATTCATGTAAACTTGATTTCAGTCTGTCCTTTTCTTTCCTTAAAACATGATAAGGACAGACTGTTGTCAAGTTTACAAATAGCCAAGTGAAGTTCCGGCATTAGATAATCTATAATCAATCTCGTAACCACAGAGTAAGTAAATGACATCTTCAGCAGTTGAATAACCTCAGAATTAGTTTTCGTTATAACTTCTATTCCTCATTGCCAAATCAAACCAAATTAGCAACATTATTTCAGAAGATTGTAATAATTAGTTAACAACCTCAACAGTCAATATACATCCATAAAGTAAAAACCGAAGTGACAGGTTTTCGAATGTATGGGCAGTGGGCATTGTTCATTACACACAATATACGAATGTGCGTAATTTTGCTTCCGACACTTTTGAGCGCGATTGTGAGTCTACTTGTTTTTATACATCAACATTGGTTGTGTTGCTTTTTATTCCAAAAAATCAAATTTAAAACTAATGAAAATTTTACTAGAAAAAATCCACGCGGACCAGGCAGCAGACGGGACTCGAATCCCATCCGTCGCTATCCGGGCGGATGCACTGACCATATGCTACCGCGTCCCTAATTGTCAGTGTCGAATTTTCTCTTGTATTTCTTAGGCTGCAAGGCTGTAAATACATTATGGAATTAAAACAAAAAAAAAATATCACGACTTGCTAAATTTATTGAAATGAAATGAAAAGTCATTTATTCAGTCTAGGCTGTTACAAGCACTTGTGAAGGTCAAGAAGCTACGCCATCGGTTCGCAATGGTTGCTGGTTCTTCTCAATACAAGGTCTGTCGTTGTAGATTTGCGAATCGAAGGCGTATTTTTTCGTTAATTATCACTCTCATTCACTCGGTCAATAAATATATTCGCACTTTTTTATATACATAGAAGTTGGCCTATCGACCCGCAACCTTTGATTTGTTTTTCGAAATCGCGACGCACGATGAGATTGGCATACATCCCGGCAAACCTCATGAGCAACAACCATAGACAATGAAGCTTGCTCAGTAGCAATTTTACATACAAAAACGACTACTGCGCAAATGTGGTTTTGCTCAAGAACTTTATCGTGATTTATGTATAGATAGAAGATACATAGACGAACAAATGCATTCTATCCGTATGGGGGAATGTGGTATGTGTATATCACATTCACCGTGCGGTTCAATTTCGAAAAAAAATCAATGGCGGCGGATAGGTCAGTAGTTTCCTTAGCACGAACCAATATCGAATTCGAATAGTTTGCGAGTGCGAAATGTCATTGTCAAATTTTGTATGAAACCTTAAACAGCAGCGCCACAACGGACGTAACGAGAACTAAACATCAGTACATATTTAATGTATAAAAATAGATCGAATTCAACTATTCCAATAGGGTATTTGACAGTTTTAAAAATAAAGTGCCAATTGTTAGCATCTGCGTTTAGAATGAATAATGGCAGGGGTTTTTACTATTTTTACAAAAAAATATTCATAATTTTACTAAATTCCCACGAAAAAGATAATAGTTTTCTTATCTATTGTCACGTGACCCAAAACGCTTGGGATTGGCGGAGCCTAAAATGACATCACACGCAAGTAAACTTCCGGCTAAAGTGACATTACATTGTATCGTTTAACGTTTTAATAACAGTCGTGTGACGTCACACACTAGTCAGACGCCATATTTTCCAGAGAAACGTTTTCGCGGCAACTTGAAAATTGAGTTTTTGATTTGCTTATTTTTACTGAAATACACAACAGAATGATGAATGTCCACATTTTACGGACTCCATAAGCATTAGTCAATAACGTGAGTTCGTTTTCTAAAACTTGTCAAATACCCTATTCTAAAATGGTTCGTGCCAATGGTACAGTTTGGTTCTTTTTTTTTTTTTTTTTTTTTTTATAGATAGGTCAAATGACTCCACCCCACCTGATGTTAAGTGAAGGTGAAGTCCAGACGTGACGATAGCTGATACAACAGTTTTATCTGCCACACTGTTCAAAAGATAATGATATTGTTTGGCAGTGCACTGCGGCAGCATCCGGCAGACGGCGTCGATCCTGTCGATGTCGCGCGACTGCCTGCGCACCGGGGACAAGGCGCTCGTGCGCTTCCGGTTCATCAAGCATCCCGAGTACCTGAAGCGGGGCCAGAGGATGGTGCGTGACACTATGTATCGTGATATATCTGTGTATAGTACACTGGCCAGCATCCGGCAGACGGCGTAAATAAATGACGCATTATATATTGCAAAATAGTTATATAGCAAATAATAGGGATGATGACTAATTTTTTTTTCTTCGTTTATCAGGTAGATTATCAAAAAGTATTGGACTCGTATTTTTTCTTTTTTCACATAATATAAACATTGCAGAGATATATTGATTTGAAAAGTCGCATGGCGTCACGTTTTAGTACAATTTTCACTTAAAAGTGACGTCACGAGCCCCTACTCCCAAATTTTGACGCACTATAACTTTGTCATTTTTTTGGTAAATTGCCCAAAGAAAAAATACGAGTCCATTATTTTTTGATCATCTAACTGACGGACTAAATAGAATTTCGTTTACTGTACCCCGTCATCACCTGTTGACAATGAAATTTAGCCTCAGTCGAATTACACTGACAGTTTTTTTTAACATTATATAAAACTATAATGGTAATTGATCACCGTCCCCCATAGACACCTGCAACACCAGGAGTATCACAAATGCGATGCCGACCTTTCAAGGTCTTTTTGATTAGAGTATAGTGGTACGAATGAAAAGATCTTATCAGCGTATGATTACAGAAGTGATGTGATGAGTTTCAAACTGAAACTCATTTATTCAGTCTAGGCTGTTACAAGCACTTATGAAGGTCAAGAAGCTACGCCATCGGTTCGCAAAACTACGGCGGGAGACCTTGTACTGAGAAAAACCGGCAAGAAACTCAGCAAGGGCTATTTTTTCTCCCTGTATTGTTATATACAGAATCGTCAAGTTGAACAATGACTTCAGGCATACTTCTGAAGTCACCTTCCATTACATCATTTAGCATATAGATATATAGTTACAATAAATTTTAAAGTTAACTTTATATTTAGTATACAGGAAACGGCATCAGATGGGTATTGCGGCGATCTACCCTGAAGGGGTAGGCCCTGGGAGCGTAGCAATAATAATTGAAACAACTTTGATAAATATGTTTTTATATTAGATTTCAGGCGAATATAATAATTGAGCTTAATCTATTAACGCATGGTTTGGTGCCTGAAGTCTATCTCACGGAATCTTCTATTAAACGACAGAGGATTCCCTATTTCAAATATTAAAATCATGACATTAACTTTTTAATATCACTGCCAGCCGTAGGCATTACATGAACAAAGAGTTTACCCAAACAAGGAGGCTGTAACGTAACAGACGTTACAGTACCATATTGCGATGAAAAATCACTAATACCCATCAAATAACAAATTACAAGAAACAGTATGTCGATGCATACGCAGGTGTTCCGCGAAGGCCGCACTAAGGCGGTAGGCAACGTTCTTCGACCGGAGCCGCACGCCGCCAAGCCGCAGGCGCGACGCGCTGCACCAGCACCCGCGCTCGCGCCCGCGTCGCACCCGCTGCTCGACAATACCGCGGTAAATATATTCAACCCAATTCAATATTTATTTATTTATTGCAAGACCAACAGCTATTAATAAAAATAATCAAAACTTAAATAACAACAGAAAGCCAATTACAGGTCTTCACCAATAAAAACACACTAAAACATAATTAAGCACACTTTTAACATAATAATAACAAAAAAATAAGCTATGTTTTTATTTATTTTTAAACATTAACTGCTAGATGTTTAAATCTAAAGAAAAGTTTACTAGAAAAAATCCACGTGGACCAGGCAACGGGCGGGTCTCGAACCCGCACCCTTCGCAATCCGGGCGAATGCACTGACCATTATGCTACCACGGCCCTATTGGCCGCGTAACAAAAAAGTATAGCTAATAAAACTTATTGTCTTAATCCGCAGCAGCAGTCTCAAGAAAGTCACGTGACCGGCTCAGACTCCCCGTTCGACGTGACGCCGAACAAACGCACGCGCCGCCCGCGCAAACGACACGACAAACCGCCCGACCAACACTCGGTCGCCGCCAACTAAACGCTAACACACCACATACCATAATAGATGATACAACGTACAACAGTCAAGTCTTATAATATGTACCTACGCGCCGCCCGCTCTAACGACACGACAAACCGCCCGACCAACACTCGGTCGCCGCCAACTAAACGCTAACACACCACATACCATAATAGATGATACAACGTACAACAGTCAAGTCTTATAATAGGTATCTACGCCCCACCCTCTCAAACGACTCGACAAACCGCCCGACCAACACTCGGTCGCCGCCAACTAAACGCTAACACACCACATACCATAATAGATGATACAACGTACAACAGTCAAGTCTTATAATATGTACCTAGGCGCCGCCCGCTCAAACGTCGCGACAAACCGCCCGACCAACACTCGGTCGCTGCCAACTAAACGCTATAATAGATGATACAACGTACAACAGTCGAGTATGGTGTTGATTCTGGCATGATTATCTTAACCTAAACTTAAATTAGACAACAGTGTATCCCTTTAATTCTCCATACCTAATTAGGAGAGACTGATGTTAAATTTAGTTTTATTTGAGAGAACCCTGCCAGAATCGACACCAATATGTGTCTTCACCACAATACACCCTACAATAGATGAATCGAGCGAGCTCGCTAGCACAATCATCGCATACAACAGGCGAGTCTAATGTCGGTACTACATTTGGCTATTCGTGTTTGCTATTTGTAAATTTGACATCAGTCTGTCCTTTTCATTCTTTATAGAGTACGATAAGGATAAATAAACTACTGACAAAATGACAAATAGCAAACACGAATAGACAAGTACCGGCATAATTATGGGTTCAACTACCTTCCGCCAGCGTAAATAGAATCTCTGAGTATCCCATTGGACCATAGTTTTTCCTGGATAAAGTGTCTTATCCTCAACCCTGATAATGAACTGTCTGTGTGTCTTCCAAATCCGTTTTTGCATGATTGATTAAACAAACATACAAACTTTCACATTAATAATATTACTAGCGGCCGCCCATGACTTCATCCGCATTAGATTTAGTTTTTATCAGAATCCCTTGGGAACCTAACATTTCTTCGGGATAAAAAGTATCCTATGTCTCAATCCAGGTAATAAACTATATATGTGCTAAAAGAGAATGCCCATTTTGTATGAAAAAAGTTCAGTTTTTTTTTTGTAAATGGTACTGGCTATTGACATCCTTCTTTCAACCAAATCAGCCATTTTTGTGAGATGGAGTAACAAACTTTAATATGTATAATATTATTAGGATGAAGCTACACTATTTCGTATCATAAAAATATAAGGTGATATGAATCGCACATTCTTTCCTATAAGCACAAAATTCACCGATATCAGGATTATAAATTCTCCTTAGCTTTATTTGTTATATTACTTACTAGCTGTGCCTCGCGGTGTTACCTGCGGTTTATTTTCCCGCATTAAAACATAGCCTATGTGTTAATCCAAGGTGTCACCGGGCTTACTCCATACCAAATTTTATTAAAATCGCTCCAGCCGTTTAGACGTAAAGAAGTAACAAACATACACACTCACAAACTTTCGCCTTTATAATATTAGTGTGATTTATGCAGCTGTTCTATAATGAGGGGTATTAAAACACGAATGTGGGTTTATGTCGAAACCGGGTGTGATAATAGCACAGAACAGAAAAAAAAGGGTAGAAAAAAAGAGATGGTTTCAGTACCAGAACCAGTGTAACCAAAACACACATTAAAAACCAAAGTACACCTCTAATGGAATAGTACAAATAACACACACACACAAAGGTTAAGACACCCCCATTGCTCAAAAAAGAGAATCCATACAAGCAAATTAATAATATAATATTTTATATAATTAATAGAACAAGTAGGCTTATTTCAATTTTTTTGTCGCTATTCGTTCATGTCGCTATTTCACTTGTAACTGACGCGTAAGTACTAGCACATAAGCTAAGTTACGCATATCAGAGGTTACGCGGGTGACGCTTACTTGCCATTTCTACTCTTTTTCTCTGTTCTGTGGGTAATAGTATGAGATGAGAGTTTAAATACCTAATTATAACAGTTGCATACAAGACTTTAACTATCGCCTTGATATGAATCTTCTATATAATAATTATTTCTGAAAGCAGTGTTGTGGTTGCAAGAATAACTATTTTATTACCTCACATGGTTTTAACCAGTTTATTATATAAGGCGGAAAATTGATAATCCACAAAGCAAGTCATTTGCATAATAGCCAACCACATGACAGTGCAATATTAAATTGTGACTACATTAATTGAAGAAAATAAGACATATGATGATAAGATTGCTTAGGTATTTATTATTAGACTTGACTGCATGAATTTTGGCAGTATTACAAAAAACCTTGGTCTCAATATTCTCTATTCTTGTGACTGTGACCATTTCTAGCCAAATTACAGCACTATTATTAGGTGCAGATAAGTTGAGAGGATTACAGTTTTAAGAAAACTGTATACCTATTTACAGTAGGCACTGAGGAGCACCACCTCTGAACTCTTCCGACTTCCATAAAGCAGCACATTTCATACTTTAACAGTGATACTACAAAAATATGATACAGCATTGTTCCTAGAAGGCCAAATTCATACTTTACATCAGTTTTGATCGAGTGTAACATGTGTTGATGAAGAGTAATAAGGTATTTTTGTAGTGTGTACTGCAATGCTTATACCAATTTTCCTCTCAATAAACTTTAAAGTACACTTAGATGTAAGTACAGGAGTACATTGATTTATGAATTAGGCTAACAGGGCTAGTTCTTTTTAAATAATAAGCACAGAATATGACTTAACATTTGAAAATGTACAGAGGTATTGCAAATTAGGATTATCAACAATAGTATATAATAAATATCCATCAGAATGCATATTTTTAATAGCCATTTTATCAATAAACTTTGATTCCGATATTAGGACAGATATTTTAAAATTATGACTAACTACTTAAAATTCAAGTAGGTACTTGCCCTTTCATTAGATAAAACAATTTCTCATTTAACTCTAAGAAAACAAAGTGTTGTAAACTACTATTTCTATAAGCCATTCATTGTATTTTTGACACAAAATATTTTTATATCTACTTCATAATAAGCCACTAACCATAGTAAAGAATATCAAATACAAGATTGGAAGAGATTTTTGTGGTCATTTTGTTTAGAATACATCTTATGGTTGAAAATTGTTTGTTTTATTTGATTTCAGTTACTGTTTGATTCATAATTTATTATTAGTGTGATTGTTTAATATATGAATGCACAATGTTCTGTTCTTCAAGGTGAACAAATATCGAAATATGTGTGATATTCTTGTTGATATAACATTCAGCTAATTAAAAAAGTACCTTGTTAGTAAGGCTAGTGGCTATAGTCATTTCATAAATAGTTATGAAAGTATCATAGGATACTTTTCCTTCTTTGGGGCTTATCAGCAACAACCCATAGCTAATTTCAGTTACAAAAATACATTGTGGGAATTGTATTATACAGTTTAGTATTTGTTTAACAATAGAATGTGATTTTAGTAGTTTAAGAGGATATTTTTATTGATTTGTTCAGAGTGAAATTAAAACTAAATCTGGTATATATTGACTTGTTATTTACTACCCCATAACTAATAAATTATTGACTAAGGATATATCTCATCAGTGGTTTTGTCATTTCTTGAGCTGCTTCTTAATGTCAGCTATACCTTCCTTCATATTTTCACTAAACTTTCTCAAAAAAGATATTAAACTATTAACTTTTTGTGGATCCACATCTCCAAGCTTTTCTTTGCTTCTATAAAACACAGAAACTGCAAGCTGAGCAGCCCTTCGGACAGGGTATGACTCGGCTAACTTCTGTACAAGGTGTTCATTGTTTGCCAAGTACCTCAGCAAAGTCCTGATAGGCATTTTGTTGTAATTTATCACTTGAATGATGTTTCAAAGGAACACATGTTACGATACTTCTGCAATAATTCACGTTTCAGCCTTAACTGAGTCTTGAGAATCTCAAACTGCTTCAGCTGGTCCTGTTTATTATAGTCTATGCCAGGTAATCTCTTTATCTGTTGAAAAATAAATTATTAAATATAAGAGTATCATTGCTAAATTAGATAAATAATTAAACTGCCTCATCTCTTACCTGCGCGCGTGCTACGTCGAATTTCTTTTGTAACTCTAATACCTTTTGGCTGCAATCCTGCGATTCTCTTGCTTTAGCCGAATTATCATGAAAATCCCTTTCCACGCTATAACAGATAGGTTCATAAGTTAGGATAATTATTAAACAAAACTTAATAGTGTAGCGTAGTCTAAAAATAGATTAAAAGAATACCTTCTTATGATTTCATACACAATGGGCAAAAAATCTACGTCTACTTCTTGCACTGATAGTGGACTAAAGTTGTTTTGATCTGAATGTTCGGTATTATTTTCCATTGTATGATTAAAAAAACAATCGTAAATCACAAAATCACTTGCCTAAAATCAAATCCGAAAGTAAAAATGTCCCAATAATTGAGTCCAACCTCAAAAAATAAAGAAACTGTCAAGAGTCAAGACGATAACACGACAACCAACGACAGATAGGGACACGAAAAAAGTATCGATACTTTGTGGTATCGAGTACTTTTCCTTTCGATACCGATACTTTTGTACTCGATACTTTGTATTCGATACTTTTACTTATTGAGTACTTTTTGGCAAGTAAGTATCGATACTTTTAAAATTTGGACAAGCGCCTCATATTGTTATGATATATTCAAATTCTTTCCAATCTGTGACTGTGTTTATTTTGCGCTTTGTTTTGTTTCATAGTTATTTATTTAGCGACCATATTGTTAGAAATTGTGATTGATGATTCGCCGTTTATTGTGCTTATCGCTTGACTGCATTTGATGTATTCAAGTGTAACACTATTATTCTGTCTGTGCTGTGTATACCTATTTGAAACCACGGACCTGAAAAAAAGACGGACGTAACCTCTTCTATAATAGGGAAGATGCAATATTTTTATTTTTGTTTTCATTTTAAAGAATTCCATGTAAAATAAACCACAGATATTTTTTTGAAAAATTTAAAATGGACTATCCATCAACATCATGTGATCATAACAATACCACTAATATTCCGAAAAAAAGCCGTGTTGACTCATTTTTTGTGCCAATCTACTTCAACAAAGTTCCCAAATAAATTGTTTTTGACTGGAACTTCTGACCCAATACTGAAAAAAAGTGGTTTCAAGCTGCGAAGAGAAATGACAATTATTCTTCAAAGACCATTATTCGATGCTGTGAAGATCACTTTGACGTAAGTCGGCGAATATACTTGTTATATGCTTAATTAATCTGCTTGTACGTAAAAACGCATTAGTAACCTACCTAATACTTACAAAACCTGTCTATAACATATTTTTAATTTTACAGTTGGAGAATGACGTCGAAAATTAGATAAAGTTTAAAATGTGTGGCACAATCTTCACATTGGCAGGACTGAACCAAGCTTTGCGTTTCATTTAAAATAACTGTAACACGATAACCTTCTTTACGTACTTTATGCTCCGGAGAACTCGACTCTTTACTGTACATAATTTTCCATCTCTTTTAATTTGGACATAGCCGATTGCATTATCATCGTAAGATTTGTAGAAGCCGCTGAATAAAATACGAAGTTTAACAACTACGATTTTTACATACCGTAGTAATTTAGTCCCTTTCATTTCTACACTTAAAAACTCTGCACTTTGGACAAAAAAAGTTATAACCATGTCAACGCTAACTCTTGGTAAATTCCTGGAGTCTGCTTTGATAAACGTAACTTCCATTTTTATTAAATGTAAAAAAACGCAATAAATATTCTCATAAAATAATATTTACTTTAACAACCATAACCTCAAAGAAGTTGTCATAACAGGACTGACGTCACTAAACGCTGATTGGTGTTTTAAAATACGTTCCGTTTCAAGTATTTTTAATTCGTAATAATTGTTAAAAAACAACATTATGTAAAATAAAAACGTTGCAATGGCATTTCTTTTATATTTTTTTAACATTTTAATCATAAAATTTTCATAAATATTATATATGCATCTTCCCTATTATAATATTGAGTGAAGCATGCCAATGGCCGCCGTTAACTGCGTGTCAGATTCAAGTAACATTTTAATTATTAATGTGATATTAATGAACACTTTTTAAGTGTCAGAAATCACAGCTATTTTCTTTTCATTATATAATATAGCAATTTGTGAATTTATATGTCCTTTTACTGTTATTATACGTACTATAATAAAATTGGATTGTTTTTCTTTCAATTTTTAACCCGGGGGGGGGGGGGGGGGGTTGCTCATCGGGCCACAGAGGATCCGATAAGGCCCTATGAAATGTACTCGATACTTTGAAGTATCGATACTTTTGTTTCGATACTTTTACGAGTACGATACTTTTTTACCGATACTACTCATGAGTACAGTATCGATACTTTCTATTCGATATCGTGTCCCTAACGACAGACATAAGCTATTAACAGACGTTCCGATTTGGTTGGTGCCAACCACCCGACCACGACCAAAACGGAAAGTGTGGAGAGCGGTCGGTCCAACATAATTATTATTATTATTGGTTGGACGTGGTCGGATCGCCAACGCATCCGACAAGCCGACCGTCCAACCAAATTGGAACGTATGGAAGCTACGTTCCGACCAAATCGACTCAATCGCACTCGCTACGCCGGCGTTGTAGGACGTCAACATGAACGCCGAGGGAGTGACGGTCACCGAACGTGACATATTAATAAAGTTACTAGAACTTTATAAAGACTTTCCCTGTTTGTGGGACTTAAGTCACAAAGATTACGCCAATAGAGATGCCAGAAATCAAGCGTATTTGATAATGCTGAACGTTTTTAAAAAAAATGACAGTGCAGCTACTTTGAAAACGTTGAAAACTAAGTTGGACAATATGCGTACATCCTATAAGAGGGAGCGAAAAAAGGTAAGCAAATTCAAGTCTAATAATCTGTTGTGTATATAAATAAATAATGTGTAAGTTGTGAGTATTTTTGTAAGTTGTTACATATTTATAATACATTGTTGTAAGTATGTTACATATTTATAATTATTAATATTTGTGTCTTCAATACATACTTTTGTTGTACTTATTCTCTTTTCCTTATTTATTTATATATTTCATTTTTAACTACCTTACAATGCTTTCGGTTTTTATTCTCAAGGTTGACTGGGAGAGAATGCTTTTAGCATTAAGTCCACCTACTGTTAGCTCTACGGGCTCGAAAAGTTAAATAAAAAATAAAATAAATAAATAAATAAAAATTACGTTACATTAAATACATGTATTTAATGTGACGTAATTTTTTCATTTCATAATGATATGACTGCTAAAGGATTTCGCCCCTTCCCTCTACCTGCTTCTACAGTTCAAGTGACATAGCGGTATAATTGCTACATCAAGTCATGTTTTGACAATATTTATTAACAAGTAAAAAAAAATTACATATTCAAAGTACTTCATTGAAGAAATAACACAACTATGGGTTTCAATAAACTCTAGGATATTGTACATATTTTTAGGTGGAAGCTAGCAAGACTAGTGGTGCTGGAAACGATGAAGTGCATTTGCCATCACTATGGTACTACGAACATCTCTCATTCTTGGACGAAAAAACCACACCGACGACAGAGGTTATTGACAATATGGATACGAATTCTTCCCTGTCAAATAATGATGGGGTAAGCTTTAAATATTTAAAGTATTAATCATTCTTTCTTGAAAATGTACCCGGCCCTGATTGTTAAAATATTCAGTGAATATTTGTCTAACAGAATTACCATCAGCAGTACGTTGCCTTTCTGTTCTGTTAAGACTTACTGAGTTGTCATTTAATCTCCAGTCTCCTGGCCGAAAAGTACATGTTTCAGTATCCTCGGTATCAACACAATTTCTTGTTATATAGTTCGATGACTTTTTTCTTAAATAATTGTGCAGTGCGCATGAAGCCATTACAACTTTGGGTACATTATGAACATTAATTTGAATTGGTCTTTTTAATACTCTAAAACGTTCAGCTAAAATGCCAAATGCATTTTCGACAATTCTTCTTGCTCTGGAAAGTCTATAATTGAAAATTCTTTGATCATGTGTCAAATTTCTTCTTGGATATGGTTTTAAAACATTTTCATTAATGGCAAATGCATTATCTGCTACAAAACAATATGGGGCGTTAACATTTGTTTCCGGTAAAATAGAAGGTGATGGTAAATTTAGTTGTTTCGATATCAATTTTTCATGAAAAGTTGTATGTTTGAATATTCCACCATCAGAAATACTGCCATTAGAACCTACATTTACATAAATAAACTCGTAATTTGCATTCACAATACCAAGCAGGACTACACTGAAAGTTCCTTTATAATTATAGTACAATGTACCCGATTTTGGCGGCTTCTCGATAATAACATGTTTGCCGTCAATAGCACCCAAGCAATGATTAAATTGCCATTTTGTTTCAAAGTCTTTAGCTATTTGTAACCAGTCATTTTCTGTTTCAGGAACCTGCAACAAAAAGAGAACGCGTTACGAGAAAAAAGCAAAATGATATTTTAAAGAAACAGTCGGAATTACTAGAGTCTGCAAAAATATTAATATCAGGCGACGGCACATCAGCTGATGCTTTTGGGAACTCCGTGAGCTCTCAACTCAAGGAGCTCCCAAAAATACAAAGATGCCTAGCCGAAAAATTAATAGGCGAAGTATTGTTCTATGCAAAACTAGAAATCCTTACTTTTGAAACATCAATAAATGTAAAAAGAAGTTCAGAACAATCTTTTGGTCAGCGGTATGCGTATCAGCAGCAGGTGCCAAAACCATCACTAGCACCATCATCACAGCATCACCAGCCATCACCATATGTACCATCACCAACACCATCACCATCATCACAGCATCACCAGCCATCACCATATGTACCATCACCAACACCATCACCATCACCACAGCATCACCAGCCGTCACCATATGCACCATCACCAACACCATCACCACAGCATCGTCAGCCATCACCATATCAATCGTCACCATCACCATCACCACAGCATCGTCAGCCATCACCATATCAATCGTCACCATCACCATCACCACAGCATTACCAGCCGTCACCATATGCACCATCACCAACACCATCACCACAGCATCGTCAGCCATCACCATCACCTAAGTACTCACATACAGCACAATCTCAACCGTCACTTCAACACAGTCAGCCATCACCATCAACATTACCTCAGCTTCCACCATCATCACACTCGTACCAACACATAGTGTCCCCTCAGCTTACATCGGATGACTCATCTTCACAACTAATCTATGATTTGCCACCAATCCCATTAGATTCCACTTCATTGATTAATGACTACCCAAACACTTCTTTTGAATTAAGCAGCAATCAACAACAAGTATTCAGAGGAAAGGCGAAGGAATTAAACAAATATTTGATTTTTAAAAAGTAATTTTTCGAATTGATATTCGTAGGTATTTTTTCATTTTCATTTTTATGATTTCGAAAGTAAGGATACACCCAACAAATAATACATTAAATTTTTTATACTTGCTAACAGAATCACCATCGTCATGTTTGTTACTATAGAAAAAAAAATATAATTTTTTTAAATAATTAAAGTTGTTTTATTGAATACATACCTTTAGGTAATCGTTGAGTACTCTAATGATAGCTTCGCAGGTCTCTGGTATTATCTCAGACAGTAGTTGTGGTGATATACATGTGCTTAATTTAAGATCTTTATATTCTCTTCCTGACGCGAGATATTTTAAAGTTGCCACTAATCTTTCTTCGGCAGTTACAGCTCGCCTCATAACTGTATCGGTTTTCGTTATATATTTTTTCACAAAATTTAATATTTCAACGAATGATTCTGGAGTCATTCGAAGATATGTTCGGAAATCTTCATCATCCAATTCCTTAAGGAGCCGCATATGGCTGTAATATTCTCTATTCCTATAATAGAATTTAGCCCATTCGCTTCGTTTTTTCCTTTGTTCCTTTTGTAGCGGTGATGTAGCAGCAATGGTTGCTGCAACCAACGCTATTTTAGCATTTTTAGATAATACCGGTGGCATGATGTTTATGCATCGACGATCGACGGCATCAGGTGGCAAGACGTCCGTTCACTACTTCATAGCAAAGTAAACTGACGGTTGGAAGGCCGACCGTCGGAACGTCTATAGCAATGTTGGAATGGTTGGTACATCGGTTCCAATTTGGTTGGCACCAACCAAATCGGAATGTCTGTTAATAGCTATAGACGAAACGAAAATGTGGGGGTGGGCTGGTGCGTTCCATTCTACGCTCCTGGCGCAATAAATGTCAAGTTTAATACACTTTGGTGTCGATTCTGGCGTGATTCTCGATTTTAGACCATGATCTTTAACTGGAGCTATTGGAACTATAACTTTAGTGACAGGTGTAGTAAAATGATTCCATAAAAAATATAAATCTTTTCAACATCAGTCTCTCCTTTTCATTCTGTATAGAGAATGACAAGGTCTGTTGTCAAATTTAAGTTTGGATTTAGAGAATCGTGCAAGAATCGATACCAGTATCTCATACCACACACACACACACACATAGAGTACATTGTTATATATAGAAACACACACACCACACATACACAGTCAGATTCATAGGAGAACAGGAGTACATACCGACTCCTGCGCAGGCAGGCATTTACTACAAGGCACTGGAAGAAACATCAGGCGTCCAAGACACAAACACCACAGCTACCGCCAACGCTGTGGAGTCCAAGCATCTGGTCACCTTCGTAGAGACAGGTTACAAATGCGTCTTGCGGGATCTCACCAAGATCATACATTACATTTTCGACTTATTTAACACTAGCCAGCTCGTACTGATAGCAGTAAAGCTGGTGCGTTCGGTGTTCATGTATCCTCCTGACTACCTGCTCATAGACACGCCATACCAGATAGAAAACCCGAAGCGGTTATACGCCCCTCTCAAGTTCTATAGTACATTGATGCCCCTCCTATGTTGGGGGGACATCAGAACTTACTTTTAAAATTGCATATTGAGTATTAATATATGTATGTCCGATTAAGTAAATTACATTAATTTATTTGTATAATTATTATCATCATTATGAACTGTTACATTATACAAATAATATTGAAATTATTGTCTAAAATAGCTAAATTTGCCTAAATAATATAGATTAAAAAAAGGTAAGGTATCCATATGTTTAACCCCAATTGAGGAGTGCTGTTCTAGATGGAGCGATAAAAAAGGAACTCGGATTCAGCTTTTATAGTCTTATAACTTCAATGACAACAACGAATAAATCGGGCATCAGTTTCCAATTTGCCAAGGTTGTTACAATTTGGATTGTCAATTGGACCACCTATATCTTAACATAGTTTAGTACCATTATGTTAAGTAAGTCATCAATGTTGTTCACTCTGGCATGATTCTCTAAACTTTAAACTAAATTTAAGATCACTCTCTCTGTCGCGACATGGTGCATACATAACCGAGTCGTGAAATGTAAATATTGTATATGGCAACAGCAACCTTGTTCCTTAATTAAGTGATTTCACGTGTCTATTATAGTCCGGCCGCTCAGAGAATGCGTTTCTAACAGGTCGTGTCAGTCCTTAAGGCGATAGAATAAAGTACACTTTAGATCTAATCAAAAAAGATGTTCGAAAATTAACTCTATTGCTATCACCATAACTTCGGACTATAGTTAGTCGGAAGAACGGCTTAGCTATATTACGAGTAGTAAGGTGATGGCTGAAAATCGGTATTTTGCCTTAAAACAGGCAAATGTTTAGCTAAGCCTTGGCCTTTTGCTTTCTGAAGCATACATATGGGTATTTAATAGCCGATTTCTTGTATATTTCATATTTTTTTGATAATCGCAGTCTGCACGATGCAAAGGGGCTTACTGCACGTTAATACTACAGCATAATAAAATTTTCACACCTACAGACTGTCGAAATTCGCGTGCAGCAGTCGCTGTGTGTGACAGGCAGGCAGTGAATCGTCGCTGCAAATGGTGTTAGCAAATGCAATCGCACAGTGAGTATTCGCTGGGTGACTGAAGCTTTCCGCAAGTGTTGCATATTAGTATGACGTCACATTTGGGTACAAGTTGGTAGCATTGAAAATATGTTATCAAGAGTGTGTAAATTGCATGCAGGTTTTATTTTGCAAAATGAAACGTGCAAATAACAAATGTGCTTTCAATTTGTGCGTCGTTTAAATAAAAATGTACAACTGACACACAACTTCATTGCATGCTCTCTATAAAAACCACAACATCAGGTGATCAGGCACAACATAAATGAAACAACTTTAGTCTGTTAATATTTATATTATCCATCATATTCTTTCTTCACAGCAGAATCTTTAATAACTTTCACTACAGTTTTTCAAGATTTTGTGTTTGATCTGCATGTAAATAAATATCAATGTGTAATAATATAGCCTGTTTTTCAGCCAGACACAGACCTAAATACATTTCATCCAGTGCAAGTGATTTTGAACTTTAAATTCATGCAACTATTTGTTCTTAAGAAGTGAGTAATGCGAAATGTTGCCAGCATAATTAATCGCGTCGCTCGAGCAAAATGCGAAATGTAAGTCAGAAATGTGTCTGAATTTTTTTTTAATTACTAGCAGTTCACATGGCAAATACGCCTGGCCATGTGAATTACCAGTATATAAGACGTAGACGAGCCCTAATTTCTTCTTCTTCGCACTCTGGATATCCTCCAGGCGTTGGGTTCTTCGTATTTGTTGTAGAGCGGCTCGAGCCTTTGGTTCTTCTTGAACTTGGACAGTTTGGTGGGGTCTGAGAACTTGAAGAAGGCCGGCGCGAACTCCACCAGCCACTTGGGGTCGATGGTCGTCACTTCGCGCATGTACTCCTTGGTGGTCTGCACCAGCTCGTGGTAGATAACCCTGTTGACGGGAGAGGCATCAAAATCATTAGCGGTAAGTTTAGGTTAACATTTTCAAGGGGTGAGACTTTTTCCATCTAAGGCCCAAGCACAAGTTTTGACAGATCCGTAATCTTATCGCATCGTCAAAGTTTCTATGAAAACTTAGCAGCGCCCCTAGCGGACTGACTCCTTCATCCTTCATAATAAACTTTAAGGCTAAAGGCTTGACAGAACGCTGTTGGCTCTTACTTTGTTGGAACAAAGGTACATGTTGCGTCTCTTTCTACCTTGTGGGATTGCCGTAAGGGCGTGATATCTCTTTTCCTCACTCTGTCAGTCTTTAAATGCTAAATCTATGGCCCCAGCAGTGGGGACATTAATAGACTGATGATGAATGTAAGAAAATCTAACAAGAAAAAACTCCATTCGGTCTACGCACCAGACAGAATTCTTAAAATAACAATGTAATTATATTAAAATTGTCATTGGCCTAATAAGGGTGAAGCCAAACGAGCGTAATTTTGTGAGTTGTGAGTTGCTTATTTTCGGTCACTTATTTTACGTTCAACTGAATTTCTGTTGAGCTGCCATACGAACGTAATTTATTCAGTTACTATTGAGGGTTAGTACGGGGTGTTCGTGTCGTCGAGTGCAATGGATCCATTAAAAATATTGTGTATTTACGAAGCATATTCAGAAGATGAGGCCAGAAAATGAAACTGGGTAAACCCACTGAATAGTCAGAGGCTGATATGTGGACAGTTCCATACTTTATATGAACGTTTATGTGCAAATCCAGATATGTTTGAAAAGTACTATAATATGCCATTACGTGTTTTTCAAGAATTATTACACCACGCAACTTGTAACAAACTGTTGCTTCCCCACTCCCCTTCCTTGCCCTGCCCTCACTCCGACCGAAATTCGGACGAGCTTATGCGCATTGAGTCGGCAGACAACTCATTTTGCGTTGTCGTGTGGCACCAACTGCCTTTTTGTATGAAACCGAATGCAGCAGAATTTCTGCGACCGAAATTCTGCGACTCACCACTCACAAAATTACGCTCGTTTGGCCTCACCCTAAGTGTATGAGGTAACTCACCATTCCGGTTGCCTGTTGAACAGTGCGCTCGAGGGGTGTATGTAGACGACCTGGCTGTCCACCAGCGTGCGGTACCCTTCCTGCGGGTCCTTCTTGGCCGCATTCCGGAAGAAACCAGAGCAGATGGTCTTCTGGATGCGCACCGTGTTCTTACCAGCGGAAACCACGTCTAACTTGTGCCTGAGAAGAAAATGTTTATCGTTGTGATTTGGAAGAACAACATTGTTCTATTGATATTGGGTTGTAAGAGGGTCCAATAATCTTTTTCTGCCATCCATTCAGGGCATCTGTTTGATGATCAGAATGTGCGCGAAAGATACTCGTTTGAATTTGTCTGAATAGCAGTAGCGATGTCAACATACAACCTTGTAGTTATGCTCATGGGTGTAATAAAGTTGATGACTTAAAACTTTGAAACCGTGTGATGCATCTTGCGATTAGACGTAGTTTTAACAAACATCAACATCGTTTTAGAATATCCGGTCCGAAGGACCAAGTGAAAACAAAATAATGCTAGATGTTTCTTAAAAAGAAAGAAAGAAAGAAAGAAAAATAAATTTATTTCAGACAACACACACACAACAAACAGAACAAAACGCACATATTTATTTTTTGTCTCAAATCGGTCCCAACTCAGCATGTGTTGATGTTGCCATCAACGCTGGTCTTCCGTTGGAACCGGTTTAGTGACGACACGAAACAATAACATTAATAAGTAATAAAATAAACATAACAAAATAAAAACAAAAACAACAACAATGTGAGTTCAGGGGGGCGCCACTATCGCCATGTCAAAATTGGTTGCACCCGGAGCGCAGGTTCCGAACGCGGCCCCGACTGACATTGCCATTCAGTGACAATCTTACTAATCTGTGTACCTATTGTACTTTTGATTATTTTCTCTTTTTTCTTTAAAAATGTAATCTACTATTTAGACAATTTACAAAAAAATAATATTTTTTTAGTACTAGACGAACGGAAAGACAATTTACATACAAGAAATATCTTCTGATTAAATATTAAATACCTATAAAATAAACAAACTTCGGATACACATGTAAGTTGAACATCTCCTCACAATCTTTATATTGCACTAGTATCATGTAAGAGTGTTTCCTCTGATTTTTGATGCATATTAAGTAAATTGCGTAATTTTATTCTAAATAATTTGACATTTTGCAGGTCCCTAATTGGAGGAGGTATATTATTCCAGCATCTGGTTGCTGCATAGCGGAAACTACCTCGAAAAGCAGCAGTTGCATGAAAGGCCGTTGACAATTGCAAAGCCAGTCTCCGGGCACCATATGGCTTATTATTTGACATCACGGAGAGCTTGTTATAAAGATAGGCAGGTGTTTTATGCCTAGTTATGCCAAACATTAAACAAGCCAAATGCAGTTTCCGACGATGACACATTTTTAATATGGATTGTTTGTTCAAGAATGGAGTCACGTGCGCCCTTAACGGAACATTAAAGCAAAATCGAGCACAGGCATTTTGAACTCGCTGTATTAATTTTCGTGTTTTTGAGAATAAGCGTGGACCATAAACAGTGTCCATATAGTTCAATTTTGACAAAACTAGAGAGTCTACTAATTGCACCCGCAAACTTTCGCTAAGAAACTGTCTCACTCTGTAGAGAACCTTTAATTTATAAAAACAATTTTGGATACAACTGCTAACATGTTTTTCAAAACGTAAGTTACAATCCATAATCAGGCCTAAGTTGCATGCTTCATAGACCCTTTGGATTGGTTCTCCATTAAGTGTTATAATTTTTGATGGGTTAATTTTAAGCAACTGCTTTTGAGTACCAATTATCATAAATTTTGTTTTAGATGAATTTAGCAACAGACTATTATTTGAGGACCAAGTTGAAATATTAGCCAGATCATAATTTATTTTCTCTATTGCTTGATCAATATCTTCAGGTTTAAATGAAATGTATATTTGAGTGTCATCAGCATACATCAGCATAAAAAGGTCCCCATAAATTATGGCAAAATTGTTACGTTATAACCTATTTATATTTAAATTGTAACCTATAAATGTGCGCAAGCGAGGAGCTCGATGGCGCATGTGGTTAGCATTTTTGGCTGCGATCGTTAAAGTTAAGCAACTTTCGTTAGTGTCGGTTATGGATTGGTGACCAAATATTTTTACTGTATCGAGCTCCTCCTTGCTTCGGTAGGCACCTTAAGCCGTTGGTCCCGGCTGCATCTGCAGTGGTTAGCACCCACCAATCCGCATTGGATGGGGCATGGCTTAATCCCCCTATTTCATCCATAGGCAAGGCCTGTGTCCCAGTAGTAGGGACATTTGGCTGATGATGATAAACCTATAAAATGTAAGCACTGCTCCTGCACTTCAGAACGTGAATAGTGACGTGTTTCACCAACTCACCTGTCCATGATTCCAAGTAGTTGCTTCCTCACGTCCTGCGCCCTCTTTAGCGTTCTAATCTGTACAAAATTCTCATAGCACCACGCGTTAGAGAACTTATTGTTCCTCCAACTATTATAAACCGCAAGTAGAGTCAAGTGGTCGCCCTCAGGTTGGTTAAACTTTGCCTTCTTCTGATCAGCCAGGGCTTGTTTGTCTTTGGGCCGGTAGAACACGTTCTGTACGCTCAGCATCGACACTATGGTCAAGATCTCGTCGGAGCATTGGAGGGCCACCGACATTATGAGGATCTTGGAGAGATTCGGCTCGAGGGGGAATTCCGCCATCTGCAAGACAATTGGAGGGTTAAATAAGCCTATTTTTATCTGACATAAGAGAGAATTTGCTATTTATATTAGAGCCCTCTTAAACAAGTGGTCTTAAGACGGCTGAAAGAAAAACAGCATTATTATGTCGCGAGGAGCAGAATTGTTTCTACAGCTTTTGAAGGTACGAGAAAAGGGTTTAGAACGGCAATATTATAGTGGCTATCTTCAGTAGACTCTACTCAAATTTACATTGTCTCCTATAACAAAAATAAAAAATGTATATTCTCCAACTATCTTCATTAAATCAGACATGAATTGTGTAATATAAAAATGAGTAAATCAATTTATTTTCAATGTATAATGGTGGGTATGTATGATATAGGTTTTGATGTCAGTTTGTTGACTGAGAAGATTATTACCGATGGATTAAACCTGTCGTTTAATGGGGTCTAGATATTTTGCGTCGGCAACTATCAGTCAGGACTTTTGAGTGATGTTCAGGTAATATATGTAATCTTTGTCTAGTCTCTAAGTTACTGTTTCGTGTTTATTATTCTTGTAATTATAACATATATTTAATTACTATTTTTAATTGCAAAGGTGGCAGAAACTGCCATTGTAGCCACTTCCTATCACACACAGTGCACGTACCCTGCGGCCCAGCCTGGTGAGCAGTCCCTCGGAATCAAGCGCGGAGAGCGAGTGCAGCTGCTCCAGCGCCATGATGAGCGACTCCACGGGCGGCGCGTCCATGAAGTCGAAGTGCAGCAGGTCGTTGATGCCCATTGTTTTCAGCTGCAGCACCTGCATACGACAATATTACACGTGATAAACCAAGCATTATAGCATTAAAAACTTTAAAAGAGTTTATTGTTTTTAGCACTATTAGGCTAATGGCTCGATTACATTTGGGTGTTAGCCCGTTTTCGGGTGCACGAAAGACATTAACTCGAATTCGGGGACCCGTTGCAATATTTAACGGGCTGGAACAAGGCATTGGGTCAGGGTGGGCACTCACCGTATAGGCCACCCCCACGAGTGCATAGAGGCGGCGCTCGAATTCCACCGAGTGCCCCTCTACCTCCGCGCCCTCGTACGGGACTACCTGCGGGACAAGTCAGACGCGGAGGGGCGCGTCCAGTCGTGGACAGTGGCGACGGGTGTGCCCCAAGGTTCCGTTTTAGGCCCTCTATTATGGAACCTGGGGTACAACTGGGTCCTGCGTGGCTCGCTCTTGCCGCGAATGGATGTCGTCTGCTTCGCGGACGACACCCTTGTCGCGGCGAGAGAGAAGGAGTGGGAGGAGGCGGTCCACCTTGCGTCGGTTGGCACTTCCATGGTCGTCCGACGCATCCGCCTCCTGGGGCTGGAGGTGGCCCTCGATAAAACGAGGGCCATGGCGTTCCATGCCCCAAGACGCAGGACCCCACCGGGGCTCCGTGTCCGGGTTGAGGGGATCCAGGTTCATGTAGAGATGCACATGAAGTATCTCGGCCTGACCCTGGATCCCCGGTGGAGGTTCGAGGAGCATTTTAGGCTCCTCGGTCCCCCGCTGTGCGCCGCCGCAGCCGGACTCGGACGGCTCCTCCCTAATGTGGGGGGGCCGAAGGCGTCGTGCCGTCGGCTTTATTACGGGGTGATAAAGTCGATGGCACTATACGGAGAGGCGTAGGAGGGTACCGGTGGTTTTCAGTGGGCCGGAGAGTCCCACACACGCCGCGTGCCCAGCCAGCGCGCGGTACGGTGCGTAAATGCATTTTCCATCGTCAACAAAAAAAAAAAGGGTAGGCACTCACTCAGGGGGGACTCACCGTGGTGGCGAGGTTGGTGCGCTGTATTTCGGCACGGGCGTGGGCAGCATCTCGTCGCGGTAGGCGCGCTCCGTGTACAGCCGGTAACAGTGAGGGGGGGGGGGGGGGGGACTCACCGTGGTGGCGAGGTTGGTGCGCTGTATCTCGGGCACGGGCGTGGGCAGCATCTCGTCGCGGTAGGCGCGCTCCGTGTACAGCCGGTAACAGTGAGGGGGGGGGGGGGGGGGACTCACCGTGGTGGCGAGGTTGGTGCGCTGTATCTCGGGCACGGGCGTGGGCAGCATCTCGTCGCGGTAGGCGCGCTCCGTGTACAGCCGGTAACAGTGAGGGGGGGGGGGGGGGGAGAGGGACTCACCGTGGTGGCGAGGTTGGTGCGCTGTATCTCGGGCACGGGCGTGGGCAGCATCTCGTCGCGGTAGGCGCGCTCCGTGTACAGCCGGTAACAGTGAGGGGGGGGGGGGGGGAGGGACTCACCGTGGTGGCGAGGTTGGTGCGCTGTATCTCGGGCACGGGCGTGGGCAGCATCTCGTCGCGGTAGGCGCGCTCCGTGTACAGCCGGTAACAGTGAGGGGGGGGGGGGGGGAGGGACTCACCGTGGTGGCGAGGTTGGTGCGCTGTATCTCGGGCACGGGCGTGGGCAGCATCTCGTCGCGGTAGGCGCGCTCCGTGTACAGCCGGTAACAGTGAGGGGGGGGGGGGGGGGGGAGGGACTCACCGTGGTGGCGAGGTTGGTGCGCTGTATCTCGGGCACGGGCGTGGGCAGCATCTCGTCGCGGTAGGCGCGCTCCGTGTACAGCCGGTAACAGTGAGGGGAGGGGGGGGGGGGGAGGGACTCACCGTGGTGGCGAGGTTGGTGCGCTGTATCTCGGGCACGGGCGTGGGCAGCATCTCGTCGCGGTAGGCGCGCTCCGTGTACAGCCGGTAACAGTGAGGGGGGGGGGGGGGGAGGGACTCACCGTGGTGGCGAGGTTGGTGCGCTGTATCTCGGGCACGGGCGTGGGCAGCATCTCGTCGCGGTAGGCGCGCTCCGTGTACAGCCGGTAACAGTGAGGGGGGGGGGGGGGGGGACTCACCGTGGTGGCGAGGTTGGTGCGCTGTATCTCGGGCACGGGCGTGGGCAGCATCTCGTCGCGGTAGGCGCGCTCCGTGTACAGCCGGTAACAGTGAGGGGGGGGGGGGGGGGGGGGAGAGGGACTCACCGTGGTGGCGAGGTTGGTGCGCTGTATCTCGGGCACGGGCGTGGGCAGCATCTCGTCGCGGTAGGCGCGCTCCGTGTACAGCCGGTAACAGTGAGGGGGGGGGGGGGGGGGGAGGGACTCACCGTGGTGGCGAGGTTGGTGCGCTGTATCTCGGGCACGGGCGTGGGCAGCATCTCGTCGCGGTAGGCGCGCTCCGTGTACAGCCGGTAACAGTGAGGGGGGGGGGGGGCGGGAGGGACTCACCGTGGTGGCGAGGTTGGTGCGCTGTATCTCGGGCACGGGCGTGGGCAGCATCTCGTCGCGGTAGGCGCGCTCCGTGTACAGCCGGTAACAGTGAGGGGGGGGGGGGGGGGGACTCACCGTGGTGGCGAGGTTGGTGCGCTGTATCTCGGGCACGGGCGTGGGCAGCATCTCGTCGCGGTAGGCGCGCTCCGTGTACAGCCGGTAACAGTGAGGGGGGGGGGGGGGGGAGGGACTCACCGTGGTGGCGAGGTTGGTGCGCTGTATCTCGGGCACGGGCGTGGGCAGCATCTCGTCGCGGTAGGCGCGCTCCGTGTACAGCCGGTAACAGTGAGGGGGGGGGGGGGGGGAGGGACTCACCGTGGTGGCGAGGTTGGTGCGCTGTATCTCGGGCACGGGCGTGGGCAGCATCTCGTCGCGGTAGGCGCGCTCCGTGTACAGCCGGTAACAGTGAGGGGGGGGGGGGGGGGAGGGACTCACCGTGGTGGCGAGGTTGGTGCGCTGTATCTCGGGCACGGGCGTGGGCAGCATCTCGTCGCGGTAGGCGCGCTCCGTGTACAGCCGGTAACAGTGAGGGGGGGGGGGGGGGGGGGGAGGGACTCACCGTGGTGGCGAGGTTGGTGCGCTGTATCTCGGGCACGGGCGTGGGCAGCATCTCGTCGCGGTAGGCGCGCTCCGTGTACAGCCGGTAACAGTGAGGGGGGGGGGGGGGGGACTCACCGTGGTGGCGAGGTTGGTGCGCTGTATCTCGGGCACGGGCGTGGGCAGCATCTCGTCGCGGTAGGCGCGCTCCGTGTACAGCCGGTAACAGTGAGGGGGGGGGGGGGGGGGACTCACCGTGGTGGCGAGGTTGGTGCGCTGTATCTCGGGCACGGGCGTGGGCAGCATCTCGTCGCGGTAGGCGCGCTCCGTGTACAGCCGGTAACAGTGAGGGGGGGGGGGGGGGGGCCTCACCGTGGTGGCGAGGTTGGTGCGCTGTATCTCAGCACGGGCGTGGGCAGCATCTCGTCGCGGTAGGCGCGCTCCGTGTACAGCCGGTAACAGTGAGGGGGGGGGGGGGACTCACCGTGGTGGCGAGGTTGGTGCGCTGTATCTCGGGCACGGGCGTGGGCAGCATCTCGTCGCGGTAGGCGCGCTCCGTGTACAGCCGGTAACAGTGAGGGGGGGGGGGGGACTCACCGTGGTGGCGAGGTTGGTGCGCTGTATCTCGGGCACGGGCGTGGGCAGCATCTCGTCGCGGTAGGCGCGCTCCGTGTACAGCCGGTAACAGTGAGGGGGGGGGGGGGGGGGGACTCACCGTGGTGGCGAGGTTGGTGCGCTGTATCTCGGGCACGGGCGTGGGCAGCATCTCGTCGCGGTAGGCGCGCTCCGTGTACAGCCGGTAACAGTGAGGGGGGGGGGGGGGGGGGACTCACCGTGGTGGCGAGGTTGGTGCGCTGTATCTCGGGCACGGGCGTGGGCAGCATCTCGTCGCGGTAGGCGCGCTCCGTGTACAGCCGGTAACAGTGGGGGGGGGGGGACTCACCGTGGTGGCGAGGTTGGTGCGCTGTATCTCGGGCACGGGCGTGGGCAGCATCTCGTCGCGGTAGGCGCGCTCCGTGTACAGCCGGTAACAGTGAGGGGGGGGGGGGGGGGGACTCACCGTGGTGGCGAGGTTGGTGCGCTGTATCTCGGGCACGGGCGTGGGCAGCATCTCGTCGCGGTAGGCGCGCTCCGTGTACAGCCGGTAACAGTGGGGGGGGGGGGGACTCACCGTGGTGGCGAGGTTGGTGCGCTGTATCTCGGGCACGGGCGTGGGCAGCATCTCGTCGCGGTAGGCGCGCTCCGTGTACAGCCGGTAACAGTGAGGGGGGGGGGGGGGGACTCACCGTGGTGGCGAGGTTGGTGCGCTGTATCTCGGGCACGGGCGTGGGCAGCATCTCGTCGCGGTAGGCGCGCTCCGTGTACAGCCGGTAACAGTGAGGGGGGGGGGGGGGACTCACCGTGGTGGCGAGGTTGGTGCGCTGTATCTCGGGCACGGGCGTGGGCAGCACCTCGTCGCGGTAGGCGCGCTCCGTGTACAGCCGGTAACAGTGGGGGGGGGGGGGGGGGACTCACCGTGGTGGCGAGGTTGGTGCGCTGTATCTCGGGCACGGGCGTGGGCAGCATCTCGTCGCGGTAGGCGCGCTCCGTGTACAGCCGGTAACAGTGAGGGGGGGGGGGGGGGCGGGAGGGACTCACCGTGGTGGCGAGGTTGGTGCGCTGTATCTCGGGCACGGGCGTGGGCAGCATCTCGTCGCGGTAGGCGCGCTCCGTGTACAGCCGGTAACAGTGAGGGGGGGGGGGGGGGGACTCACCGTGGTGGCGAGGTTGGTGCGCTGTATCTCGGGCACGGGCGTGGGCAGCATCTCGTCGCGGTAGGCGCGCTCCGTGTACAGCCGGTAACAGTGAGGGGGGGGGGGGCGGGAGGGACTCACCGTGGGGGCGAGGTTGGTGCGCTGTATCTCGGGCACGGGCGTGGGCAGCATCTCGTCGCGGTAGGCGCGCTCCGTGTACAGCCGGTAACAGTGAGGGGGGGGGGGGGGGGACTCACCGTGGTGGCGAGGTTGGTGCGCTGTATCTCGGGCACGGGCGTGGGCAGCATCTCGTCGCGGTAGGCGCGCTCCGTGTACAGCCGGTAACAGTGAGGGGGGGGGGGGGGGGGGGGGGACTCACCGTGGTGGCGAGGTTGGTGCGCTGTATCTCGGGCACGGGCGTGGGCAGCATCTCGTCGCGGTAGGCGCGCTCCGTGTACAGCCGGTAACATTTACCGGGACCCGTTCGTCCTGCCCTTCCAGCACGCTGTTTTGCCGCTGCCTGCCATGAGAAATTGACCGAGTGAAAATGATAACAGTACAGACAAGAAATTTGTACTGGATTAACAATAGATCAAACAAAGAACGTAACAAAAGGAAATGCTATTCCTGTATGATTTTATCCACATTGTCCGTTATCAAACCAATATTTGCTCTATGCACTTGTTTTAGCTGGGTTTCCAGCAAAAGTTTTTGAAAACATTCATCAAAAACACATAGGTACTCAAGACTTTGTTTCTATAACGTGTTTCTCTACACACGCCGTCTACCGCTCCCGTAGCTGTCGTACACAAAATACATAGGGCAATGTTCAAAACCAACGATGCAGGTGCAACAAATGTCTAATTTGACAAAAGTTTCGTACATTTTATGTTAAAATTTAAACGTCAGAGTGGAAAGTTATACTTGGAGCGTAGGTTTGGAATGGAGCCCCCACTAGCGAGTAGTCAAAAAAAAATACACAATACCCTGTCCCTCGACCCGAGCGGAGGGAATTAGTGTATGTGTTTTCCATCGGGATTTGAAAGTAAAAACATTATTGATGCAAACATGTGTAATGTTACAAAGTTTTGTGTAGACAATTTTGTTGAATATTGATGTTTTTGTTGATTGTGTAGGGCAAAACACGTGCTGGAGACTCGACTTTAGAGATTTCGACATTTATCCATCACGACAACTAATATACTAACTGGTCGATTTTGGAATACAAACACTGTTATGGGAATCTTTGACATTAATGGTGAACAAATGTTACCAAAAAATATGGCATGTGCATCAGCCACAATATTGTTAAATATTAACTGCTATGTTAAAGTTTTATTTTTTGCACATTTGCAGATGTTGGTTTGACAACGACTTTAAAGTCGTTATAGCGACTACAGCTACATAGTATCGCCTATTTGAGTATACATAAAATTTTGGAAAATACTCCAAACATGCATTTACAAATTCAAATTGCCATATTATTTATTATGTGGAGCCATTAACAAGAATATAACTCACAAACTAGAAACTCACCTGTGAAATCGGCGTGACCACCAACGAGTCCATCCCCGTCTTGGAGTTGTACACTTTCTGCTTTACGAATCCTGGGTCCACCACGTAGTAAATTCCGTCTATCGTGAGGGAAGTCTCAGCTATATTTGTGGCTATCACCACCTTCCGGGATCCAGGCGGCGCCGGCTCGAATATTCTCGTTTGCATTTCCGATGGCAGAGCTGAATACACCGGTAGGATAATCAACTCTGGAACATCCGGCCCTAAGGACTTCATTCGCTCGTACAGTATCTCGCAAGCCGTATCGATTTCCTCCTGCCCCGTCAAGAACAGCAAGATATCACCAGGCGGCTCTCTCAAATGGATCTGCATTACAGTTATTAAAGAGGCGTCCAAATAATCTGTTTCAGGCTCCTTTGTATACAGAACTTCGACGGGAAACGTTCTTCCCGGGATTGTGAAGATGGGTGCTTCGAAGAAGTATTGTGAGAATTTGACGGCATCTAATGTGGCTGATGTGACGATCAGTTTGAGTTCGGGTCGTTTCTGCACCGCTTGCTTGAGTAATCCGAATAGCACGTCTGTGTTTATCGTACGCTCGTGGGCTTCGTCCAACATTATAACGGAGTACGACTTGAGATCCAGGTCCATCAGACACTCGCGGAGTAACATACCATCTGTCATGTATCTGTTGGTAAGTAAAGATATTTGGCAATTAGGTTGCAGTCGTCATCGGAAATTTCGTAGCAATTAAAAATTACAAAAGGTTATGTAAGCAAGTACATTAGTAGACGTTAAGAGGCGTGCTAAGCTAAAGGGCCATTGATGATTGCTTGGCTATTCGTGTTTGCTATTAGTAAACTTGAGACCAGTCTGTCCTTTTCATTCCGCTATAAAAAGAAATACAAAATAAATAGCCTTTTATATAAAAGAAATCTTAATTAAATATTTATTAGTAGTGGTTCACTTAAAGACAAATGAAAATGGATGTAGATACAGTTGGACCACGATAACTATGCAGAGGGAATAATCTGGTCACACCTAGGGTTACCATCCGTCTGGATTTGTCCGGACATTTACCTTTTGTCCGGACTTTGTCCTGCTTTTTAATTTGTCCGGATTTTCTAATTAGATGGAATATGAGTAAAACTTCTTATTAAGTTATATCAAATAAGTCAAATAATCTTTATTAAGTTCTCATTAATTTTAAACAAAACATAAATCATGTTTAAAAATCAACAACGAGCCTCCCTCGCGATGCGAAAGAGAAAGACTGAGACCTACTTGATGACAGTATAGGTATATCCGACTTCCTTCCCCCGCCGGCACCCGAACTCCTCTGCCAACTGTTTGGCAGACAGAGTGAGACCTAGTCGATGACAGTTTTTGAACTGGTGCAGTCCTCGAAACTTGGCTAAAAACATGAAGGCTAGAGAGTGAAAAGTGGGACTTACTTAATGACAGTATCGGGGCTGGTGCAGTCCTCGAATCGTATGGTATAATCCGACTTTTGCCCCAGCTAGAGAGAGACAGGCAGAGATAAAGTGAGACCTACTTGATGACAGTATCAGGGTTGGTGCAGTCCTCGAAGCGTATAGTATAATCCGACTTCTTGCCCCAGCTAGAGAGAGATAGGCAGAGATAAAGTGACACCTACTTAATGACAGTATCAGGGTTGGTGCAGTGTTCGAAGCGTATGGTATAATCCGACTTCTTGCCCCAGCTAGAGAGAGACAGGCAGAGATAAAGTAACACCTACTTGATGACAGTATCAGGGTTGGTGCAGTCCTCGAAGCGTATGATATAATCCGACTTCTTGCCCCAGCTAGAGAGAGACAGGACGAGATAGAGTGACACCTACTTGATGACAGTATCGGGGCTGGTGCAGTCCTCGAATCGTATGGTATATCCGACTTCTTGTCCTAAGCGACACCCGAATTCTTCTGCCACCCGTTTGGCGACCGACATGGCGGCCACTCTTCTCGGTTGCGTACAAGCAATCTTTCCTCGTGCAGTGAGCCCGCAGTCCGCCAAGTACTGCGTTATTTGAGTCGTCTTACCGGACCCCGTCTCGCCGATTACGATCAGGATTTGGTTATCAGCCACTGCCTGAAGGAAATTAAAGAAAAAGTGGGTCAATTAAAAGAAGTAGGGCCTAGCGGATTTCTTTTAGCGCCCGTCTGGATAAGTAGCCTCCACCTTAACGAAGACAACAGTAAAATAACACTACCCTTTGGTGTTGTGTTTCTGTCCGTAAGTAAGGTTCTAGAGGGCTCAAAGGGGTAAGGGATTTGGTCAGGGTAGGCAATGCCGTGAGTGATTTTTTTTGTATCGCAAGAGTCTTTAGGCTATGGTGGCCGCTTACCATCAGTCGGGCAATATGCTTGTTCGCCATACTTTAAACATAAAAAAACACCTCCACACTGGCCGAAGTAACAGTCGCACTTGACCTAATAAACTTGTAGCTTTGATTAGAGAGAGAGGGAGAGATCACTTACTTATAAAATGATTCTGATCTGTCTCTTTGCTACTGTAGTGATCCATTCTAAGTGACGGCGCAAAGCACGCGCTAAATGTTAATATAAAAAATATACATGAACTAGCTGTCCCAGCGAACTTCATACCTCCAAAAAAAATAGGGGTTGGTGGTAGAAGGCTGAAAATTTAGGGTTGTGTGTATTTTTGTATGATGTATCATAAAAAAATAAAAGCAAAAAAGTCAGTCCAAAAAAAGACAATTTGGACCACACTTAACATTTAGGGGGGAAATAGATGTGCTCCAAATCTCAGACCTATTGAATATGCATATAAAATGTCACGAAAATCGGTCGAGCCGTTTCGGAGTAGTTCAATTACGTACACCGTGACACGAGAATTTTATATCAGATATTGTAGCGACCGAATTGAAAAAAGATAAAATTAAGGTAAAAAAAACCTTTTTAAAAACAAGCCTTTATTCAAATGCGCTAAAAAGAAAAAAAGAAAATTTCAACTAAATTAGTTAAAGATATCTGTTTCTAAATAGATTTTCAAATAATAAAAGTCCGCCATATTGGATTGAGAGTGACGTCACATTTTTTTTGAGTTACTCTCAGCAAGCCCTTTAATTTGATACCCATATTTTAGGAATGCATTAAAAATTATTGGTCCGCCATTTTGAGTATGCCGCCATATTGGATTTAGAATGACGTCACACTGTTAATCATGCATTGTCATCTGAACTGAACGAGCATACCAAATTTCAGCTTAATCGGTTGAGGGTAAGTGCTTTAAAATTGCGTTGTAAGATTTGACCGTAACAAACATACATAGCAAGTTAAATAAAAGCTTGTAAAAATAGAGTACTGCGACAAATTAATCGAAATGCATAAACCGCCCGGAAAAACTAAACTACATATAGAATATTCTAATTCACGCTTCAAACAAAAAACTCCATATGAAATTTCACTGCAGGTTACTAAGTAGTGTAATGAAGCGTGACTTTTATGTAAATGTGTTATAATTTTTACGATAGCACCTTAGTCAATATTTTTATAGCGAAACGTTATTTTACTGTGTATGATAAATTCTATGATGTAGTATACCTACCTTAGTCAATTCATCTCTGAGTTTGTAAATCGGGAGCGACTGCCTCTGCTCCAGCAGAGATAGATTAGTTTTCTTGCCGAAGGAGGACTTCTTCCCACCGATGACATGTTTCTTCCACTCGGGTAGATCTTGGGGTGTTATTCCTGTGCCACGCATATTGGCCGCTAATGCTCTTCCATCTACTTCTGGCAACGGGTCGATCCAGTTTTTATTCAACCCAGTCGGAAGACTCTCCATCTCCTGTTCTCGCTGAATCATCTTTTGCTCCCTCCTCTCTTTGGCAAGCGCGCTCTGCATCATCGCCGCTTGCGCTAAAGACCCATCCGGGTTCTTGACTATCCTTACGGGAGATAGTTCGTGTAACGCTCGCCCGTGGCCTTGCAAGAACGGTGGCTCTTCTTCGACTAGTTCTATCTCCGTATCAGCCTCGCCTTCTTCATCTTTAGGCAGTAGGCCTGTTTCTTCGTCGAAATCTGGCAGTTCACTCTTGTCGATGACTCCAGATGATATCATCTAAACGTGACAAAAATATTGCGTTCATAACATGTATAAATTAAGAAATAATAATAGCACCGCGGCCAAGAAATGTGGAGGGGATGGATAAGGAAAAAAGGACCTATGAAGAAACAGTTTTTGAAAATATGATAATCGTGGTAATAATTATGCTGTAATCTGAGCAGAAGGAATTAATCATAAACTATGGAAGAGTGAAAGACATTATTATTTCTCCAAATGAGATAGAGACCGGGAAAATGATACTTTATCATTAAGGGCGCTTTCAATTTATGCGTTTCTTGACTGCCTGTTGCGGTGCCGAAGCGGTGCGTTTGTCGTACAGCGTACGGACGATCCATTTTTTTCATACAAAACGCGCGGTGCGGCAACAGTGCGGCACCGGCACCGCGAACGCTCGACAACAGGACTGTTGCCGCACCGCGCGTTTTGTATGAAAAAAATGGATCGTCCGTACGCTGTACGACAAACGCACCGCTTCGGCACCGCAGCTGACTCTCGAGATGCAAACCTCTAGTGATATTACTTTGTATCATTTTATTCATTCCCCTATAATCATTTTCACTGAGGTGGAAAGTACTATACCCTATTAAACTTCCGTTGAGGCCGAAGGTAAAGAAACCGAAAAAAGGTTTTCAATAGGACCAATTTTATATGCATAAAATCATAAAAAATGACACTAAAATGACCTAAAACTGTGGTTATTTGGTGTTTTTTGAACGCTATAGAATACTACTACATTGAAAGGCAGTGATAAATCAAATAATTAACGTTGAAATGTGAATTTTTGTCATCAGTTTGGTTACACCTTCTTTACACTTGATAAAAAAGTTTTAGAAACATTGCTTTAAATCTAAAGAAAAGTTTACTAGAAAAAAAAATATCCACGCGGGACGGGACTCGAACCCGCATCCTTCGCTATCCGGGCGAATGCACTGACCATTATGCTACCACGGCCCTATTAGCCGCGTCGAAATTTTCCTAGCCTTAAGCTGCAAGGCAGCGCCATCTCTTCGCATTGTAGGTAACCCACAATGTCAAATGAATACTTTTTCAAGTATTAAACATTTGAAAGAAGAAATTATTTATTTATTTTTTTATTTTTAAGCAGTTAAATGCTTAAAAAATAAATAAAATCGTAACATTATATTGTTTTAAACTTTCATGGTCACTAACATTATAGATATTAACGGGATTGTTACCATGTACCTTGTTTTTTATGAGTCTCCGATATTTCGGCACTGTTGCAAGCGCCGTTTCCGTGATCATGGCGCTTGCAACAGTGCCGAAATATCGGAGACTCATAAAAAACAAGGTACATGGTAACAATCCCGTTAATATCTATAATCGTAACATTGCTTTATTTGTTTCTCTTTTGTCTCAGTGCAAGTTGAATGGAGTATAGTTACATTCTTGGTATTATCTTATGCATTCTCCTAGAAGGCATTGGCTTCATTAGTTAATTTAGATAACAGGCAAATGTTTGTATGAATTTGTAGGATAAATAAGTTTTTGTAGGAAATAATACTTAAACAATACTAAAATATATAAACAAAAAATTCTTATACCCATAAAGGTATAAGAATCTCTTGTCTATCCTATATTCATATTACGTTACACAACTTTTTTTTAATGTCTAGGAAATAACCTTAATTTTCCTTCAGCTACCGGGGGAGCAAGAAGAACGTATCTGGGACTCCTCCCTGCTAATTTCACCCAGCCCTGGCCCCGTAGTATGAGCACCAGAATTTATATTACCTATATCACGTTTTTTTATCGCGCCTTAATGTCAAACTCCATCGTAATTTGACAATTGAGCGTGATAAAAACGAACTATTTATCATATCGTAGTGCTCATGCTGGGCAGGATAGGACTCGATGACATGAACAGAGCCTTACCTACAGTCACGGTAATATTATCTATACAGTGTTGTGTCTCGGACTGGAGTCCTTGAAATAACTGCCCACGGCCGAGCGGGGCGTATCCTTGCGGTAGGGCTGCCCGCCTACAGTATTTTAATTTCATCTACATAATTGAGTTTTTTTCTTGTTTTGTGATTGTAAATATTTTATTTCATATGTAGAAAAAAAATGTTGTGAATGAATTAGGAAGTGTTACATAAAATACTGTTATTTTAAGTGTAATATTTAATAAAAAAAAAATAGGTTTAAGACAAAGAATATTTACCCCACGACTGAGACGTACGAAAAGCTTTATTATTAAATTGTATAGAATAATAAATACGCATTCGTATAAAAAGTTTTGATTATTGAAGAGTTCAAGCAACCAAAAACAGCACAATATCGACTATTGCTCTTTGCCATATAAAATGATGTAGGTATCTAATTCAATCAAATATTCACAATACAAACGTTTAAGCACGGCTAACTGCTTAAAAAACAATTCACATCGTTCGGTCGTCGCTGCGGCGCATTCGCGACTGGATGCCCACCGGGTTCCACGCGAACTCGAGTGGCGTAGGTATGACACGCTTTCCGACCGTTTGTATGAAGATAAAATACTATATAGATAATATTACCGTGCCACAGTAAAAACCAGACAACACTCCCGCACCGGTCATCCGACCGTGACGTACCTGCTTAATCTCCCAGCGCTCAGGGCTGGAGATCCTGGTGACTCTCTTGCGACTAGAGTCCTCGTCTGGGTCGATGGCGCCCTGCAGCCCCGCTAGAACTGTGGCGTTGGCTGCAGGACGGTCAGGATTACGTCCTTCACGTTCAGCCTACACCAAAAAATTGCATCGTTATGGTTGTATGCAGTAAATATTAAATGATAATAATTATATTATAAACTTCTTGAGAAACAACCAATTAAGTAGCAATTTTACATACAAAAACATCTATGGCGCAAACTTATTTTTCTTTGATTTTGCACTAACTAAATGAATAAATATATTTTTTATAATCTCACCTCTAAATGAGCATGTGATGTTGGGTTCAGATCTTTTCCTGTTTCCTGACAGACATCCTTCATGGTGAGTGACACCTTTTGCCCAGTTATTGACAGCACTTTGACCTAAAAAAAAATCTATGTAAGACAAACAATAAAATCAATATAATTGTTAAATCAAGGGTTAGGATCCACACGGACTCAAAATGTCTTGTTTAGGTGGCATAATTAGATGAAAATTAAGTTAAATATGTATGTAAAAACATAAACTGTTAAAAATGCAAAATTTTTCCCTGAACTAACTAAACAGTATCAGCAGCATGTGCGGTAATCCCCGCTCGCCGACACCGCGCTCCGTCGGTCCCACAGACATTGACCTCGCGACAAGTGAATTCTCCTATGCCGGAAATCGAAACAATTGACGTATGTTTGAGAAATAGTGTCAAAACATTGTTCGACGTAACTTGAAACGACGTAAGTCGATGATTGTCTGTGCTCTATGTCTTAATGCAGGTCATAAACTATAAGAGTACCAAAATCCATCCAAATCCGTTAAGCCATTTTTGCGCGATTAGTAAATAAACAAATACACTCACCTTTGCATTTATGATATTAGTTAGGACAATATTATAGTAGGATGATATATTTGAAAACTAGTTTATGCTTGTAGTTTGTCATGTCATTACTATTACAAGATGGTTAGTCAAACAATATAATATAATGTATAAAAGACTCACTTTAACTTTATCTGCTCTTGATACCACATCAGAAACATTAGTGACTCTGCCTTCCGAACGTAGCTGTGAGATATGTACTAAGCCTTCCCACCTCTTCCTCAGTCCCTCAATTTGAACAAAACAACCAAAGGCAACAATGTTTGCAACGCATCCATTGTAAATCTGAAAAACATATTTGGATTTGACAAATGGTTGACTGAAAAACTAGTAATTAGTCATAATATTGTCTGAATCTAGTTTTTCATCTATAAGAGCCTTTTCTACATTAATAAATTTCATAGAATGAAAAGTTAACTCTTTCAATGGACATAAATATTATATAGCTCACCTTCCCAGGTTCTGGATCATCACTCATTTCAATATCCGGACTTTTTTTTCTTGGTTTTTTGAATGAGTCACCATATCTTTGTTTTTCTTCTCTGTTGCGAGAGGGTGATCGATCCCTTGATCTTCTACCTTGTGACCTAGATTGTCCGTATTTTTCTTTTGACCTTGACCTACGTTTATCCCGTGACCTTGACCTTCGTTTATCCCGTGACCTTGACCTTCGTTTATCCCGTGACCTTGACCTTCGTTTATCTCGTGATCTTGATCTATGTCTATCTCTCGATCTAGACCGTTGCCTGTCTTTTGATCTGTGTCTATGTCTGCTTCTTGACCTATTTCTTCTGTCTCTATCTCTGCTATGACTCCTCCTGTCTCGACTATGACTTCTCTTATCTCTACTCCTACTAGGTCTTCTCCTTTCTTTGGACCTGTCTCTTTTTTGACTTTTGCTATCTTTTAAAGTTTTATTGCTGTCATCACACTTATTGATATCTAATTGGTTTTCAGGTTTTGTGTGAGAATTGGAAGGAGCTAAAGCTTCCAATTCAGCCATAGCTTTATCAACAACATCATCTTTTTTAAATTTATCTTCACCTTTGAATATGTCTTTAGATGTCATTCTTTTCTTTTTCTTTTCATTTCTGTCATCATCACTACTTTCATCGTCAGATGAAAATATAGGTGGTTTTTCATTTGGTATTGCCAAACCAGGAAACTTAGTAGCTAATGGGTTCTTATCAGAATGAACTTCAATAGATTTTTCAGTGGAATTTGCTGGCTTCATGTGTTGTATTATACGAAGTAAGTTGGTCATGAAAGAGTCTGAAAATTCTGCTCCATTATCAATTAAAGCTTTTTTAAAACTTTCAAATGTTGGATTTTTATCAGCTAGGTCGATTATAAATTCAGCTGCAAAAAATTAAACATACAAATTAGAACAATGGAGGATTTATCTAAAGTTATAATAAGAAGAAAACCAAAATTAAAATAAAGAAACTTGGTGAATGAGATAGTAGTAAAAGGTAAAATTACAACCTACTTTATAATCTTAATTTATGAAGATTCAGTATCATTTATTCAGTTTAGGCAGTAATAAGCTCTCATGAAGGTCTAGAAGCTACACTGTCAGTTCATAAATCTATGGTGCGAACCCTGTACTATATTTTTTATACATATATAGTCACAGGGTTAAAAAATAACTTAATATATGATTAATGAAGTCGCCTTTCATAACATAACGTAAAATATACATTAATTGTTCACCTGCATTTAGCTTACTGTGTCACTCAGTATGTACAAATAGTGTTATTTATATTAAGTATAACTAGATAAAAAATCAGTATTAGCATGGAACAGATTCATCTCTGCTGGCAGCACCCGTTCACAAACATAACGCATGAACATACCCTAAAAAATGGTTGAGCAAAGACAGCCATTCCTTTGCTAACACTACCTCACCGAAGAAATTGTTAAGAGAGTATGACTACCAATTACCACATAAACTAAATTGCAACATATTTATTTAAAATTGCGGTCATTTATCTGTAAAACACTGCAAACAATTACAAAAATATTCAAAGAATTAAAGAATCTTACCAAGATCTTTATCGTTCAGACCTAAATGATTATCTAATTCAGTGCATATTTTGGACACTAGAGACAAATGCTCTAATTTAGCTACTTCATCCATTTTTCCTAAGATTATAAATGTAAATTAAAAAATTAAGCACAAAATGAACATTGAACGTAAATTCACAATTATTTGTTGTGTCAATTCTGTCAATTGGCAATGTCACTTTTTTTTAATAGTTTAACGGCTTTGGTTTTTGACCATACAGCCAATGGTTAGCAATGATGTCGATTCTGGCATGATTCTCTAAAGCTAAACTTAAATTTGACAACAGTGCATCCCTGTCATTCTCTATGCAGAATGAAAAGGAGAGACTGATGTTAAATTTAGTTTTAAGTTTAGAGAATCACGCCAGAATCGATACCATTATTATCATCGATCGATGATCAACAAATAAGATTCTAAAGTCAGAAACATATTTGCGTGTAGTGGCGTGTCGTAGCGCGCCAGAAGCACATCGGTTTTATACATTTCCTATGGTTAGAGACATATTTAAGTGTCGTGTCGCATTCTGTCGTGGCGCCGAAATCCGAGTACTTAAACTTATGGAGATGCCTTAATATTCTATAAAAACAATAGGGATGTTATACAAATATGATTAATATCGACTCATAAACTTGTAATCATCTCATTTCCACTAACCTACAATACTTCCAGCTGAAAGAGCCAATATTATATTTGCCTGAACTAATAACGGCAACATTAAAAAATTACCTAATAGTTGAAATACCTATTTGCAGCCGTTCGCCATTTTGAGTTCCTACTGTGGCCTGGGTCATAGAGCGAGCGGCCGAAGCGGCCAGGAGGGGAGTAGGCATATACAGCGTTCCCCTCTGTCGATTTTCCTCCGCTGTTGGGCCAGCTCACGAACAAAAGTACTTGTGCGTTGGATATTTCACTAGACTAAGTCAAGTCGCGCGAGTGTATGTTAGAGATAAAAATGCCAAAATGTTATGCAATTTGCTGTAAAACATATCAGGAATATTTAAACTTACAAAAGGGTGGTGTTAAATTTCACATATAAGTAGAATTATGAATATACTATTTTTATTTAACTACTTTTAAACACAAAATTCATATTCTTTTATTAGAATTCAATGGAAGGATTAGTTTGACAAAACTATCGACTCGCCGGTACAAATGTCAGATCTATCAATAAAAAATCTTAAGTTTCTTCCGTGCCCGATTTAGCGCTGTAATTTTTTATGTGTGAGTGTCGTAATTACAATTTAGTTTTTGCTAAAGTATGTTGGACCTGGACTGCATTTATGAGCATTTTCCGACCCCCGCAAAAAGCGGCAGAATGATTTAGTAGCATTATGTCATTAGCCGCGTCGTCTGTGTTGCTCTATGGACCAGGTATATTTATCAATTATGTTGATGTTTGACAATATAGCAAATGTATTGTCGATCAAACTAACACACTTGTTGATTATTAAAATTTGTCAAACGAGACAAAAAGGCAAATACGAATGGCTAAGTTAATTGCCGCCATAAAAATAAATACCGAAAGTAGCTAGCGAACGCTTAAGGATGGTTAATTTTAATAATAAAAAGAAGAAAAATAACTAATGACGAGGCAGTTGATCCCAGACCTTAGCCTGTCCGAAAGGACATAGGAAAAAAAAATCAATCGATGACTTTTTTTTTTTGTTGAAGTTCTCCCGTTTTAGGGAAGGCAAAGGGAACAATGCCCATACAGCCTGGTCTTTAATTAAATTAATCTTCTTTTTGTTTTTACATTAGAATGTCGGTGTGACGCATTCTAATGTTTCTTGGAGTGTTTGGCACGAAATGTATCGAGTTGGCTTTTTCGATAAGCTTCTGTGAGGTAGTCAACACTACAATAAAATTCTCACGTCCACTTGACCGCAATAGCGTATATTTTAATGATTCCACTAATTCTTCAGTTACGCAGACAGTTGTTACACAAAACCACACCAATTTTATTTCACAATATCCACTATGAACGATTTTAAGAATAATTAAAATAAGACGCCAACCGCACTCGATGAAATCCCGCCAAAAAACCTCGATCGATGACATTCATTGACAGTTGACACAATAAACAACAATTAGAGGCCTGCCCAAGAAGCTTATAAGCTTCTTGGGCCTGCAGTGTTGCCAACTCTACGTCTTTTTACGTAGATCTACGTATTTTAGGCCTTTTCTGGAAACCTACTAACTTCAGTCCCAGAATCTACGTATTTTCTTATTTTTTTTCAAATTTGTAATATAACTTAATTCACTAGAATAAAGAAGAATAGTTTTCCGTTACTTTACATAAAAACTATATAAATGTTTATTTCTTATAAAGGTGTATCTAAACACTCTTGTATCTTGTAGAAAAGGTTCCCGTTATTGGTTTTGTTGACTAATTTAATGCTGGACGCAGGATTTGTGAAAGCAGAAACGACAAAACTCTTTGACTTAGTAGGTACATTCATAACCTTAAAAATTGTATTTTTAAACTTTAAATATTATCAATGAGTACCTATTCACATCGAATTGATCTTTGCAAAAAGAAATGACTTTCAGGCGATAAAGTTACAGGATTTAGCAAATTTTAAACATATGTTCATGTGTAAGTATGTTTATTTCTCTTGGCAATTTAAACCACAACTTTTCTAGTCTTTTACCAAATGTATCATGATAACTACTATATTTTTCATGTGTTCTATTCGAAATCATGGTTTTATAATATTAACTTAGAAAGTTTATTTCCTACGTGCTTGCGAGTGTTTGTTTACAAATGTTTGGACGTCATAACATAGATAGGTCTTTAGACTAAATAGCGTTTTTGTATGTCTTCTAGGTAAAAAAAATACATTTTGTTTTCGGTCTGATAGAACAATTATTAACAATTTAAAACATAATTCCAAAAAGTGTCAACTAGCCCATTTAACAACAGTTTATCCTTGTCATTCTCTATACAGAATGAAAAGGAGAGATTGATGTTAAATTTAGTTTTAAATTTAGAGAGCCATCCAGCATCGACACCCACCAGTGTCTGTGTCTGATGGTTAATGTCTACCACAGCATGGTAAATGCTTCCAATGCAGCGACTTTTCCAAGAACTCTTTGTTATATCTCCCGTTCTTAAACAAATTGTATAACAAAATACTCGTTTTATTCGGTTTCACCTAACTTCTTCATTTCACTCAAAAAAAAGTACGTAGATCTACGTACTTTTCATATGCAAAACTTACCAATTCTACGTAATTTTCTCATCGGGCCTACGCCTTTTTCAAAATCCGAGTTGGCAACACTGTGGGCCTGCCTCACTCATGTTTATGACACTTCTGATATTGCAGGTGTTTAAGTGAGCAAGTGATCCCTTAGCATCAGGTAAACCATCTGCTCGTATGCCCATTATAATAAAAAAGAAAGGAGAGCTAAGCACGAGCTTTGACAGATCCGTAATGGTATCGTCATCGCCAAATTTTGAATGGAAAGAGTTGGTTCTAGGGATATTCGATATACATTGATATATCGAAAACATCGATGTTTGCAATGAAAAACATCGAATCGATCCGATGTTTTGAAAAGCTTTCAATATACTCGATGCATCAATGTTTTAAAGAAACATCGAATTGGTAATAGAGTTTGACCACGTAGTGATAATATCCTCTTTGATTTGACCTCAGTAAAAAAACTTAAGTTTGACCACTAAAATTTTGCTTATTACTATTATGAAAGCATCATTATTCCGAATTCTCTGATATGAACCCAATGTTGGCAGCATTGCGCAAGAGTCAGTGCAGTGTCAATAAAAAATAACTACGAGTTTCTATGTTTATGAACATATATTTGAAATACTTTTTCTTTCTTTACTTTTGTGAACGAAACTAAGATTGAAGTATATTTCTAATATTCTTTTGACAGACCTAGCAAAAATTTTGCGGGTTATTTAGAGTTTTTTTAATTTGATCTTTTGTAAAAAAATATAATATAGATTTTTCTGACACATGGCTTTTACTTGTATTTACTTTTACCTACTCATTATGAAAGGAGTTAATTCTTTTATTTTATGAAAGATTAATATATAAACTATAATAAAATTATAGATTAAGGTCTTTTCATAAACTTCAATAGTATTTTTTTTTACTATGAAAGAATGACCTCTCTTGAGATGGGTCACTTTCCACATAAGTAATTTAGTATATTGTTTGTAATAAATTTTCAGAAAAAGTACTCGATGTTTAAAATTCATCGATATTTTCATCCGATACATCGAATGACATTGATGTATGGTTGCGATGTATCGAATCAAAAAATACATCGATATTTTTTCAGAGTGGACACCCCTAGTTGGTTATTTTTTTTAAGTTCTATTCTTCTCTATTGAGAAAGGCAAAGGCATAGCCATGCAGCCATCGTCTTATTTTTGTATTAATCTTCCTTTTTTTTACATTAGAATGTGGGTGTGACGCATTCTAATGCTTCTCGGAGTGTTTGGCACGAAATATATCGAGTTGGCTTTTTCGATAAGCTTCTGTGAGGTAGTCAATACTACAATAAAATTCTCACGTCCACTTGACCGGAATAGCGTATATTTTAAAGATTCCACTAATTCTTCAGTTGCCCAGACGGTTGTAACACAAAATCACACCAATTTTATTTCACAATATCCACTATGAACAAATTTAAGAATAATTAAATTAAGACGCCAACCGCACTCGATGAAATCCCGCCAAAAACTCCCCCTAGTTGGTTCTTACGTCCGGTAGGGGGGCGCTACTTATTTTTCATAAAAACTGCGATGGACGATGCGATACGACCACGGAGCTGTCAAAGTTCGTGCTTGAGCCTCAGATTTTTGTTTGGGCAGATTCTTGATACGACAAAATTCGGAGATTGTATGGATGTTTGTGTGTGTGGCTGGACCGGTGCGGCGTTCTAGGGAGTTTTCGTGCATTAGCGTAGCTACAAAAGCCTCAGGGGCAGCCTTCCCGTAGAAATAACATAGATTCCGAAATGAAATTCTAAAAGCCACGGACCTGCTAAAAGCAAAGAAATTTTTGACGCCAGTATTTTTGGGTCCCCTCTCCAGCTACGCAGTGCAGTACTGGAGTCCAACAGCGCCGCCATCTACGTTAGTTTCCATTTAGTGAGATCGCACACCGCAGTCACAGGGTAGGCCGTTTCCTCGTGGTGAGACAACGAGGAAGCCCTATTTCTCCTCCATGGTGTGCATGTTTACACGCAGATCGTAATACATCGGTATTTCTGGTGTGCGGCCCGCATATCTCTAATAAACCTATTTGTAATCGAAGCATTAACTGCCATATTTTCATTAATACAAAAATAATCCTCTAATCCCATTTCGTTACCCAGACCAATGCAGTAGCACTTACTTGCTCGAACGACCCACGAAAAAAATAAAATAAAAAGAAAAACCCAAAGTAACAATGTTAGTACGTCCATAGCTGTAATTGCGTTTTATTTTCATTACCAACTTAGTAACTCTACCTACTATCAAATAGAACGAAACGAAAGCTACGTAAATAATGTCAAAAATATCTTGCCTGCTGCAGATTTTTTATTCTGCTTCTGATGTAATAAATACAGTAATTATTTTTAGTAAATAGATTAAAATAATAACAAAATGAGATAGGATCCATATCAAAAAACCATTCAGTGTTTAGGTTGTATAAAAATTAAGCATGGATTTCTTCTCAGAAATAATAGGAGAAACTGTGATATTGGGAATTGATTCTCTCATTCTTGGCTTCTGTGTAAAACAATTATGTAAATGTAAACATATTTTAAATGCTTTACAGGTATGTGGCATGTCTATATTTTTTTAATAATTATTCTCCAATTTGTATGATACATTATTAATAAACTAATTATGTTTTAGTCTGCACCAGTGTTAGATATAGACAAGACTTTGAATAAAGAAATAAACAAATATTCCAACAATACAATCCCGTATGTAGTTATAAGGGGTCTTGTGAGACCATTGGGTAACCCAATTACTAGCAACTATAACAACACAGTCACTGGAGTTGTTCAAAGGTTATAAGATGTTTTTCTCTTAATCATTACATAAAAGCTATTATATTAATGTTTAAATAAATATCAGGTGCTTTAATTTAATCATTATTTTTTTATTTTAGATTAACAATAAAAGAACATGTAATAGCAAGGACTTCAGCTGGGTTTTGGTCAGATCAGACGCGTACAATACATGAGGTGTGCAACTCTACACCATTTGTACTTAGCAATGGGAAGTACAATATTGAAGTGGTTGATGCTCTTGCTGCCGAGTTACTTGGTAAATCTATACAGTATAAACTAATGTCTTATTCTTCTCTTTCTAATGGCTATTTTGGGACTTAGGCTAATGTTATTCTTCAATTGAATTAATTCCATTTTTGGAACTGGTGGTAGTTTACGGTTGTTAGGGTCAAATAAATAAACTCAAATTTATAAAAAATAATTAAATAAAGTACTTATTAATTAAGCTTATAAATCATAAATAGACAATAAAGTATTGAAAATCTGCCAATGAAATACCTGAATGCTCAATAAAACTCTTTTTGAAGGTAGCTCGACAAAGTAAATAAAATCATAATTCTGACAATGCAGCCTGAAAAGGTTGCGAAAAGTCAATAAACAAATAAATCAATGCATCTACACTGTTGAAACCTGTTATATTTGAATTAATCAATCTATTTTAGTGTGCATAGATGTTTTTTAAATATAAAAAATATATTATTTGAGACCTTATTAATTTTGGACCAAAGAATTGTTATAATTAGCCTTATATGTATTTAAATTTCAGATATGGATGTCATATCTGACAAATTTGAGCCTATGTCTCCTGGTGTAATTGATCATGTGTGGGGCTTCTTTTCTGGTGTTCGCCAGCGTGGTTTGCAAACTATGGAAGAAATGCTCAGAGATGGCTCCTACATAACAGCTATAGGAGAACTAAGTAGAAGCCACACTGGTGCTTTAAAAATACAACCTCCAAAAGATGGCTTACCATTATATTTAACTACAGCCACAAAGTCCAGTTTACTGAAAAGATTAGCTAGTTCCAGAGATTTCTTAAGGTAAGCTTGAGTTGCATTCAATTTTGTTAGTAATCTGACAATTTCATGCAAAATTCGTTCATGAAACTAATTTCATGCAAAAACTTGAGTAATTATATAAACAAACAGCCATATGCTGCAATATCATAGTAATGAAGATTTTATTAGCGATGATTGCCATTATACATATAGGAAGTAGTTCATTTCAATCAATTGATTCAAGTTTGTTTACTATGTATACTCATTAACAGATATGTTTGTGACTACAATGTGAGTGATATCATTTCTTTAGAATCTTATTCACATTGTGAATACTTTAGTTCATAGGGAAGTTAGTTAATTTAGCTCTATAAATTGGTTTTTTGCAGAGTGCTCTTAGTAGTTTTCGGCTCAGTGGCGGCAGTAGCATCGTGTCGCATAGCATACAAGTACATAAAGCGGCGGCGTCGGCGAACCTTGGAGGAGAATATTAAGAAACAACTCGCCGTCGGCAGGAAGGAGAGGCGCGCACTCGCGCGAGATAGAAACCTCACAGAGATGCAGCTGTGTGTAGTATGCACAGAGAACCCAAAAGAGGTAAAAATTTTCAGTATATATTATATTACCAGCTGCACAGAACCACACAGAATAAGAGCCCTGCTAAACCCCTTATTAACAAACAAAGAATAAGCTTGGATTAGTTACTCCATGTTTTGTTTCTATGTATTCAATGACAAATGGCTATTGAGGGATATGAACAAAACGAGGCGTAGTTACGCTGCGTTATTAACTTATTCCTCATTTATTAATAAGGGCGTTTTTTTAAAAATTATGTAAGACAACTTGTGCTGTTTGAGGTAAGGTAGATGATAGCCTTACTAAATACCTGTTGTTTTCATATTTTACAGATAATACTACTTCCTTGTGGGCATGTTTGTTTGTGTGAAGATTGCTCAGACAATATTACCGACAACTGTCCAGTCTGCCGTGAGAAGATAAGGTCGAGAGCACCTGCTTTTATCACATGAAAATTGTTTTTATAATATTTTGAATTTAGGTGTCTTCAGATTGGGGTAACTTAGGAAACAGTAACAGAGATGAATTTATTAATGTACAAAATGTGTTTTTATTTTCTTAAATTATATTAACCCAATCTGAATAAGTTGTTTTGTTGAGTACTGCTCTTAGTTAATTGTATTAAATAGTAAAAAAAAAGCAAATATATATTACTATAAATATATTTGATTATTAATCAAAATCCTATTTGCAATGATCCCATCTTGCCACAAGATCCTGAACATGGGTCTTCCTCTTGGTTAAGAAGATCTTCCACAATATCATTATTAGGAACATCTAGTTTATTCTGATCTATACCTGAATCGTTTGATGATTCGTTTATCCCATATTGTTCCAATAAGGTATTTATTTTGGTATTGCCCTCATTTTCTTTGTCATTGGACTGATTGCATTTACACCTTCCTGAACAATCACTGTTACAACATTTATTAACATGGTTATCAATTTCAGTATATTTTTTCTTACTTTTACATAATCCTGACTTGCAGGATTTACCTTTAGATGAACATTTATCGCTTCCATTAATCACTTTATGGTCATTTAAATCTTGTATGGCCCTTTCTTTAGCACTGTGTTCTAGCTTTGAATTATACTCTTCAAGCATTTTTTTAGCTTTCGAACTTTTACCTATGCCAAGCCTAGGCAATCCCTTGTTGAGTCCCTCTAAAAGTACACAGGCTTTACAGACCTCTTGGGAAGACACAAATTTACACCTTACACATAATCTTTGTGTTGGTAAACTGACGTCTTCTTTCACTGCCATTGTTTCTCCTACAATGAAAATATTTGTTCATATTATTATTGTTAGCACTTAGATCCACTTGAAGCAATTTTGCTAAATCTCAATTCAACTAAAACTAGTTGTAGCCCATACAATAATGTCAAATTAATTTTGTCATTTTTCTTTGAATTATAGATTTAGTTTTTGTTGAATCAGGATTTATAGGTATAAAGAGCAATAAATTAATTCAATATCCCTTAGTTAAAATTAACTTTTACCTGAATAAATTATATCCATAATGCAAGAAGGCCTGATCTTTTCCATATCTTTCAAAAGAGCCCTAGCATGACCTCTGTAGGCATTGGGAGCAAATACACACTCAGTTGAGAAGTACACCAGCTTCTTGTAATGTGCATACATCACTATTTCTTTTTCATAGGTATATTTGAGGGGTTTTACTCTAGGTATAGTACCCTCACTACCCTGTAAAGAACATATTAGGATAAAGACAATTAGGATATCTTAATAAAATGAAACTATCCTGTGATCTTAACTTACAGTAGATATTGATGTACATCTTTTTAACCTTGCAATGTCACCTCTCAGCACATTCATTAATACCGTCTCTGCTATGTCATCAGCATTGTGGCCAGTTGCTATACATTTCACATTCAACATTGCAGCACCTCGGTCCAAAGCTTGTCTCCTAAATACACCACAAAAGGTACAGTTGTTCTTTCTTCCTATTTGTGCAACAATCTCATCCATTGTCCAACCATACAAATCCTTATATGAGAGAATTTTTAAAGGCATTTCATAGTCATCACGATTTTGTTTTACTGTTTCTAAGCTGTCATCTCTGTAGCCAGTGATACCTTCGTCTATTGATAAAAGCATTAGATTCAAACCATATTCATATCTTTTGTTCAGAGTTTTCATAACATGAGCAAGGACTGTAGAATCTTTTCCACCTGATGCAGCGATTGCAACTGACTCGCCTTTATTAAAAAGTTCCCCTTTTGTAATAGTGTAATGTATTTCTGTTTCAAAGGCATGGTAAAAACAATTCTTGCAGAGTGCGTCGCCTGTTTTAGGACGCTGAAATATAAGAAATATTCGTTTTTAGTAAAATAAATATTAAAAACAAATTTAAAATACAATTTTTCAAATTTTTACCTTCAGCACAGCTTTTTCCCCACAACCTGTTCTACATAACACTGGCATTGTTAATTTATTGTACACATGAATCAACCAACTATTACAGGCTTATACAAAGAAAGTAGATATAACCAATTTCCTTCAAAAATATGCTGTCTTGAATCTAGGAATCTTACTTTGGTTCTATACAATCTTTGTGTAGACTGAGTTAGAGATTCAGAAAAAGTAACTACCTACTCAAGAGGACTAATACTTTTCTTCTGTTTTCTTCTTTGGGCCTGCTGTACATAAATGGCATATATATGCAGTCCAGCACTTAACAAATATGATGATGTAACCTTCGTTTATCGACGAATTACGATTATGATGACCACGCCAGTATTACGGTCCAACAAATTAATGTAAGGTTCGACACTTGAACGAGAAATGGAAATGCAATCAGAATAACTTAACCCAATTCTCTTTTTCTTTTCTGGTTCTGATTTTTTGACAATTGAATGATAGAACAGAAAACACATGTGAACATTACATTGGTGTCGATTCTGGCATGATTCTCTAAACTTAAAACTAAATTCGACATCAGTCTCTCCTTTTTATTCTGTATAGAAAATAACAAGGATACAGTGGTACCAATTCTGGCATGATTCTCTAAACTTAAAACTAAATTTAACATCAGTCTCTCCTTTTCATTCTGTATAGAGAATGACAAGGATATACTGCTGTCAAATTTAAGTTTAGGTTTAGAGAATCATGCCAGAATCGGTCCCAGTGATGTCGATTCTGGCATGATTCTCTAAAGCTAAACTTAAATTTGACAACAGTGCATCCTTGTCTTTCTCCATACAGAATGAAAAGGTGAGGCTGACCTTAAATTTAGTCATAAGTTTAGAGAATCACCCAGAATTGGCACCACTGTTGTCAAATTTAAGTTTAGAGAATCTTCAGAATCGACATCATTGACAATCTTTATGCAATAATGCCGCGGCACTTCATACGGCTATTTCTATTTATTTCTTATTGTGAATTTGACAACAGTCTGTCTGTCCCATGCTTTATAAGAAATGAAAAAGACAGACTGATATCAAGTTTAATGGTAAGTAATAGCAAAAACAAACAGCCAAATGAAGTGCCGGCAGTACGAGCAATACACCTTTTTTTATTATTTATTTAAATTAAATAAAACTAGATCAAACCAACAGAAGTATCAAAATGTCAATTTAACAATTTTGTATGGGATAAATCTGAATCGAGATTTAACAAAATTGCTGCAAATTGACATTAATCGAAAATTTAGATTATACAAAAGTAACTTTATTAAGGTTGCTTTCCAATTACAGAGCATAATGCGACTCAGTGCCGCACAATGCCGAATTATGCTGATGCTTAATTGGAACGTGAATTAGTTTTCAAATGCACCAGCAGAGTGCGCTGAGTTCAGTGTTGAAAAAAAAAGTCAATGTTTGTACCTTCATCCATACTTATATTTATTTTTTAACAGTTTGAATGAACTTTGATTATTTAAAAAAAAAACTATTTAATGAAACGAAAGCTTTAATAATTTTTCAACAATAAATAATATTACTAACGATAACATATAAATAAAACATTTCGATCAATGCCAACTTAAAGAAAAAACACTTGTTAATTTTCTGTCTCTAAGTTGGTACGATTGCACGCATCATACGAAAGCATCACTTTTGAGAGTGCTCAATTGTGCGAAGCGTTGCTGTAGTTGGAACACTCAACGTTAAGCCTTATGCCGCATAATGCGCTATAATGCTGTAATTGGAAAGCAACCATCTACAAATGTTTAAAAAATGATATATGATTTATATATCTAGATATATGATTTATATTGTGGGACAGGGGAGGTTATTCTTTTGATTTTTTTCCAAATAATATGCTATACATCATCATCTTCACCCTTTTAATAATCCCACTGCTGGGGCACAGCACAGGCCTCGATAGGAGCTCGGGATACTAAGTTTTTTGCCACCCATCAAGTTACCGACCATTGTGAAAGTTGCTAACCACCTGCACTATCGTACTCAATATATACTTCTAATATATATATATATATATATATATTGATCGAAATGTTTTATTTATATGTTATCGTTAGTAATATTATTTATTGTTGAAAAATTATTAAAGCTTTCGTTTCATTAAATAGTTTTTTTTTTAAATAATCAAAGTTCATTCAAACTGTTAAAAAATAAATATAAGTATGGATGAAGGTACAAACATTGACTTTTTTTTTCAACACTGAACTCAGCGCACTCTGCTGGTGCATTTGAAAACTAATTCACGTTCCAATTAAGCATCAGCATAATTCGGCATTGTGCGGCACTGAGTCGCATTATGCTCTGTAATTGGAAAGCAACCTTAATAAAGTTACTTTTGTATAATCTAAATTTTCGATTAATGTCAATTTGCAGCAATTTTGTTAAATCTCGATTCAGATTTATCCCATACAAAATTGTTAAATTGACATTTTGATACTTCTGTTGGTTTGATCTAGTTTTATTTAATTTAAATAAATAATAAAAAAAGGTGTATTGCTCGTACTGCCGGCACTTCATTTGGCTGTTTGTTTTTGCTATTACTTACCATTAAACTTGATATCAGTCTGTCTTTTTCATTTCTTATAAAGCATGGGACAGACAGACTGTTGTCAAATTCACAATAAGAAATAAATAGAAATAGCCGTATGAAGTGCCGCGGCATTATTGCATAAAGATTGTCAATGATGTCGATTCTGAAGATTCTCTAAACTTAAATTTGACAACAGTGGTGCCAATTCTGGGTGATTCTCTAAACTTAAAACTAAATTTAACATCAGTCTCTCCTTTTCATTCTGTATAGAGAATGGCAAGGATGCACTATTGGTGTCAATTCTAGCATGATTCTCTAAACCTAAACTTAAATTCGACAGCAGTATATCCTTGTCATTCTCTATACAGAATGAAAAGGATAGACTGATGTTAAATTTAGTTTTAAGTTTAGAGAATCACGCCAGAATTGGCACCATTGTCAAATTTAAGTTTAGGTTTAGAGAACCATGCCAGAATCGACAGCATTATGTTCATTCAAATATCGTTCATTCTTTTAATGTCCCATCCCTACCTTTGTGTTTGTGTACGCTCGAAGTTAAAGATACCCAAAGGGTGCGGCCAGAGTGCACTCAGATTCAGAGTCAGATTCAGATTCTGAAAACAAGTGCGAGAAATAAACAGTGTAGTCTAAGCATGTGCCTGCTGCCTGCTTTTTCTCGCGCTTTGTTTTCTGAGTCTGAATCTGAATCTGAATCAGGAGTGCAATCTGGCCGTACCCTTCGACTACACTGTTTATTTCCCGCGCTTGTTTTCGAAATCTGAATCTGAATCTGAGTGCACTCTGGCCGTACCCAAAGGCAAGACATGACATATAATTATTGACGATCTGTGTTCTGTAATGTACTTATTCCAAATTCAATTTAAATGACGAAATTTTGTGAAGTGAAGTGTAGTGACTCTAAACTAATGAACATTGGTGCCAATTCTGGCGTGATTCTCTAAACTTAAATCTAAATTTAACATCAGTCTCTCCTTTTCATGCTGTATAGAGAATAACAAGGATACACTGTTGTCAAATTTAAGTTTAGGTTTAGAGAATCATGTCAGAATTGATACCATTTTCCAAATAAGTTATGACCTAAAGGTCTTTGTTACCAGGTCATAAAAAAAAAACATATTTATTCTGTGGAGTGGATTAAAGTGACAGTTATTTTTTTTTATCTTTGTCGTGGTTTACATGTTTGGGATTTTATTTTTAATTTGTATTAGAAAGCACAATAAAATAAGAAGCACCGTTATTTGACTTACAGATAACTTTTCAAAATTTACTATACTGTATAATATTATGTATGGTGATTGATGATAATTAGTTTTAGTCACATTGTTGATGTGTAAAGTGGGATCATCTTTTATACCTACTTTGTGACAGGAATGTGGTGTAATGTTGTTATCTAAATATTCGTGTTAAAGATGCACGAATTACTTAAGCATGTATTGAACGAGAGAGATCTTACAAGAGCTGGAGATCTCTTCGCTATCCCGGATGCAGATATTGTTGATGACTTGAATGAAGTGGTATGCAATTTTTACATTTATTAATACTGTACTTAAGAAATAACATTTGTAGGAGCTCCACCAAGACTTTAATTACACTGATAGCCTTAAGTTAGTTAAATTTTGGGTACTTAATTCCATTATATGTAATTGAATTTCGGGGTAATTTGTAGGGGGGGTGGAGGGGGAGCTCCCCCCGACCCCCCCGCCATAAAAGATTTTTGGCGGAAATGCAGTTTTTTTTTTTTTACCTAACCTAAAAATTCATTAAATCTGTTAAATGTAGTGGAATTTCAGGGGGATAGGTATTAGGGAAGACCCCTCAGAGGGAAGGGTAAATCCCCCTCCCCCCTCCCGGCGTTTTTTTACAGAAATGATAATTATAAAAAATTAGAGGGGTTTTAAAGGTAAAACTGTACTTCCAGGGCCTAGAGATGATATTTGATTTTTTTGTAGAAAAAGTCTCTATTAACGAATTTTTCTTTCTGGCGCTTCGCCGGCCGCTGCCGCGGCACGCTCGCTTCGCTCGCTCGGCTCGCGCGTTAAGGTCACAACACTAACCTAACCTAACCTAGTGTGAAGTATCACCACACAAGCGGCTCATTAGAGTCCAAAACTCGCACTACACTCGACTCTTCAGGCGAAGGGCCAGCAGAACTCGAGGTCGAAGGCTTTGAGGATGCCATGGTAGTCAGACGACGTTAATATCAACAGGAGTACGAAAAACCTCTCAACTGGGACGAACACAAACACTGACTGACAGATCTCATTAATGGCGGTAAATTGTCACATTTTGACAATAGTACCAACATAATAAACTTATATTTACCATAGACAACGAGAAACATGTTATTTTTGCATAAAAAAATGGCAGCACTGATCAAAATTGCTGTCAAAATTGACTTATAACCTACAAAAATATTAATTTTCAATAATTTTTTTTTCGAGTTCTATTCGTTTCCGCCTAAAAAGATTTCGTGTACGTGTTTTTAATAGTTAACACTTTGCGTGACAAAAATTTCAGCTCGCAACTCAATTACATATAATGGAAAGCTGAGCCAAATTTTGATACTTTTTCAAGCAGCTAAGTGATAAGTTTAAACCATTCTTAGAATTCATACAATCAGCTGATTTAGATGCATATGAAAGTACTTAATTCCATTAGCTGTGGTTAAATTTCGGGGTAGTTTTGATGTGGGGGTCTCCCAGAGTGCCCCCCACTATCCCCCCACTAAAGATTTCAGGCGGAAATCCTTTTTTTTTTAAATAATCATAACTTAAAAATTCATAAGTTTTTTAGGATACAAGGACTAGGGTAGTAAGAATCAATACTTCTGCCTTATATACGGCGCTGCGGGAATAGCAGCCCCTCCGCCTTTGTGTGACAATGTCACAAGCAACGCTCCCTTTCACACCTTAGGCTTGTTGGTCGCCTCAGACTGCGGCTTTGTCACAGCAGGCGGGGGCAGCTCTCCCTCTGCCCCTCCGGGCTCTAAAAAACACTGTAGGGGTAGGGCAGACCAAGACCACGGCGTGTCAGGGTTGACCAAGTCTGTTCTAAATTAAAGACTGTTGTAAAGCCACATTTACCATTTTTTCTAGTGTTGAGCCCATACTATTTTTATTTACCAAGTAAATAATATTAAATTTAATTTTACCGACGAACACAGACTGCCTGACAGATCTCGAAAGAAACACAAACTTGCAGTACACCATTTCTGCATTGCACCAACATATTGAACATATTTTTACCATACACAACGAAAAACATGTTATTTTTGTATGAAAAAATTACTTTAACCTACAAAAATAAAAATTTTCAATAATTTATTTCTCAAGTTCTATTTGTTTCCACCAAAAAAGATTTTGTGTATGTGTTTCTAATAATTAATACTTTGCGTTACAAAAATTTCAGCTCGCTACTCAACCACAGCTAATGGAAAGCTGAGCCAAAGTAATGCCCTGTCAAGTACTTACTTTTATCTAAATAATAAAAAATGTTTTTACCAAAAATCTTTTCAGTTAAAGCAAATCAGTGAAATTTCTTCAAGAACTGATTATTGTCGCAATGATCGTGATCAAGCATTAATTGAAATATGTGTGACAAGAGTAACATCATGCATAAAGGAGACAGGCACCTTGGAGAAGTATTGTGGGGCACTGGTGGCCCTACTAGAGTCCTGTTTACATCACAATCTGATGCCATTGGGCCATTTGAGAGATGATGATCCTCCACATGCTAAAATTGCATCTGATATTATAGCATGCATCGTACTGGTAAGTAAAAAACTAGAATTATAATGTTGTGTTCTTCATTTTCAAAATTTGTCTCTTTTAATATTGCTAAAATGTATTAGTGTAAGATTAAACATATTGTACTAACTATATATTTTTGAATAATATTTGTGTTTCCGTTATATATTTTGGCAGTATAGAAATTTCTTTTGCCTTAAATTTGTGATATGATTGTTCGTTTTTGTAAATATTCGCAGGTATCGTTTCCTGTACAAGCTGAGAAAGAGCATTACAGTAACAAAAATGTTATGGAGTTATTTTTGCCAGTAGCTGTTCAGTTTTTGCACAAAGGGAATCGTGAAATCTCTAGACACATGGCACGTTATCTTTCTCTCGCTGCTGTCCACCATGCAGCTCTATTAAAGCCTCATGTTCAGACTATAATGGACTCAATCATGTCAGGTTAGTGACTAAACCAAAATTATATTATAATAAATGGATGACTAAAAATCATTGCCTATATAATCTAAAAAAACATTTAAAAGCCAAGATTCTTCTAATCAAGATTAAAATTAAGGTTATCATTGTTTGTAATTTTCTTGGAAATGTGTATAATATTCACACATATGAATATGTCTATATTTTGTTAGAATCATATATATTTTCTATCTTCTGAACATATTTGTCAAATTAATGAATTTACTCCTGCATTTCTCAAAAACTACATAACAGATGGAATGAATAATTATCTTTTAACTTAGGGAAAGTTGAAGTTTCATTAAGAAACAGGGAATATTCAGTGTTTTTATTATTACTTAACCAACCTCATTAATATTATATCTTTCTTTTGAGTACCTATAAGAAATATACCAACCTAGGTACGTACTTCACTATTTTTAAAATAAAAAAATATTTTATAGTAGCCAGTAAAAATTAAGAAATAAACTTATCTTGCAACCATAGAGACTGTAAAGGGATAAATTTTGCATTTAGGAAACTATCCCTTATGTCGTATCCTGACGAACCTATACGAGGTGTGTCCTGAGCCACTGGAGGCGCACGCGACGGCGCTGGTGTCGTTGCTTCCACACGCGGAGCCCGTGGAGAAGAGCGCGTTGTTTGCGTTACTGGAACAGATGGCTGCAAGAAGGCCAGATGCTCTGAGGGCGTGTGTCCCGCAGCTGCTGTCATATGTGTGTCCCGCCACGGCGCCCCAAGCAGACCCGGGCTGTATGTGCGTCGACATATTGCAGGCGAGTACACTTATAACGAGTGACGTCCGAGCTACTTCAGTAGGACGGCGCTGGAGTCCTTGATTCCGCACGCGGAGATACTTGAACAGATGGTTGCAAGAAGGCTGAATGCTCTGCGGGCATGTGTCCCGCAGCTGCTATCGTATGTATGTCCTGCCACCACACCCCAAGCCGTGGGCTGCTTGTAGGATGACATATTGCAGGCGGGTACACTATTACCGAGTGACGTCACTGCTACTTCGGTAGGACGGCGCTGGTGTCGTAGACACGCGGAGTTATTTGAATAGATGGTTGTAAGAAGGCCGGATGCTCTGCGGGCATGCTTACCGCAGTTGCTGTCGTATGTATGTCTATCGGGCTGCATGTGCGTCGTTAAACTGCAGGCGAGTATAATTTGCTTACAGTTTAGTTATACCACTCTCATAAGTTGGCCTGATAAGGACCAGCCCTTAATAATGTAAATGAAATCGAGATCGAGCACTGTCCTATAGTGATTGAAATCACAATATTATAAATCATGAAATCACAATATAATAAGTGAAGCAATAACCAATTATAATTTTTAAAACCAGAAGTTGATATCAAATCACTTCTAAAACAGGCATTTATTTCGTTTAGTATTCTTTTGTATATTCAAGAGCTTTTAATATTTCCACTTTAAATTTTATTTAATTAAATTTTATACATATAAACATGAGTCTTATAAGTCTTTTAGTTTCTTCCTATACCACCTACAAGGAACAAGACCTATGCGTGTGCCTTCAAGCAACAATACTCAAAGGGTCAAAGTCCCCAGCAGTGGGGCCATTAATCGGGCGATAATGCTTACGCAGGTGATGGTGTGCGTAAGCCGACGGCGCGCTTCCCTGGTGCGCGAGCACAGCGCGGCCATCGAGCGGGCCGGACGCGCGCCACACGCCGCCCCGCCCGCGCCCGCACTCGCAGCCGCCGCGCTCGCGACCCTCGGGTACTCCGACCGGGTAACCCGCACACTACTCGCGCACACACACTGCACACACGCCGCGCTCGCGACCCTCCCGTACTCCGACCGGGTAACCCGCACACTACTCGCGCACACACACTGCACACACGCCGCGCTCGCGACCCTCGGGTACTCCGACCGGGTAACCCGCACACTACTCGCGCACACACACTGCACACACGCCGCGCTCGCGACCCTCCCGTACTCCGACCGGGTAACCCGCACACTACTCGCGCACACACACTGCACACACGCCGCGCTCGCGACCCTCGGGTACTCCGACCGGGTAACCCGCACACTACTCGCGCACACACACTGCACACACGCCGCGCTCGCGACCCTCCCGTACTCCGACCGGGTAACCCGCACACTACTCGCGCACACACACTGCACACACGCCGCGCTCGCGACCCTCGGGTACTCCGACCGGGTAACCCGCACACTACTCGCGCACACACACTGCACACACGCCGCGCTCGCGACCCTCCCGTACTCCGACCGGGTAACCCGCACACTACTCGCGCACACACACTGCACACACGCCGCGCTCCCGACCCTCCCGTACTCCGACCGGGTAACCCGCACACTACTCGCGCACACACACTGCACACACGCCGCGCTCGCGACCCTCGGGTACTCCGACCGGGTAACCCGCACACTACTCGCGCACACACACTGCACACACGCCGCGCTCGCGACCCTCCCGTACTCCGACCGGGTAACCCGCACACTACTCGCGCACACACACTGCACACACGCCGCGCTCGCGACCCTCCCGTACTCCGACCGGGTAACCCGCACACTACTCGCGCACACACACTGCACACACGCCGCGCTCCCGACCCTCCCGTACTCCGACCGGGTAACCCGCACACTACTCGCGCACACACACTGCACACACGCCGCGCTCGCGACCCTCCCGTACTCCGACCGGGTAACCCGCACACTACTCGCGCACACACACTGCACACACGCCGCGCTCGCGACCCTCCCGTACTCCGACCGGGTAACCCGCACACTACTCGCGCACACACACTGCACACACGCCGCGCTCGCGACCCTCGGGTACTCCGACCGGGTAACCCGCACACTACTCGCGCACACACACTGCACACACGCCGCGCTCGCGACCCTCCCGTACTCCGACCGGGTAACCCGCACACTACTCGCGCACACACACTGCACACACGCCGCGCTCCCGACCCTCCCGTACTCCGACCGGGTAACCCGCACACTACTCGCGCACACACACTGCACACACGCCGCGCTCGCGACCCTCGGGTACTCCGACCGGGTAACCCGCACACTACTCGCGCACACACACTGCACACACGCCGCGCTCGCGACCCTCCCGTACTCCGACCGGGTAACCCGCACACTACTCGCGCACACACACTGCACACACGCCGCGCTCCCGACCCTCCCGTACTCCGACCGGGTAACCCGCACACTACTCGCGCACACACACTGCACACACGCCGCGCTCGCGACCCTCCCGTACTCCGACCGGGTAACCCGCACACTACTCGCGCACACACACTGCACACACGCCGCGCTCCCGACCCTCCCGTACTCCGACCGGGTAACCCGCACACTACTCGCGCACACACACTGCACACACGCCGCGCTCGCGACCCTCGGGTACTCCGACCGGGTAACCCGCACACTACTCGCGCACACACACTGCACACACGCCGCGCTCGCGACCCTCCCGTACTCCGACCGGGTAACCCGCACACTACTCGCGCACACACACTGCACACACGCCGCGCTCCCGACCCTCCCGTACTCCGACCGGGTAACCCGCACACTACTCGCGCACACACACTGCACACACGCCGCGCTCGCGACCCTCGGGTACTCCGACCGGGTAACCCGCACACTACTCGCGCACACACACTGCACACACGCCGCGCTCGCGACCCTCCCGTACTCCGACCGGGTAACCCGCACACTACTCGCGCACACACACTGCACACACGCCGCGCTCCCGACCCTCCCGTACTCCGACCGGGTAACCCGCACACTACTCGCGCACACACACTGCACACACGCCGCGCTCGCGACCCTCCCGTACTCCGACCGGGTAACCCGCACACTACTCGCGCACACACACTGCACACACGCCGCGCTCGCGACCCTCGGGTACTCCGACCGGGTAACCCGCACACTACTCGCGCACACACACTGCACACACGCCGCGCTCCCGACCCTCCCGTACTCCGACCGGGTAACCCGCACACTACTCGCGCACACACACTGCACACACGCCGCGCTCGCGACCCTCGGGTACTCCGACCGGGTAACCCGCACACTACTCGCGCACACACACTGCACACACGCCGCGCTCGCGACCCTCGGGTACTCCGACCGGGTAACCCGCACACTACTCGCGCACACACACTGCACACACGCCGCGCTCGCGACCCTCGGGTACTCCGACCGGGTAACCCGCACACTACTCGCGCACACACACTGCACACACGCCGCGCTCGCGACCCTCCCGTACTCCGACCGGGTAACCCGCACACTACTCGCGCACACACACTGCACACACGCCGCGCTCGCGACCCTCCCGTACTCCGACCGGGTAACCCGCACACTACTCGCGCACACACACTGCACACACGCCGCGCTCGCGACCCTCCCGTACTCCGACCGGGTAACCCGCACACTACTCGCGCACACACACTGCACACACGCCGCGCTCGCGACCCTCCCGTACTCCGACCGGGTAACCCGCGCACTACTCGCGCACACACACTGCACACACGCCGCGCTCGCGACCCTCCCGTACTCCGACCGGGTAACCCGCGCACTACTCGCGCACACACACTGCACACACGCCGCGCTCGCGACCCTCCCGTACTCCGACCGGGTACCCTGCACACTACTCGCGCACACATACTGCACGACTGGAGTCCACACGGAACTCACCCTGTGGGGCCCCACGTGCATTACATTCTTCAATTCTCAGATCGTTGCTACGCGCAATACAGCGCTCTTTCATCTTAATTATTGCGATCGGGTAACAAGCCACATATAACTAACTCACACAACACAATAATGCTGAACGTTGTTTCTGTCTACATATTTTAACTGCTCTCTGTCCATCTTTGACTGTAGTAACGGGCGGAAATGAGCTGGGAAGATAAAAGCTTTTATTGCACTTCAAGTTTCTTTTGCACCATTTCTGTATTTAAATACTACATCACTGCTAATTGTTAGCATGAGTTGAGATGGATTTACATGGCTTTTTCATAAAAAAGAAAAACCAGTACTTGTAATTTAATCCAAGCATATGACGACGTTGGACGAGATTCGAAATTCAAACACAGTGAGTTACCCATTCAACGTTAATTGAGCACTGTTTAATGCAATGTCACCCAGGATCGCGCTGCGGAAGCGTTGAGTTTCGTACTGGAGCAGCTGCCGCGGGCGGAACGCGGCGCCCAGGCCGCTCTGCTCCGCGAGGCCACGTCGCTGTGCAGCGCTTATCCAGCGCTGTTCACCGATCGCGTTCTAGCCGCAGTACGCGCCGCCACTAACGCCGGGTAAGGAAGTAATCTGTGAAGCGTTTAGTTTCGTACTGGAGCAGGTGCCGCGGGCGGAACGCGGCGCCCAAGCCGTTCTGCTCCGCGAGGCTACGTCGCTGTGCAGCGCTTATCCAGCGCTGTTCACCGATCGCGTTCTAGCCACAGTACGCGCCGCCACCAACGCCGGGTAAGGAAGTAATCTGTGAAGCGTTGAGTTTCGTATAGGAGCAGCTGCCGCGGGCGGAACGCGGCTCCCAGGCCGCTCTGCTCCGCGAGGCTACGTCGCTGTGCAGCGCTTATCCAGCGCTGTTCACCGATCGCGTTCTAGCTGCAGTACGCGCCGCCACCAACGCCAGGTAAGGGAGTAATCTGTGAAGCGTTGAGTTTCGTACTGGAGCATTTGCCGCGTAAAACAATATTACAGCATTTGAACGGTCCCCACGTACATCATATTCGCAATGTTTCCCGATTTGGGTCCCTATGTTCCTTCTTTAGTAAAACACTTTTTGAACCTACATTTTTCTTTATTATTCCTGACGTTAGGATCCAGCTGTAAAAACTGCTCTTTAAAATTAGAAATTATTTAATAGAGATGACAATAAATTGTTTTTTCTTCGTCAGTCAGGTAGTTTATCAAAAAGTATAGAACAATTTTTTTTATTTTTTTTACAAAAGCAAAACATTACTGAGATTTGAAATGTCGTATCACGTCACGTTTTAGTACAATTTTTACTTAAAAGTGACGTCACAAGCCCGCACTCCCAAACTTTGACGCGCCCTATCTTTGTCATTTTTGGTTGATTGACCAAAAAAAATACGAGTCCATTACTTTTGACTACCTAACTGACGGACTACATATAATTTCGTTTACTTGACCCCGTCGTCACCCCTATTGTATCAATGTCTTAGACTTTTTCTTAGAAATGATATAACTTAAAAAAACATAACTGTTAATTTCCATAAACAATCGTGTGATGGGTGGGATGGAGGGGGTGGTGGGGGATGGGACTAGTAATGTGGGCGGGGTCAATACTGTTAGCTGGAGTGCAGTGCAGTGAGCACAGTTAGTGGGTTAGTTGTGAGTGCTGTGAGTGTTACTGGGGTAAGTGCGTGGTAAACGTGAAGGGCGAAAGAATTAAGATATACTATTTACAAACATTGACGGAAACTATTAATTGCATCTTTTTTACATGACGTATAAAGTAAAATAACTGTTCTTTTTTTCCACAAACAGCAACAGGCCGAAGTCGGAAATATCTACAGGGGAGGTGAATCGCACTTCCGGTGGGGTCACAATCGTGAAACTTGGTGGGGGCGGGGTTAGTACTGTGGGCGGGGTCAATACTGTTAGCGGGAGTGCAGTGAGTACAGTAAGCGGGGTAGGTGTGAGTGCTGTGAGTGTAACGGGGGTTAGTGCGGGGTATACTCGAAGGGCGAAGCTTGGTGATTCGCGCAGTACTGGAAGACTGCACGCGGCGCCGCATCGAAGCATCACGCGACTCAATCTGGCTGGTAAGTTATATTGTGAAACAGCGGTCGCGAATTCGCCCGTGTAAAAATTTTGTTTTTTAAGAATCCCACAGTAATCTAACATTTTTTCGAGATAGAAAGTATCCTATATCTGAATCTGGGTCATAAACTTTTTGCGTACCAAATTTCATCCAAATCTGTTCAGTAGTTTTTGCCTGATTGAGAAAATAACATATAACCACATTTACAATATAAATAGGATTACTAGCAGCCGCCCGCTTTTTTTTGAGAATTTGTCAGGAACTACATTTTATCGGGACTAAATTTAAGGTATCCTGTCTCAATCCAGGTAATAAGCTTTATTGTGCCATATTTCATCCAAATCCATACAGACTCAGATAAGACACACAAACGTGTTTTAAATTATTCACAGATTTATGAATATAAAGAAAATTTTACTAATAAGTTTATTATTTATATATGTATATAGGTTTTAATTACCCATAGATTTTACAAATAAAATCTGGTTTAACCAAATTAAAGTAAATAACGCAAATAAAGAGAATGAAAATCGTGAAATGCGCCTTATGCACTCCGGACTCAGGACTGTCCTTACAGGATCCTTATTATATAATAATGAAAAGGTCACACTTAACATTAAATTAACTTCAATCATTTGGCAAATGACGTTTTGGTTTTGGCAAGTCTCTAAAGCGCCAGTTCACACCGAGACGTGACGCTGCGCGCATATTTTACCAGAGCAAATCAAAATATAACTTTATTTAATACACGATAAGATAGGACATATCATTGTTAAAATTCAGAATACGTTGCACCACGCAGCGCTGTGTCTCAAAGTGCGTCGTCCCTCTGGCGTGACCTGGCCTCTTTCGGTATCGTCGTGTCTCGGTGTGAACTGACCCTAACTCATAGCACTTGGATATGCATACACCATATATTTTTAGGTGGTTCCGTGGGAGGTCTTCACAAAAGCATGACTCGTTTGTCGTCATCGCAACAGATCAACTCGCAGCAAGTGAACTCGCAACAAAACATCAACTCTCACACGAGCAGCGGTAAGTGCACATTAGTTTTACCTTCAATGAGATATTCCTAGTTGCTGTGCGGACAAAATCTTTAATGAATTGTGTAAAACTGTGATTTTTGTAACATCACAATAAAAATGACAACCTACTTAATTTATATGGGTACTTGAATCAATTACTCTATTAAGTATTAACAAGATTTTGTTTCAACCGTAGAGACTGGGTTTATACATATAACAAGAGTTTCCGCCATAATCTCTTCTCTCACACGGAGGCGAGGAATGCCTCACGCATTTTCCTATTATTAAACAAAAACTGTTTTATTTGCGTGTGTATTAGGCGTGAAGCTAAGCGGTGCGGGCGTGACGGTTAGCAGCGTGTCGCCGCCGCGGCCCGCGCGCGCGCCGTACAGCATCATCGTCGGCGCCGGCGCCGTGAGTATACAGCCCGTCCTTATTTCTATAGATATAGGGTCCATGTTCGTGTGTAAGCGTGAAGCTAAGCGGCCCGCGCGCGCGCCGCACAGCATCATCGTCGGCGCCGGCGCCGTGAGTATACAGCCCGTCCTTATTTCTATAGATATAGGGTCCATGTTCGTGTGTAAGCGTGAAGCTAAGCGGCCCGCGCGCGCGCCGCACAGCATCATCGTCGGCGCCGGCGCCGTGAGTATACAGCCCGTCCTTATTTCTATAGATATAGGGTCCATGTTTGTGTGTAGGCGTGAAGCTAAGCGGCCCGCGCGCGCGCCGCACAGCATCATCGTCGGCGCCGGCGCCGTGAGTATACAGCCCGTCCTTATTTCTATAGATATAGGGTCCATGTTTGTGTGTAGGCGTGAAGCTAAGCGGCCCGCGCGCGCGCCGCACAGCATCATCGTCGGCGCCGGCGCCGTGAGTATACAGCCCGTCCTTATTTCTATAGATATAGGGTCCATGTTTGTGTGTAGGCGTGAAGCTAAGCGGCCCGCGCGCGCGCCGCACAGCATCATCGTCGGCGCCGGCGCCGTGAGTATACAGCCCGTCCTTATTTCTATAGATATAGGGTCCATGTTTGTGTGTAGGCGTGAAGCTAAGCGGCCCGCGCGCGCGCCGCACAGCATCATCGTCGGCGCCGGCGCCGTGAGTATACAGCCCGTCCTTATTTCTATAGATATAGGGTCCATGTTCGTGTGTAGGCGTGAAGCTAAGCGGCCCGCGCGCGCGCCGCACAGCATCATCGTCGGCGCCGGCGCCGTGAGTATACAGTCCGTCCCTATGTCTATGGGTATAGAGTCCATGTTCGTGTGTACGCGTGAAGCTATGCGGCGCGGGCGTGACGGTGAGCACCGTGAGTATACAGCCCGTCCTTATGTCTATGGTTATAGGGTCCATGTTGGTGTGTAGTTGTGAAGCTAAGCGGCACGGGCTTGACGGTGAGCATCATAGTCGGCGCCGCCACCGTGAGTATACAGCCCGTCCCTATGTCTATGGGTATAGAGTCCATGTTCGTGTGTAAGCGTGAAGCCAAGCGGCGCGGGCGTGACGGTGCGCAGCGTATCCCCGTCCATTATCATCGTCGGCGCCGGCACCGGCACCGTTAGTATACAGCCTTAGATTAAAGCAAAAAAGGAAGATACGGCACTCGCGGCTCAAAAGTGATCCTCTTAAATTGTGGTGCATGACCACAAATCGCTTTAGTCACAATTGGACATGCAAACACGATGAATTTGCACTCCATATAACAATATTGCGTATAGTCTGTGTTATAAATATAAAAAAATGTCTTTGATGCTTTTATAAAGAACACAAACAGTTCAAGATCAAATAAAAAATGCCACGGCAACACTTTTCATTCGTAAATCTATAAAAAAAAAATGGGTGCGTGTACTTATGTAGGCGCGTGAGAAGTTATCCTTCTTTGGCATCGTTTAAAATTAGTTTTTAATTGCATGCAAATAATTAATTACAATAAATTAATAAAAAGTCTGGAAAAGGACACAGTCAATCAAGTTCAGTTTTAATTTGAAAAAATAAATAAATAATCAAAATATTCAATTAAAATCGCTACTGAATATAATTTATTAGAACATATGTGATTTGCACTTGTATGAAACTCAAACACGTATTCCGAATATACAAACTAGAAACATGTGGATAAATATTATAAACTAGCGGCCCGCCCTCGCTTCGCTTCGGTGTAGAGCTGAAGTGTAGACTACAGTTTTTGTTCTCAGGCTTGTATTATACACAATGACATTCATCTATGATTCTTCTTATACCTGCATGCAAAGTCTCAGCCCGATCGGTTTAAAATTGATAAAGTTTCATACAAGCTTTCATTCCTTATTTTATCCCCTTGGGATTTTCTTTATATTTTTTTCCGTAAGAACCTTGTACAGAGTATTAGAAAACTACAAAAAAAAAAAACAGCCAAATCGGTCAAGCCGTTTTCATGTTATGTCGTGACAACGGAAAACGGGTTTCATTTTTATATATATAGATATGAAAACAGTCTCTGTTCTAAATTCAAAACTCGTAACTTTTCCCGATGTTTGTTGCACGTGTTTCCCGCGCTAGGACCGCGAGTGGCCGCGCATGCGTACGGTGCGGCGGGCGACGCGGTAATGGCAGCGCGGCACATGAAGTTGGTCGCTAAAGCGACCAACTTCATGGTGCTAATTTTTTGTGTTACATGATGCGCGCGCATCTTAAAATTTCACTCTCAACAATTTTTCAGAACGCGCCTAAAGAAGTATAACTTCAAAAACTCAAATTTCACGGTTTGCCATTAGTTACTGATTCGTCATTTTTTATCAAGAAAAGGACAACAATACAACTCAACCGTCTGGAGAGAGAAAAAGAATGTAGTCGGCTGCAAAGCCACGCGGGCTCGCGCCGTTTCGCTCGCGCTGCGTTGAAAGAGTACAAGTCCGTCTCGCTCGCTCGATTGAATGTTTATTTACAGAAGTGTGCGTGTGTGAGAGTTGCTTATGTAGTTGAGTCGGATAATATTTTATTTGATTCTAGTATGAGCGTACCGCATCTTCCCCTTTTGTTTTAAATTAAGTATAGAGCCCGTCTCTATGTCTATGGGTATAGGGTCCACGTTTGGGTGTAGGTGTGAAACTAAGCGGCGCGGGTGTGACGGTGAGCATCATCGACCTGTAAGTATAGTCCGACTCTCTCAAGGCCCTGCGCTGCGTTAAGCGAGAGCGCGGAGCGAATGTCCGCTCCGCGTGCAGTTTCGTGTCATTACATAGAGCAGCGTTGTGACGGGAGACCCGCCTCACGCAATGCTGCTCTATGAAGTAACATGAAGTGGACGTCCGCTCCCTGCTCCCGCTTAACGCAGCGCACGTCCTTAAGATACGCACACATCAATAGTGTCGGAGACTAGTTGCCGTGGAGTATCTCACATACATTTATATGGAAGCCAACACACTGCGATACCGGTATTCTACGAGTTCGCGACTAATCTCGCGATACTCGTCATGCTGCTCGGCCGCATGTCGCGTCTCCTACTGGTCTAATTAAAATGGCGGTGAAACATGAAGTGAGTGCTAAATATCACGATAATGGACGACATTAACAAAATTATCAGTAGCGTAATGAACGGACCTGGTGGTCAATCGCCTAATGGGATTGCTATAGCTTACGATTTTATAATGCGATTCAAATAAGAATAGGAAAGCCAATGACCTCCATCTGTTAAATATCGCTTGAAAAATACAGATTGCAAAAAAATCGCTTATAACTTTTAGAGTGAAAGAGATAGAAAGTTCAACTCCTTAGTACCTTCCTGGTTCATTAATGAATTAGTTTTGCGCCAGTCACACGCCAGGGCGCACATGTGTAAAAAGAGTTATAGTAATTAGATAGTCCGACAGACGAATGTTTATGAATAGTGTTACTATTGTAGATCAGGTGTGTTTATTTGAAGCCGTGATATATTCGAGAACTGGAGTATATTTTAAGGTAAATATTTATTATTATTATTAGTTTATAAAGATGAAATGAGATATTTGCCTATTTTATCTATACTAATATTATAAAGAGGTAAATTTTGTGAGGTTGTAGGGGGTAATAATGCCAACTTTGAAGCGATGCCTAAAAAGGAAAATTGCAGAAGTACTTGGCGAAACTTCGTCCACTGCTCAACCACAACCCAGTGGATCACAGAAAAAAAATTGTGCTTTCTGCAATTATAAAAAACGTCGAATGACAAGGTTCTTTTGTACCCAATGCAAAAAGTTCAAGTGTATGGATCACCGAGGAATATTATGTGTTGATTGCACAGAATAATTTTTTTTCATCATTTCTGTTTCATTTTACTATTAATTAATAAACAACTTTTAAAATTCAAATGTATTTTATTGAATTATTTTATTGTAGAGATCTAATATCATCGAAATAATATATACGTCTGAGAGGCGAATGTTTATGAGTAGTCTATCTCCCAAGTATGTTTATGAATCTAGGGTTAATAAAGAAATATTATTAAAAATCGTTTCTTTTTTCTCTCAATCTTAGTAAATTAATGTTATTAAAAAATCTCATGTTTTTTCTCGCGTAATCAAAGTAAATAAGTTTTATTAAATAGAAACTTTTTTTTGCTCACTCTACCTATTTGGTTTGAATTGACAGCTATGACGTCAAAATTGGCGCCCAGTCGGTCCTATTCTCAGTTGAATCGCATTATATTTTGTTATTTCTGACCACCGAAGGTTTTAAACTACCTCAAGCTCATTTTCTTTAATGTTGTTATTACCAATGCAAAAGAAAAATCACGAGCGCGAGGCATTTGAAAACCGTCGGCGGTCAGAAATAACAAAACGAAATCGTAAGCGATAGCGATAGCCATGGGCTCACATTTAGGGTGCGGTTTTCTGTGAATTCTATTCGTACGAATATACACAAATATCTAGCTACTGGTGTCAATTCTGGCATGATTCTCTAAAGCTAAACTTAAATTTAACAACAGCGTATCCCTGTCTTTCGCTATAAAGAATGAAAAGGACAGACTGATGTTAAATTTAGTTTTAAGTTTAGATAATCTTGCCAGAATCGACACCATTGTCTGTAGAAATACGCATGCAGTGTACGGTGTAAACGAGTAAAGTTCGCATGAAACATCATTCCAACTGCGAGCCTCTTAATTACTAATGGATCAATTACACTAATTTAGACGTTAGCCCGAATGTGATTGCGTAACGGCGCAATTATACTTGGTCATTAGTTAAATATGAGTGCCAATGGAATGAACGGAGAGAGTACCGTAAGTGAGGGTTACTTTAGCTCAGGCCGGTAACTTTGTCCCAAATCAGAAAAAATATTGAACTTGCCGCCCCATCTGTATCTCTTGGGTGACCATAATAGTTCCAGTTGGAAATCACAGATAGCCATATAGGCGCGTAGTGTGGTGTTGTTTTACCGACATCGTTCCTGTATCAAGTTGTCATTGTAACGCGGGATTTTTTGTAACTGAAATAGTTCGCAAGTTCATGCGCAAACTTTCTCAAAAATGTGGTTTTCGGTAAGTTTACTATTTTTTCTAAATTTAAAGTTATATTTTCTATTTAACCTAATTATTTTTGGGCAAAAACATCCATTTGTGTATTCAATATGCTAATGGTGATCTGTTATAAGGGTTACTTAACCCCAACATGGCTTAAAATGAGTTTTTTTCACAGAGAAATTTCAAGGAGCTTAAGTAACGCTCTTTAAGGCCAACTTTGGCCCAAAATTATAAAATACTAGCGTACCCGACAGACGTTGTCCTGTCTACACGTCTTTGTGAACATTCTCAGATCCCCTTGAACACACACAAAAAATTTCATCAAAATCGGTCCAGTCGTTTAAGAGAAGTTCAGTGACATACACACTCACAGAAGAATTATATATATAAAGATATATATTAACCCTTAAATATTATTTTTTCCTATTTTCGTATGATAACTTTGTAACTTATACTTTAAAGTTCACAATGGAAAGATATAAATGTGACATATTCATCACAAAGAGAAGCTACAAATTGATTTGAAAAAAAAAGTGCACATTTTAGGTCATAGTAACCCGCAGTTACTCGGTACGCCCGTCTTCGGGTCGATTTCGTTTTGTTTACACAACACTCGTCTTTCAGTCCCAATTCCAGTGTAATATTGCTTCGGGTGCCTGCATTCGAGTAATTTTTTACGAGCTAACGATCAAATGTATTTGCACCATAATCCACCAAACTGTCTCTATTAACTCTCTCGCATTGTCAACAGACTTCGGGCCCCACAATAATATCGAATCCGCCGCTCCAAACCCAATCGATATCCGTGAACCCTCTGACGGGTAAATCGTCGGACGCGCTAAGCCCAGTGTCTACCACGACCGCGGTGACGTCATCGGGCCCGGTGACAGTGACGTCACGCCGCGCCAACAACACCAGCGTCACTATGATCAATTCTCCGGCGAACGCCAATCATCGCATCAGCGTGTTCGAGCCGTATCCCATGCGAGATACTGTGCAGCATTTCTGCGAGAAACATCTGGATAAGATAAAGGCGTACATGGATAATGTGTCGCTGAGATTGCCCCCGCCAGCTAAGTGCACTATTGAAGGTGAGATATTTTTTTATTTTTTTTAAAGTGAAACTTCTTTAGACTTGGGGAATGCGTTACGAAAAGTGTCACCGGTCATACATACATAGATATATATACAAGGCGTCCCACGGCTACTTCACACGGAGGGAAAGTATATTAAATATTGAAGTTAGGATATTTTACTGAAAGAAGACATCATTTTATTTTTAATAATAACTAGAACTGCATTCACAGATTTTTTTAAAATCGCCTGCAACAACTTTTTTTTTTCGAAATTTCACGAGTTTGATTCCTAGTTATAGCAGGCGATTTAAAAAAAGTCCGTGAATGCAGTTCTAGTTATTATTAAAAATAAAATGATGTCTTCTTTCAATAAAATATCCTATCTTCAATATTTAATATACTTTCCCTACGTGTGAGCAGGGGCGGTTTATGCACTAGGCCCGCTAGGCCCGAGCCTAGGGCGCCGTGGCAGAAGGGGGCGCCACGGGCCGATAAATTTGAAAGATTAAAAGCGACAAAGCGAACGTTTTAATCGGGTCCACTCAAACGTCAATATCGCCAATATAAAATATATATGTGCTCCATTCCTACCCACAAACCTACATAATATATGTATGATTGATTGTCACCGGTCATACGTACATAGATATATATACAAGGCGTCCCACGGCTACCTCACACGGAGGGAAAGTATATTAAATATTGAAGTTAGGATATTTTACTGAAAGAAGACATCATTTTATTTTTAATAATAACTAGAACTGCATTCACAGATTTTTTTAAAATCGCCTGCTACAACTGGGAATCAAACTCGTGAAATTTCAAAAAAAAAATACAACATATTTTATGATGGCCATCGCAAGGGTTATCCATAAGGATTATTTTTTGCTAAATAACTAAGCATTTTAAATGAAAGAAAAGTAATTAAATTTAACATTTTATTTAAAACTAGCTGACCCGACGAACTTCGTACCGCCTTAGCGTAGCTTTGATGCACTACTTTATTTTGTATAGCTGACCTATCTTATGTATGAGTACCTATTCAATTTTTTTATTTTTCTTTATATATTTTTCCGTAAGAACCTTGTACAGAGTATTAGAAAACTACAAAAAAAAAAAACAGCCAAATCGGTCAAGCCGTTTTCATGTTATGTCGTGACAACGGAAAACGGGTTTTATTTTTATATATATAGATTATTTAATACAAACTAATATAAAATCGGATACGCCTCAAAGTTAGTTAAAATGTTGAGTTCATCATCGTTGACGTTTATCATCCGCTGCTGTGGTTTCTGTAAGCGCATACCAAAACGTCGTTTTCTTAATGTATCCACTAAAATTTTAAACACATATCGAGAAGTTTCGTCTCTATCACGATATCTTTCGCGGTACCACTGCAATGCTATATTGTCTTTGTGGTTCACAAAGTAAGCTTCCATTAAATCAATTTTATTTTAATACGCCACGGTAAGTAAATTAACAAAAAATTATACAAATAAACGAAAATGAAACTCATATAAAACAAAAGAACAGACGCTTGAAAATTTGTGTTCCATTTTCGAATTATTATTTTTATAAACTTCAGCCAATCACATTGCAAATGTGCGTTCAAAACGAAATGCATACGTACTACAGTTTGTATATCACTTTATAATTTTTATAACGTAATAAGACATTGTATTCATTTAAAATTCTATGTTATTTAGCAAAAAATAATTCATATAATTAACACTTTCGATGGTTATCATAAAATATGTTGTGGTTTTTTTTTTTCGAAATTTCACGAGTTTGATTCCTAGTTATAGCAGGCGATTTAAAAAAAGTCCGTGAATGCAGTTCTAGTTATTATTAAAAATAAAATGATGTCTTCTTTCAATAAAATATCCTATCTTCAATATTTAATATACTTTCCCTACGTGTGAGCAGGGGCGGTTTATGCACTAGGCCCGCTAGGCCCGAGCCTAGGGCGCCGTGGCAGAAGGGGGCGCCACGGGCCGATAAATTTGAAAGATTAAAAGCGACAAAGCGAACGTTTTAATCGGGTCCACTCAAACGTCAATATCGCCAATATAAAATATATATGTGCTCCATTCCTACCCACAAACCTACATAATATATGTATGATTGAAATTCTGTTTCCGTTAAATTATTTTTGAAATACACTCCCGCTCAAAAGTATGGTTTCACTTCTTGAAATTTTCAGCTTCGGTATAAGTTCCATATCTTGGTGGAAAAAGGTCGTAAGAGAATTTAATGAGCACCGTTTTGAAGGGGACAGTTTTAGCTTCACTTTGCCATTTTTTATAATTTTTTACAATTTTTTTATAGTCCCCACGCGCTTTTGAACATGGCAGTTTTTCGATGTTTTTTTGCCCTCTGGAAACGGGCTGTCTGGCTGTTAAAAAATGTTCCTTGCAATTTCATTCATCGCAGTTTCAAAGAGGATATTAAACACTGCATTTTTGTTTTTGAAAAAGTATCGTGCGATTTTTTTTACCAAAAATATTCTAATTTTCGACAAAAATTGATAATTTTATTCAATTCGGCGTATCTTGAAAACGGCGGGTGATCGAAGAAAATAGCAAGGGGGTGAAAAGTTGCAATAGCTCATGATGGACCTTGTAGATTTATTTCAGAATTTTTTTCCGACATTTGTTTTTTCATACTCTTGCAGTCGAAATGATTTAAATTTTCTCATGATTTTTTCTTTTTTTTAGACGGCGCAGGCATTTCTTTTATTGGTTTTATAACCATCTTGACGTAATTTTTACTAAAAATCAAATTTCGCACAATTTTTTGTACGTTTTTTTCATTTAACAAAATTAATTTTTAGTTCAAATTACGTCAAGATGAAGATGAAACCAATAAAAGCAATGCCTCAGCCGTTTAGAAAAAAGAAAGAATCATGGGAAAATTAAAATCATTTCGACTCCACGAGTATGGAAAAACAAATGTCGGAAAAAAAATCTGAAATAAATCTACCATGTCCATCATGATCTATTGCAACTTTTCACCCTTTTGCTATTTTCTTCGATCACCCGCCGTTTTCAAGATACGCCGAATTGAATAAAATTATCAATTTTTGTCAAAAATTAGAATATTTTTGGTAAAAAAAATCGCACGATACTTTTTCAAAAACGAAAATGCAGTGTTTAATATCCTCTTTCAAACTGCGATGGATAAAATTGCAAGGAAAATTTTTTAACAGCCAGACAGCCCGTTCCCAGAGGACAAAAAAACATCGAAAAACTGCCATGTTCAAAAGCGCGTGGGGACTATAAAAAAAATTGTAAAAAATTATAAAAAATGGCAAAGTGAAGCTAAAACTGTCAGCTTCAAAACGGTGCTCATTAAATTCTCTTACGACCTTTTTCCACCAAGATATGGAACTTATACCGAAGCTGAAAATTTCGAGACGTGAACCCATACTTTTGAGCGGGAGTGTATAAAAATCATTTATTCTAGCCTGTGCTTTTTCAACTATTTTATGGAGAGGGGAGAGGGGGCGCTAATTTCGTCAGGCCTAGGGCGCCCGTTTTCGTAAACCGCCCCTGCGTGTGAGGTTGCCCTGGGACGGCCTGTATATGTTGTAGATGGAGCTAAAAAAGTTTCACTTCATTCGTGTGGTCATAAGCGTAATAATACAAGCGGTTCCCCCTGTTTTATTTTCCCCCCGAAAATCATCATCGCATGTTATCACATGAAATCGAGGTAGTAGTCAAAGAAAACAAACTGGGGAACCGCTCATAACCCTAAATGTCGAACTGGAAACCATTTTGCGAAATCTTATTCTACTTTAAGCAACTATGCTGCAAGAATATAACAAAACAGAATGTATGATAAGCCGGGTGTCCAGCAAAACTTTTTTGAAAACATTCAACAAAAAGCACGTAAGTACACAAAACTTAGTTTCTGAAATATGTTTCTCTACACACGACGTCTACTGCTAAAGTGGCTGTCGTACACAAAATACTGTGTATTACGCTACGTTCAAACACTACGATCCAGGTGCAACAAATGTCAAATTTGACAAAAGTTTCATAAATTAAATGCCAAAATTGAAACCAGTGAAAAGTTATACGAACTGGAAACCTCATATAGATAAAATAAAGAAAAAGGTTTCACAATTTATTTTCGCGCTTAGCGTTCTTAAGGCCAATACGAATGCAAAAATGCGCCTTGTCTGCGTACTACGCATATACATACGCATGGTTGCGCTATGGAATAATATTATGGGGCCATAGTCCTTTATCCTTTTTATCCTTAAAAAAAGTGTCTCCGTATTATCGTCAATTGTTAACCCTTCCTTCACTGTATATAATGGAAGTAGCATTGTTTGTTCGCAAACAACCAACATATTTTACATTTAATAAAAATCCGCGATATAAATTTGATTTAGTATTATTACCAGTGCCAAAACTAGAAATGTTCAAAAAAAGTCCTCTATACCGTTCAATTCTAATATATAATAAAATGCCGATAGAAATTAAAAGAGAAAGCAACATAAATACATTTAAAATGAAACTCAAACAACATCTTATCAAGAAAGCATACTATTCGGTAAATGATTTTATGAATGATAAGTGAAACCGTCACGGAAAGCTCACTAACTTGTTTGAAACTGAAACTGTTTAGTAGTTGTGTTGATATAGTTATTGTACTTGCAACACCCTGACAGGGTCATGTACCATGCTAAAATAATTTTAAGATCCTATATACTGTACATGTGCAATTAACTAAATAAATAAATATAGTGGACGCGTAGTTTTGGAACGGAGACCCCGGGAACGCGCGTGGGGGATTTGTTTACGTATTTTTCATCGGCCCCGGAAAGCAAAAACATTTGCACCAACAGTGCAAACAAATATGTGTAGTGAAACAAAGTTTTGTGTAGACGATTTTGTTGAATGTTGATGTTTTTGTTGATTATGTAGGGCAAAACACGCTCTGGAGACTCGGCTATATAGTTAGCTTTTTTTGTTGAGGATAATTCATTAAGCTGGCTGTGGTATAAGCTGTGTTTTGTTTTTTTAAAACAAATTAGTTTTCATGCTGACCTAAGAGTGAAAAAATAACAGAATGTATGGTACCTGGCAGTTTGTGAAAGTTTAACAATGGACATATTGTAGGCGAAAGCCTGGTAACGCGATGACCAGCTAATATCCAATATGATTGATTATTTTTAATGTTTTTATTTTTTGTTTACATTCACTTCATATAGTATAAAAATATTCAACGTCGAAAAAATAGTGTAAATTGTCTAAAAATGTTATTAATATCCACTTTGCATGGGCATTTAAAACGCTCACTGTTTTGGAACTCTTGTGTGACGTCACAATCCATAGAAACCTTGCAACAAAACATACTAGTCCACAGTTAGGTTTGGAGGATAGTTGCGCGCGCACTATGCACTCGCACTAGGTCTCGTTGACTTTGACGTATCGTGTAAACACGCCGCTTGTTTGTTGATTTGTTGTTATGTATTACTACGTTACAATCTGTCGCGTTTCAGTTATTACAATTTCCCACAATTATTTCGCACTTTTTAATATTAATTGCTTGCTTAGAAAGAAATTTGTTTAGAAAATATTAAAGTTTATACAAAAAAATTGAGCCTTATTTGAATTATATGCACATTCATCATCAGCCTATTAATGTCAGGCACAGGCCTTCCCTATGGATGGAATAGGGAGATTGGGCCATGACCCACCTCACGGGCCCAATGCGGATTGGTCGGTGCTGACGACTGCAGATGTGACCACTGCGAAAGTTGCTTAACTTTAACGATCGCAGCCGAACGCGCTTACCACTTGCGCCATCGAGCTCCTCATATTCACATTCCCTGTTATTAAGTTATATTCAGCTTATACATTAAGTTAGAATCGCACTATAAACGGTTCGTTTTTCCCGTCAGAGCGTCGTTCAAAGAAGCAGGCGCGGCTTTCATTCGCGTGCGGCCGTCGCGGCGCTCACTGCCTTTACGCGCGCGCTCTTTTCTGCGTTCGCACCCGTTCTCCGCGCGTTTGGATCCACCTCATGTTCCTCGCGTTACAAGCGAGACATGCTAGAGCTCTGTCTTCACGCGACCCTACCGTCGCCAGCCTCAAGCACTGCTGGGACATCCTCAAATGCGAGAACAAGACCTTCCTAACGCTCGTCACCAGCGCCTTCCCGCCGCTAAAGGTAGATATAGCGCCGCGTGTGATCCATCGTCACCTCAAGCACTGTTGGCATATCCTCAAGTGCGAGAACAAGACCTTCCTCATGCTAGTCACTAGCGCCTTCCCGCCACTCAAGGTAGATATAGCACAGTATGCCGCGTGTGATCCATCGTCGGCTCAAGCACTGCTGGGACATCCTCAAGTGCGAGAACAAGACCTTCCTCACGCTCGTCACCAGCGCCTTCCCGCCGCTCAAGGTAGATATAGCGCCGTATGCCGCGTGTGATCCATCGTCGGCTCAAGCACTGCTGGGACATCCTCAAGTGCGAGAACAAGACCTTCCTCACGCTCGTCACCAGCGCCTTCCCGCCGCTCAAGGTAGATATAGCACAGTATGCCGCGTGTGATCCATCGTCGGCTCAAGCACTGCTGGGACATCCTCAAGTGCGAGAACAAGACCTTCCTCACGCTCGTCACCAGCGCCTTCCCGCCGCTCAAGGTAGATATAGCGCCGTATGCCGCGTGTGATCCATCGTCGGCTCAAGCACTGCTGGGACATCCTCAAGTGCGAGAACAAGACCTTCCTCACGCTCGTCACCAGCGCCTTCCCGCCGCTCAAGGTAGATATAGCACAGTATGCCGCGTGTGATTCACAGTCACCTCAAGCACTGCTGGCATATCCTCAAGTGCGAGAACAAGACCTTCCTCACGCTCGTCACCAGCGCCTTCCCGCCGCTCAAGGTAGATATAGCACAGTATGCCGCGTGTGATTCACAGTCACCTCAAGCACTGCTGGCATATCCTCAAGTGCGAGAACAAGACCTTCCTCACGCTCGTCACCAGCGCCTTCCCGCCGCTCAAGGTAGATATAGCGCCGTATGCCGCGTGTGATCCATCATCGCCTCAAGCACTGCTGGGACATCCTCAAGTGCGAATCCAAGACCTTCCTCACGCTCGTCACCAGCGCCTTCCCGCCGCTCAAGGTAGATATAGCACAGTATGCCGCGTGTGATCCATCGTCACCTCAAGCACTGCTGCGTCATCCTCGAGCGACAACAAGACTTTTCTCACGCTCGTCACCAGCGCCTTCCTGCCGCTCAAGGTAGATATAGCGCCGTATGCCGCGTGTGATCCATCATCGCCTCAAGCACTGCTGGGACATTCTCAAGTGCGGAAACAAGCCTTTCCTCACGCTCGTCACCAGCGCCTTCCTGCCACTCAAGGTAGATATAGCACAGTATGCCGCGTGTGATCCATCATCGCCTCAAGCACTGCTGGGACATCCTCAAGTGCGAGAACAAGACCTTCCTCACGCTTGTCACCAGCGCCTTCCCGCCGCTCAAGGTAGATATAGCACAGTATGCCGCGTGTGATCCATCATCGCCTCAAGCACTGCTGGGACATCCTCAAGTGCGAGAACAAGACCTTCCTCACGCTTGTCACCAGCGCCTTCCCGCCGCTCAAGGTAGATATAGCACAGTATGCCGCGTGTGATCCATCATCGCCTCAAGCACTGCTGGGACATCCTCAAGTGCGAGAACAAGACCTTCCTCACGCTTGTCACCAGCGCCTTCCCGCCGCTCAAGGTAGATATAGCACAGTATGCCGCGTGTGATCCATCATCGCCTCAAGCACTGCTGGGACATCCTCAAGTGCGAGAACAAGACCTTCCTCACGCTTGTCACCAGCGCCTTCCCGCCGCTCAAGGTAGATATAGCACAGTATGCCGCGTGTGATCCATCATCGCCTCAAGCACTGCTGGGACATTCTCAAGTGCGAGAACAAGCCTTTCCTCACGTTCGTCACCAGCGCCTTCCCGCCGCTCAAGGTAGATATAGCGCCGTATGCCGCGTGTGATCCATCATCGCCTCAAGCACTGCTGGGACATCCTCAAGTGCGAGAACAAGACCTTCCTCACGCTCGTCACCAGCGCCTTCCCGCCGCTCAAGGTAGATATAGCGCCGTATGCCGCGTGTGATCCATCATCGCCTCAAGCACTGCTGGGACATTCTCAAGTGCGGAAACAAGCCTTTCCTCACGCTCGTCACCAGCGCCTTCCTGCCACTCAAGGTAGATATAGCACAGTATGCCGCGTGTGATCCATCATCGCCTCAAGCACTGCTGGGACATCCTCAAGTGCGAGAACAAGACCTTCCTCACGCTTGTCACCAGCGCCTTCCCGCCGCTCAAGGTAGATATAGCACAGTATGCCGCGTGTGATCCATCATCGCCTCAAGCACTGCTGGGACATCCTCAAGTGCGAGAACAAGACCTTCCTCACGCTTGTCACCAGCGCCTTCCCGCCGCTCAAGGTAGATATAGCACAGTATGCCGCGTGTGATCCATCATCGCCTCAAGCACTGCTGGGACATCCTCAAGTGCGAGAACAATACCTTCCTCACGCTTGTCACCAGCGCCTTCCCGCCGCTCAAGGTAGATATAGCACAGTATGCCGCGTGTGATCCATCATCGCCTCAAGCACTGCTGGGACATCCTCAAGTGCGAGAACAAGACCTTCCTCACGCTTGTCACCAGCGCCTTCCCGCCGCTCAAGGTAGATATAGCACAGTATGCCGCGTGTGATCCATCATCGCCTCAAGCACTGCTGGGACATCCTCAAGTGCGAGAACAAGACCTTCCTCACGCTCGTCACCAGCGCCTTCCCGCCGCTCAAGGTAGATATAGCACAGTATGCCGCGTGTGATCCATCATCGCCTCAAGCACTGCTGGGACATCCTCAAGTGCGAGAACAAGACCTTCCTCACGCTTGTCACCAGCGCCTTCCCGCCGCTCAAGGTAGATATAGCGCCGTATGCCGCGTGTGATCCATCATCGCCTCAAGCACTGCTGGGACATCCTCAAGTGCGAGAACAAGACCTTCCTCACGCTCGTCACCAGCGCCTTCCCGCCGCTCAAGGTAGATATAGCGCCGTATGCCGCGTGTGATCCATCGTCACCTCAAGCACTGCTGCGTCATCCTCGAGCGACAACAACACTTTTCTCACGCTCGTCACCAGCGCCTTCCTGCCGCTCAAGGTAGATATAGCGGCGTATGCCGCGTGTGATCCATCATCGCCTCAAGCACTGCTGGGACATTCTCAAGTGCGAGAACAAGCCTTTCCTCACGCTCGTCACCAGCGCCTTCCTGCCGCTCAACGTAAATATAGCGCCGTATGCCGCGTGTGATCCAATCGTCACCTCAAGCACTGCTGCGTCATCCTCGAGCGACAACAAGACTTTTCTCACGCTCGTCGCCAGCGCCTTCCTGCCGCTCAAGGTAGATATAGCGCTGTATGTCGCGTGTTATCCATCGTCACCTCAAGCACTGCTGGGACATCCTCAAGTGCGAGAGCAAGACTTTCCTCACGCTCGTCACCAGCGCCTTCCCGCCGCTTAAGGTAGATATAGCGCCTAAAATTTAAAAATTCGCATTCGGCGGAATTTTTAAATTTTCTGATTCTCTAGAACTACGGAGTAATTAAAAAATATATATTAAAAAGGTTTCTTCCAATATAGCATTGGTGTTACTCATTTATAGTTCCACTCATCACTTTTTAAAAAGATACTGATTTTATCCATCCATGTAAATTTTCCGGCACTACAAAATTGTTAAAGCTATAAGCTGAGGGTGCGCCCCCCACACCCTCAGGATTTCTTAGAGAAAACGCTATACAACACTTCTTTGTATTTGCTACGTGGTTCTAGAAAACTAGAGTATCCTACTCCGAACGGTGGAGTTCCAATAGTTAATTCAAATCTTCTTTCTCCTTGTGTATAGAAACAACTAAACATCGTGTTGAACATTAACTCAACAAGCACAATGTGCTGAATCAACGGATCATACTTAAACACTTAGGTAACTTGATTCTATCGTTCCCCTTTATATTCTTTCCACAAACTGAGGTAAACTTATTACATTAACACCACCATTTCGCGTACAGGAGCAAGAAATGGTAGCAAACGAGTTGCGCGCAGCTGGTTTCTTCGACGTATTCGAGGTTTCTACTGGCGACGATGGCCGCGGAGCAATATGGGGCTGTTTCCTCTGCACTCACCCAGAGAGGGCCCTGGGATTCCTAACAGCTGACGGACAGCCCGTCATAGAGGGACAACTCAAAGAAAAGAAGGGCAGATGGAGGCTGTTCCGGCGCTGGAGGACGAGATACTTCACGCTGTCTGGAGCACATCTTTCTTGCAAAGGATCGGTTAGTATCTTTGTTGCTCGACAATCATATGCTACCTATTTTCCTATGTAGAAAGGACGAGAATCCGGAGTCACACCAGCTAAGATTTTTTTGAAGTCGTGATATGTGAGGTCGCTTGAAGATGGCGAGGAAGCAGTGGTTAAGAATAGCAGTAGAAATAGTATGGAGGCTAACTACATAACATCTAGTTCGGCCGAAATGGCGTTGGATCGTTATGGGCTGTACAAGATGGAAGCAAAATATGTATATAAATAAAATAAATGACGTCACAGAATTAGCATTGGTTTTGCAGCTTTGGGAACTCTCACAGCTGAGGGACAGCAAAGAAAAGAAAGCAAGTAGAGGTAATTCGGACTCTGGAGGAGGAAAATTCGATAATGATTTCAAAGTAAACTTTCATCGACCTCCGTGGTCGAGTGGTTTGTACGCCGGGTTTCATGGTGTTGCCGACTCGAGAGGTCCCGGGTTCGAGTCCCGGTGGGGGCAGATGTTTGTGTGATGAATACGAGCATTTGAACTCCAGTCATGGATGTTTAATATGTATTTTCTATAAAAATATACTTATATATGTACAGTTTATGTATTCTATCCGTTACCCTAGCATCCCATAACACAAGCCTTATAGTGCTTACTTTGGGGCTAGGCTAATTGGTGTGAGTGTTGGAAATATTTATTTATTTATACAATACTCGGATTTATGGCCTACGTTGGGCCAAATTATTGGCCAATAACGATGGCCGAGTCGGTAGGCACATTGGATTGGACACAGAGCCGGGCAGTGTCCGTTTTTCATCGCAGATCGAAGGTAGTAGTAGTTATTTGTTAATAGACTCGAGTCACCTATTTTTTACACCACTTTTAACTGGCAAAAGATGAAATTAAATCAAATAACATTGGCCATTTTTTACTTAAAATCCTATCATCACGTTGCCTTTCAAATTCACACCAGCAAGATATTTTCAAACAACAACGATTTGATAATGCAAGATGACTAAACTTTCACATTTTTTTCATCATCATCAGCCTATCAATGTCCCCACTGCTGGGGCACAGGCCTTCCCTTTGGATGGAATAGGGAGATTGGGCCATGACCCACCACGCGGGCCCAGTGCGGATTGGCGGGTGCTAACGACTGCAGATGCAGCCGGGACCAACGGCTTTACGTGCCTTCCGAAGCACGGAGGAACTCGAGATAGAAGATTTTTGGTCACCCATCCAATGACTGACCACTGCGAAAGTTGCTTAACTTCAACGATCTCAGCTGAACGCGCTAACCACCCGCGCTATCGAGCTTCTCTTTTTTTTACTTAAAATCATATAATATAATTTTCTTTCAGAGCGGCGGCGAGAGTATTGACATCAACCAAATCCGTTCGGTGAAGGTGTCCCGCGGTGCGCGCAACATTCCCAAGGCGTTCGAGATCTTCACCGGCGACCAGACGCTCATTCTGAAGCCCAAAGACGGTAAGAACGCAGAGGAATGGGTGCAATGCCTCAGCATCGCCGTAGCCCACTCTCAGGCCAGAGACGCGCCGGCCAAAGCGCACAGTCTACCAGCTAGAGGCCTCACACTAAAGGGCTTTTAAACACAAACAAAAAGCAACCTTACAACCTAACACATAAGTTTACATTTTGTAAAGCCCAAAGATACGGAGAAAACATCACTGTGACAATAATAATGCTTCTAGTTATATGTTAATTGAAGGCAAAAATATATTTAAGTACGTCTCCCCTCATCCCCCTTTCTCAGCGACCACCCCATTTTTGATAACTACATTAAATAATTTCGTTGAATTTTATTTATCATTGTTTTATTATATTTTGCGTTTTTAAACGTCGCTGCAGGATAATGTGCCGTTTTCAATTCCTGTTCAGTTTTGTAGCATTTTTATGTGTATAAAAAAAACGCATAATTTACGAAATAATAATATATAAATCTATTATTAAAGATTTTTTTTATGTGTAAGGGGGGAAAACAAGTTTATGGCCTACGTGATGGTAAGCAGACACCATATTGCTATGAATATGGAATGAAAGGTTATAACCTTGGTTTAACAATTTAGTACTTATTCTAAATAAACTTTGTATGTAAAAAAATATCACTTCACTCGTTACTTATTGTCGCTCAAATCGTTTTATACTCAATACGTATAATATCATATTTTTAATTTTATAAGTTTAAAATAATAAAATCGTTATTTTACTTTTCATTTTATATTTTTTATCTTATGCCGCACATCTAATGGCTGATCGTATTTGCTATTTGTCATTTTGACAGCAGGTTGTCTCTATTTTTATTTCGGGAATGATAAGGAGAAACTGTCAGATTTACAAATAGAAGCAAATATGAATAGCCACGTGAAGTGCCAGCATTAAGCAATCGAATGGATAAAATATACTTGATTGTAGAAAGTTTTATTAAAATGAGCTTTATTAAATAATATTCCTGACTGCATTTCAAAGATCTCATCGATACGACACTACCATCGCGACGGTTATATGCATAAGGGCCTTCTCAGACGACTATTGATTCAGTGCCTCCATTCTGCAACATAATCTTTATTTCTAAAATAATAAAGTTCGAAATAGTCGCTTAAAACAACAATACAGTTAAGGTTTAGACGCTTCAATCAGTTAAATATAGAAACATGCAATGAATCGTTACAATCCCATTGCCATAGCAAAGATTTAGATCAAATGTTCGTTCTTACAGTCTGTCGTCCGCGATGGCCTTATGCAACAACTGGTATAAAGACTCAAGGAAATCAATTGCATTTTATATACTAAGGCATTAATAGTACCAAATCAAAAATATTAAAGTAAAAATAACTAGAGGTGGAAAACATATCAAACGTGTATTTAAAACAGTATGACAAATATTCATTAATTATTTCATTTATTTGTTCCAATATTGATGAATTTCCTTGCATTATTCCTTTATATTTTCTTCCATCCATTCCATATGAACCATTCATTTCGCTTAAAGTTCAAAATGAATTAAGATTTTTTAGATCCTGTGGCAATAGTACAGTTAAGGGTGTATCACTATTAACTTTAGTAATATTAAATAATAAGTTTTTACGAAATAATAAAAAAGCGAGTGTGCTTATGACTCCCCGACTGTAGTGAAACTTCTTTAGCTCCAATGATCTGAAAATCATAAACTTAACCTGAAGATTTGTTGATAGAAAAAAACCACCAATTCGCGCTGGGTCCGTTATCACCCACCAAGCACTAGATTCATGTATTTTGTGATGGGTATTGTTCATTGTTTACCGATGAGTCACCGGTGACGTCACGTAACGTAACGCAAAAATCGTCACACATTCGCTTCAAAAACTATTAAATCCACCTCTAGGTTTAACCAGAAAGCAGCAAAAATATTATCATCTAGTAGTTATTTTCCAGTATGTACCAGTAGTGTTACATACGAAATAGTAAGTATACTTAATAAAAATGCTCAGTGTAAATTTATATATGCTGTACATGTACAAATAACAATTAAGTTGTTTTAGAAACAAACTGATAAGCATAAAGTAGTTGTAGTTTAAAAAATGGGTGCGTGTACTTATGTACGCGCGTGAGAAGTTATACTTCTTAGGCATCATTAAAAATAAGTGTTTAATTGCATGAATAAAATTAATTACAATAAAATAATAAAAGGACTGGAAAAGGATAGTTAACACAGTCAATAAAGTTTAGTTTTAATTTGAAAAATTAAATAAATAATCAATTTAAATCAATACTGAATATAATTAATTAGCACATATATGATTCGCACTTGTATGAAACCAAAACACGTGTCGTAATAGAGATTCTATTTTGTTGGTAGCTTTTTTTCGAGACTTAATGTGCGGTTCAGCGATCAACTTCATGGTGTTACTTTTGTGTTACAGTGATGCGCGCGCATCTTTGAATTTCACCCTCAAAGTTTTTCATAACGCGTCCGCGGCCAACTTCATGGTGTTACTTTTGCGATACAGTGATGCGCGCGTATCTTTAAATTTCACACTCATAACTTTTTCATAACGCGCCCGCGGCCAACTTCATGGTGTTATTTTTCTGTTACAGTGATATATACATATTTTTTTCATAAGGCGCCTAAAGAAGTATAACTTCAATATAACTTTAAAACTCTTTGAAATATACACTTTTACTATGTTATTATATTCGGTACGGAGAAAATGTAATTTATATTTCTATTATGCGGATGTTATCTACTACGTTACGTACCTTCAACATTAAAAGAGGTCAAAAGTAAAACAAAATTGGATTAGACTCTGATTTGTAACCAATTTATAACTGAACGCCTTGCGGTCGTATGTGGTCGTGGTTCCATAATTATAAAGCATTCTTACAAACGCGTCTTGTATTGTATCTCTTATGTAAACAAGTACTGCCCGCGTAGTTTTAATCCGGATATTAGAGAATTTAAGTCTAATTGTTTATTAAAAAAAAGCTGTTAATGTAACGTATGAAATTATTATGAAACTTATATTAATTGTACATTGCAGTGTTTTAGTTAATTTTAAACCAGTTTTGAGTGAAAAACAAAAAAGAATATATTTCGTCCATTTTGAAATTTTCGATGTATTTATATTTTGCTTAATAGTTTTTTTTAAAATAAGAAAGTGCCTTAATTTATTATTAAGTATTGATAGAATTTATTGAAAAGTACAATGTCAAGAATACAATATTGATTTATGTTTAAAGTTTTATTGTTTGTTATGTTTTGAGTTTTATTTGACATTGGAAATTAGGTCTTACACTCTTAAGATTTTAGAATGAACTTTGGTCATCACATTGACGAATCTTATCGGCAAAAAACTTTCTTTTGTATAGGAATCTGCTATCGACAGCGATACATTGTAAAAATGTATTTGCTTGTAAAGCTTCACATGACTATTGCTTTGTGTAAAATCCACAGCAGTCTCCTTTTCATTTGATATATAGAGCATGCTAAGGTAATGCTCCTCCAACAACCGCGTGACGTAGTCCTACGTGGTATTGGTACTATAAGCGCTCGAAATTTCAATTAGTTCTGTCGTAATGAATTTTCGGGCTGCGTGACGACAGCTTTCCTGGGGATAATGTGACATGCATAGAAGAGTCATATGTTTTTTTAAGCATTTAACTGCTAGTTGGTAAAATCTAAAGAAAATTTTACTAAATAAAAAACCACTCGGCCCAGCGGGGCAATCGCCTAACGAGATTGCTATGAGGAATTTCAAAACCCTCGACGGACAGAAATAACAAAATGAAAACGTAAGCTATAGCAATAGCCATAACAATTTCGTTATTCGATTGCCCCCCTGGGCCGAGTGGTTTTTATCTAGTAAAATTGTCTTTAGATTGTAACAACTAGCAGTTAGGTGCTTAAAAAACATGCCTGGTTCGCGTGCATATTTTTCTAGTATTTTTTTTATGCACAGAAGAGGTTGTGAGAGACAATGAATTAATGAATTTAGTATGTGCACCTGAAGGAACCAACCTACATTTTAGTATCAAAGCTTCGTCACGTGGGTGTGGGATAAGCATAAGGATATACTGCTGTCACATTGTTGGAACAAATGTTGATAAACTTTGGAGCAACTTAAAAATGTCTTGGAACTAGTGTAGTTGTTGTTGTAAACCTTACCGTAGGTTTCACCGACGAGATGACTAACAAAAAATATGTAATATTTAACTGAGATTTAATAATTATTGTTCAAGACTGAGAGCTGGTCATTATAGCTGCTAATGCGTTGCGATGCGCGGGCGACGGATATGTTTGTGATTCAAAATTGACATTCCCCATCCTGTTAAACAGTGGTCTTGATATATAATAATGAAAATTATCACGAATGGTCTCAAAGAATTTTAATGGTTTAAAAACGTTATGAATGACACTAGTTCGTAGTATTTGTGAACTGTTTTTTTTTGTGTAAGACTACAAGTTTTGGGACAAGCCTTGATCCAGTTGGACACATGTTTATTTGTTATTTGTCCTAGTCACGTCGAAATAAATAAATATGGCGGCTACCACGGACGCTCAACGCGATTTATTTGTTATAAAATAATTGAAGTGAACTTTCGCTATAATTACTATTTAGCCCCGCCCCGCGTCAAATATTGGTTTTGTATCACGTTGACCTTGGGTGGTAAGGTCCCTAATTTAAACAGTGTGTTGAACAAAATCAAGCCCAGATTACTTGTAGCACAAGACACAGTTTATTAATTATACGTATTATACGTACGTACACGTACAAATGTGTACTGTACCCCTAGCACGCACCATTATCGATTTGGAATAGTTTGCGAGTGCGAAATGTCAATGTCAAATTTTGTATGGAAACTTGAACAGCAGCGCCACAAAGTACGTAACGAGAAGTAAAAATCAGTACACATTTGACAATGACATTTCGTAATCGCAAACGATACGAATTCGATATTAGTTCGTGCTAAAGGTACTGATAGGTATTAAAGTTTATGTACTTACTTAAGTTTAAATTTGATCAGTTGGTCCTACTTGTTTGTGTGATTTAAGCTCGTACCGTAATTGCCACAGATCCAGTATTTCATACAAAAATACAACTGCACGTTGTAC